AAAACATTTTTTGCCCATGTTTCTCACTGAGCTCAGAGTTGCCGTATAATAGTAAGATAATCCCATTAATTCTGGTAAGGAAGGGGGAGACCATAACTCTGTTTTTAGTTCTAAGCTACTATACCACATTCCTCCACCCTCAAGAACCCACGGATCCAGTTTCGGCCAAACTATTCCTGAAAATCCAGAAGTCCCAGCATCTGGTGTTCCCCACTTCTACTCGTTCCCTCTTTCAGAAAACCCAGACTGGCAAGAGAATAAGAGTGCGTGTCAATAAACTCAGGTTAGGGAGGAAGGCGTGATCTGCTCCTAGTGGCCCCTGCTGGGCTCAGTCAGACACCACCGCTTTGCTTTTCAACTTGTCAGGGGCTTTATTTTTTAAAGCCAGGTTGACTCTTTGCTCCCTGAGGATGGTTTTGGGATGGAGAGAAAAGCTTCCCTGCTGGGTAGGGGAAATGAGGGCTTGGAGAGAGGTGGGGGGAAGAGGAGGTGTTAAAGAAATCAGAGCAGTGACAGACCCATGGCATTGTAGGCACCCTCATTTAAAAATGAATGTACAACCTGCTGTTCAGGTCTTTAAAATGTTCTTTTACTTCATAATCCTGTTTTGCAAAGGGGCTCCTGAGGGTGAGAAATGGTATTTAGCCCAAATATGCAGGTTTTGAACCCATATCTAAACCCCATGGTCTCTCCTCTGCACACAGCACCACTAGTCTGTGGAGCAAACACCTTGTACCTGACCACAATCCCTCCTTGTCATTTCTCTGCCCCTTCCCAGCTCCTTGTCTTGGTGCTCCCACAATGCCCCCCACTCTCCTAGCTGTCTCCAGGACTCTCCTAGGCTGCCATGCAGCTATTTTACTAAGGTGAATAATGATATGTGTCTTCAGAGTCATTCAAGGTAGGAGTGCATGAGCTTTAGTATTCCTTGTTGGGCAGAAGGGAACATCAGTGATGTTGCTTAAAACCTTGCATACTCTTATGCACGTCAGTCTAGACATTGTCATCCTGTATCCTAGAGTTGAAGTGCGGAAAAAAGCATCAAAATTCATTAGGAGGTTAGAGCATCTTCTCTACTGGGAAAGGCCAAAGCGTTTGAGATTTTTAGTTTTGGAGGGAAGAACTATGAAGAAGGGACAGGAAAGAGGTTTATAAAATTAGATGCAGTGTAGTAAAGTACTGTACAGTAACTGGATAGAGTGAAGTAATTGTTTTTTCCTTCCTCGATCTTATAATACTAGTTCACGTGGGCCATCAATGAAACTGATGGGCAGCAGAGTCGGGACAGACAAGAGAAAGTGGTACTTTCCACAATGTATAATTAATTCATGGAATTTGCTGCCAGATGATGTGGTGTGATGGCCACTGGCTTGGAAGGCTTTAATGGGGGATTAGACAAATGCATGGAGAATAAATCTATCAATGGCTACCAGTTACGGTGGCTGTGTGGAACATATTCCGAGGCAATGTGCCATGGCATAAATAGTTACTGCCAGACAATGGCAGAAAATATCTACCGCCTTCATGCTCAGTCTGTGAGGCTCCTGAAGGCATCTGATAGGCCATCACAAGAAGCAAGATGCTGGACAAAGTGGATCTTTGGTCTGATCCAATAGGGCTCTACGGGCAGCCAGGGTCAGAGGTGCGTTAGTGTGAAATTCCAAGATTTGATGCCCAATAGTCACATGAGCCATGCCAGGCTCCACCCCTTTCAATGTCTGTTAATTAGTAACTTAAATGTGCCCTTATGTGTAGGTTTGCTCATCAGCCCGATTCCCTCTCCCCTTCATTTATCATGGTCTGATATAATCTTTAACCTGCAAAGGATATATAAAGCCAGGGAATGTTCAATTACCAAGGTAGGAATGAGATGCAGAGGGGGGACTTCACACAGGAGAGACCAATGATATTGCATGCTGTTGTTGGGAAAGGATGCAGAACAGTGTAGAAAGCAAATCTCACAAATTGGTCCAGAGCCAGATCTTTGGCTTCAGGGCTCTGGTTTGGGTTAATTAGCATATGCAAACTAGCAACAGGCAGATTTTTCCTCAGTTTCCCCAAGGAGATACAGCAAAGATCTTCCTCCACTCTCACCCGCCTCACTGTAGCAAGGAGTCACTGAATTTTGTCTTTGTTTCTGAATTTCTTGTAAACATCCCCCTGGGCTCACAGCAAGCCACTGATCCAATCTTCGCCTTAAAACAGGAATCTTTCTAAGGCAGACAGTGACAGCCAGGCCAGGCCTCGTCCTACATTCAACTCAAGAAGAAATGAAGGTGACGGCAAGAGGAGACAACAGAATATGTCTGGTTACTTGCTGAAGGCAGAAAACTCCTACAGGGGACAGCAGCTCTGGCCTGATACTTGTAAAATTAGACAGTACCAGACCTTCTACCCTAGGAGGTACCAGCTCAATCCAATTTGGCACCCTGTTTGTTAGCTGGGGGCTGATCCACAACCATAATGAACAGTGCTGGCTTTCTCTTTGTGCCAGATCACTGGCTGTTTCCCACTTTCAGATCTTGGGTCAAGGCATAAACCTTTGTCTTTGACCACAGAGCCATGATCTGGACATGCAGTGTGAAATCTCCCAGTGATAATATTACAATGTCAGGGTGAATACTGTTGCTATTCACCCCAGTTAAGAAAAAAACAAACCTGGAAGGATATGTGCCTCAGCTCAGGAAAGGGGAAGCAAACCAGTTCCAAATAAATGAAGTAATTTGAAATCAAATAAATCTAAAGGGAAGGTTTACAAAATGTTAGAACACCACTATGGGATGAGGTATGAGTGAAAACAGAGATAGCCTCATTGATATTAGACACTATATGAGCATTTCTACACAGGGGCTGTATAGCAGAGAAGTATATGCACAAACTCCCAATATTTTTTTTTAAATGATTTATTTATTTTTAAAACCCATTAAGTTCATGGTGGTAGGGTGGTTTGCTGGGAGAGTTGTATGCCATTTGTCACTAACTACGAGACCAAAGCAAATTCCAGTAAACACCATGAGACTCCACAAGCCCATTCTACAATTTTTATTTTTATTTTGATAACAGGAGTAGATGCTCTCTTTGGTTAAACCACTGCATTTTCTCCAGGCAAAAAGTAGTACACTTGCTCAGAAAAAGCAACAGAAGTGAAACCTTGGGGAAGATGTCTGCAAGGACAAAGGGGTGTTTACCAAGTACTGCAATGACTGTGTAAGAAAAGCTCTGAGGGACAACTTAGAGGCGTGTATGCATCAAGCTGCAAATCATCTCATGTGACCCTGCACTGCGTAGATCATTCGCCCCCAACCTGGTGCCCTCCAGATGTTTTGGATCACAATACCCATTATTCATGGGCATTACCAAGGGAGGGCAGGGGAACAGCTGCCACCCTAAATCAATCAAAATCAATACAAATCTGAGGTTCTGCTCCCCCAAACAAAAGCCTGCCCCCCCAACACAAATCCTGGCTACGCCCATGCCATTATCCCTCACTACATTCAGCCATTCCTTCTTTGCCACAGCTTTCCAACCAGCAATTGTTCCCTCGCTTTTTCATCCATCCATTTGTCTCTCTTTCCCTCACTTGTCCATGCATCCATTCATCTGCCACACAGAAGAAAGCATTAGGGTTCAGAGACCCACCTTAGAACTAACAGTTCTCATATCCAGGCTGCAGGCCTGGAGTGCAGTAAGATGCAGGTGAAACTCGCTGCTTCTCCTTCTTGTCCCTGCTATGTAGTACTATGTAGTGTTTTTTCATTGCTGCTGCAGCAGCATGCTTCTTCCTGATATCAGATTGGGACACTCAGCTGGATTCAGCAAAGTGAAAACAGGTAGCCCAACACCAGGCCTCTGGAATAGCTTGCCCTTGAGGCATTCTCAGAGGAACAGAAATTGAATTTCGGATGGCATGAATCTGCTTAAATTCCAAACAAACAAACAAGTCCTCCAAGCAAACAAGGCAGCTACATGTGCTCATAGGCCAGGATCTGAGCTTTTATATTTGAGGGCAGAAAACAACTTCACATACATATACACGTGGCAGTTTACGAAGACCAGTTACTGATCCTGTAGGATATTCCTCCTGTAGGATCTTCAGCTTTACCATATGACAGAGCTTGCTGGCTAGAGCCACATGGAGCTATTTGGCCTATTCTCTAATACTACATGTCTACTACGGAAGCTGTCCACATTGCAGAGGATTTTCAGTACATCCTATGATGCACAATCAGTTCACACAGTGCATTAGCCAGGCCTGGAGTGGCCTCACTGGTGGTGAGCCTGAGCGGAGAGCATGACCAAGAACACAATCCATATCTCTTGTGGCTCTGCATGGCAGGAGAAGGTGGGCAATGATGGGCAAGCTGTCACAGAAAGACATGCCTGCCCTTACTGATCTCCTTATGTGAGAGAATCCTGACAAACTTCTGGAAAGAAACGACAACAGAATACAATCTGAAAGAAGTTTCTCTATGATGGCATGTTGCACATTATGTGTTTAGAGATAGGTGTGAGCCAAGGGGCTTCCAAATTCACTGTACTCAAGGCCTCAGGAAATATCTGGACGGCCTGATGACGATCTGCCTATATAGCGACATCATGGAGCATGGTGCTTAATAGCACAAGAGAACAAGTCTCTGCCCCAAGTAGCTTATAATCTAAAATCTGACATAAGGGAAAGGAGAGCCCTTTTACTGCAAATGTTAAATTGTGAGCCCCTTGGGACGGAAACCCGTCCACTTCAATTTTGTAAAGCGCCATGTACTTAGGTTTCACCACAGGAGGATATGGAGGCTAAGGGGTTATGCCAAAGGCTTCATGGAAGAGGTCCTCTGCCACGTCTCCCAATAACAATTCTCTACACACCCTTCCTTTCTTTCGATCCACTTACTCCAATGTTTACAACCAGCCACCAGTCCTTAACATGTAAGCACACGTGACTCCCACTAAACAGGTTCTTCTTCCCTTGAACCCCTTTCCTTCTTTCTTTTCTTTTGCTCTTTGTCTCGTCTCTCCCCCTCCCCTTTTCTGATTTAATCTCCAGGATCTCCACACTTCTTGGCTGCATGATGCCACGTTATTATCAGCTCAGAGACAGAAAATGATTCCCTCAGTCATTCTCTCCCTGCTGATGCAGCTGAACATTGCAGTTATTTCGTAGAGAGCCTGGCGATGAGGGGTGGGATTCCCGTACAAATAGCTGCTGCCATCTCCCCAGAGTCAGCTGCATCTCAGCTCCCTGGAAGCCTCCAGGTGCAAATGAGAATGAAACTCAGCTCAGTTACACACTAGTCTGCAACACCACTAAAATCACACACATTTGGGTATAGTGGCACCTTAGTCCCATCAGACACATACAAAGAAATCACAGCAGACACAATGATGTACTAGATAAGGTCTCTCTTTGAAGAGGTGTCTACTACGCACCTCAATGTGACTGCGGGAATATATGTAAACACCAACACAAATATGTAGCACACGTGTTCCCAATGCCTATTTCATGCCTAGAAAATGGCTGTGGAAATGACCATATGCATGATACACAAATACAGCCTCCGAATATACCAGCCACATAAAGGCATCATCCATCAAAATTACACAATACGGGCACAGAAAATAACTTTGGGGAAGAACACACTCACACATCAGTACTACTGCAAACATTTCATAATATACCACAAATACCATCATAATGGTCACACACATTTACAGCGGCATGGTGGCTATAAGAAAACAGCCAGAAATGCATCACAGCCATGCAACACCAAGACACACAATGACACCTAGACAACATACATGCTACCAATGTAACAAATGCACAGGAATTTATAGCAAAACACACACAGACACAAAATCAAGCCATAACACAGCCCTCATGTTAAAAGTATGATATCAAATCAGCCACTGTGTGAGGATCCAGGATAGCTGTTGAGAAACAGGACTTTACTTGACATGTTACTTCAAGGCAAGCTGCTCCCAGTGTCTTCCATTTTTGCATTAAGAAACTTGGTTATAACCCAAGATTGCGCTACGCAACCTTTTGACCAACGTTTCAAGGCACAAAGACAGGTTACAAAACTGTAAAGCACACAAAAATACAATTGCAAACACACACACACCAACCAGCAGCTAAAGATTTTTTCCACGTACAGCACATTTCAGCTAATGCAGACTTGAATAAATGAGGCTTCAGAGGTTTGGGGGAATTGGGTGAGAGAGACCAGCAGCAACGAGGCTCTATGAATCTCTGTGGGTGGGAAGTTTCCAAGGTGTGGGATCGCCACTGAGAAAGCCCTCCCCCTTCATATTAATCAGCCTGATGGGTCTCAAGCACTGCTCTTAAGGCTTGGTCAGGCTGAAGGCTGAAGGCTGCAGGTGTGTAGCTAGCTAGCTCTGCAAGGGCTAATGAGCCTTTAGGACAGAGGGTGGATGAACTGTCTCTCCTATGGCTTGATAGTGCCCTTGCCCTGTTCCCTCTCAGACCTTCTCTTTTGCCAAGTAAAGGCTTTGACCTCCTGTGACAGGACATCTAGAACAGCCTTTCCCAACCCGGAGCCTTCCAGATACCATTTGTGCCCAGGCTGGGGAAGGCTGATGCAGAAAAAGCATCTGGTGATGTAGCAGTGACAAAAGCAGATGGGCTGCCCCCGCAATCTGCCTCTGCTCGTTTTGCTGGCTCACGGGCCATGAGTGATGCCTTTTCACCTTTGAACATCGTCCTATGGACTTTTCTATGGCAGGGTAGCTCACTCAGCTGAACCATAAGTCTGATTTTTCTTCCCCCACCTTTTTAAACTCCCATGCTTTTTAAAGTCTTCTGATGCCCTCAAGCCCATAGCCCTTTCACCCTTCTCCCCATCCTGTCGTGCGCTACCCTGAATCAGGACAGCTCCTTTTCATTTCCCCCTCTTGCTTTCGGAGCGTTCAGTGACTAGTGTTAATTTTCATGCTGACTGCAGCCCTGACAGGTGGCAAGTCCCATGGGAGGCCTGCAGCAAACCCACGAGGTGCCAACGCCTCCCTGGTATGCAGCGGGCGAGACCCGCAAGCCATGCCACTGCTTAATTTAGCTTTCATATCAAATTGGGAAATCAGCGGAAAAGCTACAACATAAACAGGCCCGAAGTCCCAAGGGGAGCCCGTTAAATTAACCCAGTATGCTACAGGCTGGCTTCTGTAAAATACCCCAGGCTGAGATAACAGAGGAAGGCTTGTGGGAGTTGAAGGAGGGGGAGGAATAACTCAGGTTTGGGACTATGGCAGTGGGGAAGGAGGAGGAGCTATGATTAGAATTGGCCCATAATCTAGACGGATGGGACTTTTGTCCCGGACGCACTGGCTCTGCAGAGGTTCCAAACAGCCAGCTGCCACTGCTGCGGCAGGCACAGGGCTGTGAGTTCAACCCTTTTCAGCCGCCTTGCAGTTGTGAAATTAGAGTGCCACCCAGTGGCTGAGACCTGCAGTGAAGTCCCTAATTTCCATTCTGGTCATTGCCCCGTATTTTCCAGCACCACAGAAAAAGAACTGCCACTTCAATGGAGATGGTGAGGCTGGGATGGGGCAGAATCCAGGACAGCTTCTCACTGACACAGATCAGATTGTTTAGATCCAATTACTGACATGAAAATGCATTTTTAAACGTAATAAAACTGAACAGGGAGCTAGTTTGGAGTGCTCCCCATTCACGTTCCCCCATAACATGCCCTTGCCCTACCCCCACCCCAAACAATGAATTGGCAATGGAGCAATCCCAGGTGGCTGGATGAATCCAGCCTTTCTCCTTAATTGATAAGGTTCCTTGCCAACGCAGGTGGGCAAGAAGCCTGCATTTGAACAACAATGGTGAAGTCATTGTCTGGCCTACACACTGGGAATGGGGACCAAGGCATATTTTTGCCCTTTGGCAGAAGAAGGAATGCTAGATTAAACAAGTTAAACTAGGGAAATTCAGAAGGAGAGTAGCAAAGGGGGCAAAAGGAAGTCCACATGGCCAACTTTGGAGGGGAGAGATCTCCTGCAGAGATCATGACTCTGGAGTGGAACACAGGCTTGGGAAGACCTTCACCAGAAACCGTAAAGAGCCACTGCCAATCAGAATAGAGAATACTGGGCTCGATGGACCAATGGCCTGATCTGGTATAAGGCAACTTCCTATGTTCCTACTGAGACAGCAGCAGGAGCTGGAGCCACTAGTCTGCTGCCAGCACCTGACATCCTTGGGCAGCTGCCAGGTCCCCTGTGCAGGGATCCCAATGTAGATGTCCACCCTCTCAGTGTCCTTTGAGGGACTCTGAGCAACAAAAGGCTAGATCGAGCCACTCTGCTCTCAACCCAACGTTGCTCTGGAGCATTGTGGGAAAACTAAAGGGCTGAGAGACCCAGTTGCCCGCAACTGCTTGGAAGGGATACAGGCTCCTAAGCTTGCCAGGGCTCACTGACAGAGGTAGGGGCTTACCAGAGGATTGTTTGCCCAGGACTCTCCTCAAAGCTAGCGATCACTGATGTGTGAAACTGCCATGGACTCATTTAGTTTAGTACTGTATACTATTGACTCCCAGCAGCTTGCCAAGGTCTCAAGACACTAGGAGCTGAACCGCAGAACGTCTGCATGAAAAGCAGGAGTTCTACCACTAAGACATCACCAGCAGTCCTTAGGAAAACCTCCTAAATTAACTCAGTATGTTACAGGCTGGTTTCAAAAAAACCACTCTATGTTGAGATAACTGGGGAGGGCTTTTAAAACTTGGAAGGGATTGATCTTTACCTTAAAAGAGGGAATTTGGGTCCCACTCACACAAGCACACATACACAAATCAGTTGCATTGGAAGGTAACTACTGGAGCACGAGTATAAACTAGAAATTGTATTTTATTTTGTTCAGCAACTTTGTTCTGTATTCCTCTTACTCTTTATCCAACCGGTCATTCCTATCCTAACAAAACTCTTTTTTGGTTTACCCTAATTGGACAAAAAAATCTCATTGTGCTCATGAAGTAGGACACTGAGGTAAGCTGTCAGCTTTAGGGTACTGACTCTACAGAGATACCGATTCTTTATCTAATGGTCACATGCTTGAAAGGGCTCTGGGACTGAGGCAGGCACTGCTGCAGTTCCCCACAAGTACAAATTTTGAGAGAAATTTGCTTGCAGCTTGGGATAGATGAGGCTGGGCACATACCTGATGCCCAGGTGTGAGTGAGTGGGAATTCACTGGTGCTGATTTGGCAATACAGAAAGCCTGGCCAAGGGTATCATAAGAGTTTGTCACATTTGTGCAGCAGTGGGATTGGAGCTAGTGTCGGGAAAGACTGCTTTAAGAGGAAAGTCTTTCTGTCTGTCTGTCTGTCTCTCTCTCTCTCTCTCTCTTTCTCACACACACACACACACACACACACACACACACGATTCTATGAATACACACAAACACATCCCTACACCTGCTCTTCAGGAATTATTATTTGTACACAGCCTTGGGTGTGAAGCACTATTTCAGCTCCTTGCTCTGCCATGAAGCTCACTGTGTGACCTTGGGAAAGACACACTCTCTCAGCCTAACAACTTGGCTTCACGGGGCTGTTGTTATGAGCTGACAACTGCAAATCCCATCCTACGTTGAAAAGTGTTACAGGCATTATAAATAAGAGAAAGCTGAGGCTGAGCTGAAAGGAAAAGCCCAAGATGGAAAGCAAACCACCCTGGCAAATTATTTGTGCAGGTCTTTTGACTAGCCAGGTGGCTTCTAACCAAGGAGGAAGTGCCCCACTCCACAACTATCTTCACTAACACTCAACTCCTCGCCCCCACCTGCATCTGGCTTCAGGATCTGGTTTGTTAGCAGATATAAAGAAGCAACTTCATGAGTCAAACCAGTGGACAGTCCAATGCTGTAATGTCTGTCCCGACATGTTAGGCAGGGTTACCCAATATTTTTGACAAGAGATGATGGGGACTTTACACAAGTAAAGCAGGTGCCACAACCACTGAGCTATGGCCCTTCTGGAAAGTTAGGGTTGCTGCCTTGCTCTGGCAGTTTCTGGAACCTTCCTTAGCTGCACCATAGAGAAAAATTCAATAAGCATTCCTCATGCTGAGAGGAGCCTCACCTACTGAATTTCTGGCTGACACGGAGCTGTTTTAGGGCACCAGAGCCTTGCCAGAAGAAATGTAAAAAAAGACTGCAAGACTTCCAAATTGTTGCTTTTTTTCAGCATTCAGGAACTTGACACCTCTCAACCTGCCAGAAAGGTTCTTCACCTCTGTTCTCAGAGGCAGCTCAAGACAGAGAATGCAAAAATGCCACCCAGACGAAAAGCACATCAAGTAAACTAAATCATTGCCAGTTTCATGCCTTTTAAAGTGTGGCACAACCTTGGACTTCATAACTGTTGGGTTATCCCCATGTGCTGTAACAAACATATAGCAGCACCTGCCCTCGTTCAAAAGGTAGGAGTCTGGTGCCACGTTGATGTGACCCTGAATTGCCATAGCCTGTGTTGCCTCTACTGTGGTGCCCCCTGCTGATGCCCTCCAACTTCTCAAGCTGCTGTTTCTCTTCTTCCTTGCCCTTTCAGCGCTGGCTTACTAACGTACAGCATCCAACTGTCACTGTCACCAGCAGCCAGCAGCTTCAGCTGCCCGCCACCAGAACCTGCCGGTGCGCTGCCTGCCTTGTCACATTATGGGATGCGACCCTCCCGCTCGACTGCACACAGCAAGTTTCTGGCTGAGCTGTGGCAGCCGGCAGGCTTCGGGACATGCTTGTTAGCAATTTATGATCCTGCTGAGGATAGATGGCAGCCTGCAGGGCTGGGATTCAAAGGAAACTGGGATTGCTGTAATCTCTGAGACACAAGGAGGGGGTGGGGCAGCGGAGAGAGCGCTGTACCAAGGCCAAAGCAGTAGGGAGTCCTGTAGTGTGGATATCTGGCCAAGGCGAAGCACTGGTGCAAAACTGCTGTGGGAACTGGTTTCCCAGGGAGCAAGTTTTGTCTCTACTTGGCAGCCCTTGGATAAAAGTTTCAACAGATTTTAAGAACTCTTTTTGTTAGTTTCTTAAGCAGGCTTGTAAGTTATTTACCAAGTTGCTTACTGCGAGTTAGAATCCCCTTCGCTTTTGCAAACAAAAAGAGAATGGTTGGTGTTTGTTATTCTTAACAGAACTAAATCTAGCTATGCCTGGACAGGCAGATTGCAGCAGAGGGAGAGAAGCAAGGCAGGACCACCCTATCAACTCTGCTGAGAAACCAAATCCATCAGGCTATCCCTCTCCCCCAACTATCATTCAGTCACATCCATTCCATCAGGTTTCAGCAGAGGGAGAGATGGGTTTGGCTCCTCTTCTGTTTCAGCCATTTCTATTCTAGCTGGTTATTGTAAGAACTTTGCAATTTAGAACTAAAGTCTGAGTTTGCATTTTTTCCCCTTCTTCCCTCGCAATCTCTTCTTTCGTGCCATGACTTTGTAATCCTGAGATCAGGGACTCTCCTATTTCTGATCTTTGTAAGCCACTCTGGGAACCTTTTCGGCTGAAAGTCCAGGTAAATATGTGCTGATTAAGTCATTAAATAAATAAATATTGTTCATATCTAGGAACAATTACGGGCTTTTTAGCAACCACTGGGTAGTGGTGTTATTTTAAAGAATGGCATGTGCCACTGCTGAATGTCGGGTTTTCCCATGAATATTGTAAATTCAGTTTGTAATAAAATGAATGTAAGAAGAGCCTGGATCAGGCCAATGACACATTGAGTCTAGGAGCCTTTTTCTCACAGTGGCCAACCAGATGCCCGAAAGGAGCCGAGTGCAATAGCACTCTCCCACTCCTTGGAGTTCCAGCAATTGGCATTCAGAGGACTACTGCCTCCAACAGTGTACATTCAGGTTTCTGTTGACACAAGGCTCTGAACTGAGACCTGAGTGTACACTGTTTGTACAGTGGAGAGGGCTCAGTAAGTATGAAAATTGGGGAACTCAATTGGGAGTTTCAATTTAAAATGTTGGGAGTGTATGCAAGAATAAGCAAAATCCACATGAATATAATGGACTAGGGTGGGTGAAAGGAGCTTATGCTGTGATTGAAGTATTGCTTTTGCCCTTTTATTTTATTTTCACCTAGTTGAGTATGCACTCAGTGACACAGGAGATTGCACAGTAAGGTTGTCACCTTTCTTTGTCTCGACAGGGACTTCTCATGTGTTTGACAGTAAAAAATCCAGATATTCTACAGTGGCATTGCTATGCAGCTGTTAAAGGCATACACCTTAAGGCGGTGGGCCTTTTGCTGCTCTCTCCTGCCATTTTTAAACCACTCAAGAGAAAGAGGATTTTGCTATTTTATCCTTTACGAGTGTGTGTGTGTTTTGCTTTACACCTTAGGATCTAGAGGACTCTGACAACTCTGACTTGGCTAGATTAGCCCCCCAAAACTTGACTCTGCCACTGCCAGATCTGTACTTGGCTCCACATCCAGCCACCATTTTTTTTATTTCAAAAGTTGGCGATGCCAAAAACTTTGCGTGTTCCCACTGCCCCTGACACAAAAGTAGGGATTTTATAGTTCAAATTGTCCTCTCCTTGAAAGCTTCTTATATTTTCTCAGCCACACCCATATTGGCTGGGTTCTGGGGAAATCTCTTTCAGTAAAAGGATATTACATATAATAACATCTCCTCATACTTCTTAAATTCCTTGAGAGTTTGGTCAAAAATCCAAAAATACAGAATTAGTGCAACTTTGTCAGCAGAATCTTCTAAAGTTCTCTACGCACACAGAGGCATAATCATTCGTAGCTGACTAAGTGAGCTGCTTCAGTGTAAACTCACCATGTAAATACAGTACTCCTTCTCTAGCAGGCAAGTCACGTCAGTCCCTATGTCCTGCTGAAATCCAGTGGATAACCTTTTGAATAAGAAAAAGGGAGAAAGGTGAATGAGGTACTAACAGGCGCACTCCTATGTATTCCCTCAAAATTGAGCCCCATTGGACTCAATGATGATTACGCTCAGGTAAGTGCAGCATAAGCTAGGGAACTGTAGGAAAGGAGACTATTTGTGACTATTTTTATTTGGTTTTGTTTTACGTGGTGGAAAATGACATAGTTGAGGTCATACTGAATTCTGTCTTCCAAGAGCGGCTGGGATTAGAAATCATAGAATTGTAGAGGCAGAAGGGACCCTGAGGATCATCTAGTCCAATCCCCTGCAATGCAGAAATATGCAGCTGCCCCATATGGGGATCAAACCTGCAACCTCTGTGGTATCAGCACCATTAATTCCTAAGAAAATAAATACTGCAGTTTGCACCTGCTCAAAAAATCACCTCCTTTGACACAGAAATCCTGCCAGAAATCCCAAATGTTTGAGAGCTAGCTGTGGCTATTCAGGAACAGTCTCCCCATGCTCAGAGACACAAGCACTTATTATGCATATGCCATGGCTAAGGCCTAGTACTAAAAATAAACTAATGATCTAGTTTGCTTAGTATGGCTGGCTGCTTTTGTTCTTCTGCGTATATAAACTCCTATGTTTGTAATAAAAACCTTTAAACCACTTTCACGGATGCCTTACTTATGTACAGTGGTACCTCGGGTTAAGTACTTAATTCGTTCTGGAGGTCCGTACTTAACCTGAAACTGTTCTTAACCTGAAGCACTTTAGCTAATGGGGCCTCTTGCTGCCGCTGCGTGATTTCTGTTCTCATTCTGAGGTAAAGTTCTTAACCTGAAGCACTATTTCTGGGTTAGCGGAGTCTGTAACCTGAAGCGTATGTAACCTGAAGCGTATGTAACCCGAGGTACCACTGTATATATTAAATAAATTTGTCAGCAAATAAACTGGCCCTTTGATTGATGACAACGTTCCACTTATTGCCATATGAAGGACCACAGCTCAGTACAAGCCAAAGGTCCCTGGTTCGATCTGCAGCATCTCTGGGTGGAGTTGGGAGACTCTTGCCTGAAACCCTGGAGAGCAGCTGCCAGTCAGTGTAGACAATACTGAGCAAGATGGACCAATTGTCTGACCCAGCATAAGGCAGTTTCCTATGTTCCTATCTCAGTAGTCAAAATTGCGCATTTGTGTGCGTTTTAACTAGATAATTAATTCATTGAAAGTGAGGCGAGAACAACGAGAGGATAGTGATTTTTAAGTGCTGTGAAGTAGAATAATTTATAGAATTACCGCGGCTTGGTTTATGGGGAGAAAAGCAACAGGCGCCTGAAGTGGAGGATACCACCGAGCCTTTCAGTAGCACTTTAAAAACAAAATTTAAATAAATCAATAGGGCTGCGGTGAATAGTCGGTTGCCATGGTAATGGAACCAATTGCCCTTTTCTGAAATGGCGCTTCGGGATAGCGCTCTTTGTGGGGGAAGGGAAGTCCTCTGCCCTGTTCCAAGATGTCCTTTGATAAACTTGCCCACACTTAAAATGGCCGTTTCGGGGGAAAATTAATAGGTGCATCTGTATGCAGTACACGGCCTCTTTAGAGACAGCGCGGCTGCCGACTGCCCTTTTCTAAGATGGTGGCGGGCCGGGAGTAGCGCCTCTCAAAATGGCGGCAGGCATTCTCTGCCCATACTCAAAATGGCGCTCACCTTTTACCGTGTTTTCAATGACGAGTAAAGCCGCGCAAACCATAAAAACGGGCTACCGCCATTCCATCTTCCCACAATTCTGATTTCCAGCGCTGACTTTCAGAGAGAAACTTCTCTAAGACTGCATTTATTTAAAATATCAGTTTCCCTTAATAAAGATGGCGGCATTCTTCTCTTTTAAAAAATGTGACTGGGTGCTAACGCTTAATACGACTTCTAAATTCTCTTACCTAAAATATCTTAATTTGAATTCAAAGTGCGGAAGGAAGGCTTTGACCCGCTGAGTTACTAGGGGCAGGTTTTTTGAACCCCAACCGTGAGAGGGAGAATGACTAACGTTTTCCAATATGGCCACCTGCTCTTTTTTCCTTTTAACTGAACTAGCGTTTCCCTTTTCAGAAACGTAGACAAAAAATGCAAGAGCGATCATTCCAATAGTCAAACACGGGACAATGATCGTTTTGACGTAATTTGTCGAGTGAAAGTGATAGCAGCCCATAGGACACAATGCAGAAATTCAGGAATACAGTATGTAGTGTAGCTATGGTTGGGCAGAAGCGTGCCCCAAAGTAGAATCTACTTGAAACGGGGTTTTATACTCTTAAGTTCTTGTTTTGTGTGACGAATGTGCGTGTCTGTTTGTATAAAGCCTCAAAACAATTGCAAATTGTGCCACAAATGCAAATCAAATGCTCAGCCTTCTTTTTTATTCCTAACGGGTAGGATGGGGCGCTGAAGCTGAATAAGTTACAAGAACTCTGCAATTGAAGTCCAGGGATTTTATATTTAAAAATTAACACTACACTGCATCCAGCCTTTGGCACAACAAGCACCCTTTTAAACGGTGTTTAACAACTTTATTAATAATTTAATTTATTAATCACTTCCTATGAAACATCCCAAAGCGATTGATGATAAAAAAGGTATAGCTTCTTAGGGACAGAACTACCTAAACCGTATAGAAACTTATTCTTGTATGCTACTACAGTGGCAAGAATGTTACTTGCCATAAATGAAAAGAAGCAAAGGAAGAATGGATACAAAAACTTACGGAATTTGCAGAAATGGCGAAACTTACCAGAAGAATAAGACATCAAGATAACACAATTTTCATAAAAGATTATCTAGCTTATCACCCGACGAAGTTATTTTTAAAATTGAAAATCTTCCATACAAGATACACCTCAGCGGTATTTAAAGTTTAAATCAATTTAAAGTGGTCTCTGGAATGCCCTCGCAACTCAAAAGTCAGAGCTTTACATGCAGTGAAGTCCTGCTAACGAGCTCCTCAAACAGAAATGTGGACACTGTACATCGAGGTGCTCGCGTTAGTCTCCCATTTCTGCGTCTATGTTGAGTATACGTCATCGAAGGAGGAAAAGGGATGCCGAGCCCATAGTGGGGCGTGGCTATGGAGAGCAGCTGCCCGCTTTCAAGATGGAGGAGCCCAGCACATGGGATGAGCCGAGCAGCGGCTCCAGTAGCAGCAATGAGGAGGATGAGGACATGGAAATGGAGGAGAAGGGGCAAGAAGAAGAGAAGGGACGAGGGGGAGCTTATGTGCCAGGACAGGGGGCTCCTCCAGCACCTGGGGAAGAACTGGTGATGGACGAGGGTGCCTATCGCCTCTATCATCGCGCAGGCACAGGTCAGATCATGTATTGGAAGGGGGTGGGGTCTGTCTTTTTGGACTGGAAAGTAAGGGGACGCTTGCTAAGGTGAACGGGAAAGGATTCCAAGATTGTAGACAGGGAAGAATGGAGGTGGGAATTTGTCAGGGTATAGATGCATTGGTTCTTCGACGTGGGCCACATGGGTTAGTTTGGTTGTATAGACGAGCCTGATTCCTAAAGACCTCAGCCACAAATATTATGGGAATGTGGCATGGCATGTGATGAGTGGCTGTAGGTTAGGAGCATCCTTTAGGGGCAGGAAGATATGGTGTGTGTGTATGTATATATATATATAGGAAGGTTTAAAGCGACAAGGGGTATGCACTGAACCTCATTTGTAGCAAACCCATCACCTCTTAACCTTCACCAGCCACTTTGGTAAAGTTGCAAGAGCTGTGGCTAAATAGTAAGATTCAAAATAGATTCCACTGCATGTTTTTGCACAAAGTTAGTAATTGTGAGTACAGAACTAGGAGCTGAGGGCTGTGCCGGACCTCCTGTTGTACTATTTTTATCAAAAAGGTGAAACAAATATTAAAAACACCACAAAGCAATTTCAGCATAAATATTTCCGGCAGAAAGGCCTAAAACTAAATCCGCAGTAAATTTACATACCACGTGTTACATATGTGTATATGTTAAGATACGAACAATTGTTTGCATACGGCAAGGAAGGCTATGACTGTAAATCAACGTGATGAAGAAAACTCACAGTAGATATGGGGGAAAGAGGGGAATTGCCACAGAAGGAATGCTGATGTCCCTGTGTCTCCTTCGACCCTGTGCAGGTTCCCCTTGCTTGAGCTTTGACATTTTGCGAGATGCCCTGGGAGAGAATCGAACCACCTACCCGCTGAGCCTTCTCCTTTGTGCTGGAACTCAGGCTGAAACTGCCAATGCCAACAGGTGAGTTTGTGAGGAGCTTGGCTTCCAGCAAGCCAGCTACATTTGTCCTATTGAAGCCAGGACAAGAGGGTCTATAGCAGGGATGTGGGACCCCTGGCCTTCCCTTGTTAGACTCAGCTTTGCGGTCAGTTGTCGGGAATGCTGGGAACTGTAGTTCCCACCATCTGGAGGGCCAGAGGTTCACCATCCTTGAAAACACCTTCTTATAGACCACTGAAATGTCTCATTTTCTCTCCCCCCTCCCTGCAAATAGGCTGATGGTGATGAAGATGCACCACCTCTATGGGACCAAACGCGCTGGCAAGGATTCTTCAGGGTCAGAGAGTAGCAGCGACAGTGAAAGTGATGAAGATGAAGAGAAAAAACCCCAACTGGAACTGGCCATGGTCCCCCATTATGGGGGTATTAACAGAGTTCGGGTACGAACCATATTTCCTGCTGGTCTCTCACTCTGCTCTGGCACAGTTCTCTACCTTAATGGTCTGTTGTTGTTTTGATAGGTGACAGAATTAGGTGGATCACAGATCGCAGCGGTTTGGTCTGAGAAGGGGCAGGTGGACATATACGACCTACAGCGCCCCCTCGTGGCCCTGTCCGACTCTCAAGCCATGGCAGCCTTTCTGCGAGAAGAGCAGGCCAAGATCAAACCTGTCTTCTCATTCGCTGGGCATATGACAGAAGGATTTGCTGTGGACTGGTCTCCCAAGAAACCAGGTAATCAGCTGGGATGGAATGGGAATGGAGTTGGCAGAGCTGGGAACGTAGGCACAGGAGACCTGGACCGGCGGGACTGCAGTTCAGAATAACTTGTGCCTCACCTATTCCAGGGACTCTTTTGACTGGTGATTGCAACAAGAACATCCATCTGTGGACACCCAAGGAAGATGGATCATGGCTTGTAGACCAGCGGCCTTTCACAGCCCACACTGCATCAGTGGAAGACCTGCAGTGGTCCCCAAATGAAGCTACGGTGAGGAAGTGGTTTGATGGGTGCAGCTTGCTTTAGAGTGAAAATTTCTGTGCTTGGGGAAATGTTAATGTGCTTCCTAATTACCTGGGACTTAATCAAAGTATTTCAAATCAGCTAAGGCTGCATTTTTTTATTCTTTAAAAAGGCAATTGCCTATTACAGTGGTACCTTGGGTTACATACACTTCATGTTACAGACTCCGCTAACCCAGAAATATTACCTCAGGTTAAGAACTTTGCTTCAGGATGAGAACAGAAATCGTGCAGCGGCAGCAGCAGGAGGCCCCATTAGCTAAAGTGGTGCTTCAGGTTAAGAACAGACCTCCAGAACGAATTAAGTTCTTAACCTGAGGTACCACTGTATTTCTCTTGCATATGCTTGGCCACAAGTGGCCACAAGGTTGGTTTAATGGAATCTGAAATCAGATTGGCCTTGATTTGTATTTTTAAAAAGGATATAGTCGAAGATCAGATCCTGGTGTCAGGTGAAGTTTTCCTTTCCAGGTAGGCTTGAATTTAAGCTGGTATTGTAAAGCAAAAATGTTCCTTTGCCCACAGTTTTCCTTTCCTCACATGCTTTGAAATCAATAATTTTCCTTTATGCTGCCTTTGCAGTTTGAAACTAAATTGTCTCGGCAAAAGGTCTTGTTGTCAGTTGCAGCTGCAAGCCCCACTTTCCTTAGGGGTTGGCTCTACTTGAAGTTCCTGAGTGGAACCAGTTCCAGTGTAGCTGCACCCAGCTTGAGAAGACATCGGGTGGGGATTTCTTAGGGGTGGAGACTGCTTTCAGGGGCCATATTAAGACCCCAGCCAGGCCTAATGCTGTGCTCTGCCTCTGCAGTCAGAGGTAGTAATGCTTCTGACCACCAGTTGCTGCAAACCACAGGAGGGGAAAGTGCTCTGAATTTGCTTGCAGGCTTCCCATAGGCATCTGACTAGCCACAGGTAGGACAGGAAGCTGGGCTTGATTGGCCTGATCCAGCAGGCTCTTCCTATGGTCTGAATTAGGCCTGCAATACAGAGGTTCTCCACTGCATCACTTTGCATGGCTTTTTCCACATTTCCTTTTACCTGTGTTCCACTGCCCTGGATATACCTGTGCCTTTTCTCCTTCCTATTCACAATCTCAAATTCTGCAAAAGCTTGACACAAACAGCACAAAACGAACATATTTATTACACAAAGCAAGTCATTGTAGCTAGGCACTGCTTTGCCAACCCGAGCACAGGTCGTTAAGCCAAGATTTGTAATTACCAGGTAACTGGTCCGATTCAGAATATCAGTGCACAAGTTTTGATGATAAACTTCGAGAACAGTTCACAGGGGAAAAGCCGATTTATACGACTTCATAAGGGCATACTGGGATTTGCTTGGGGAACAAGGCCTGATGCAGGGACGTGAGAGCTTTCCACTATGTTTAACCATAACAATTCTTTGCCCTTGTTCTTGGATCAGGTTTTTGCTTCCTGCTCAGCGGATGCCTCCATCCGCATCTGGGATACACGGGCACCACCGGGGAAAGCCTGCATGCTGACTGCCAGCCAGGCGCATGATGCAGACGTCAACGTCATCAGCTGGAATCGAAACGAGCCCTTCATCGTCAGTGGTGGCGATGATGGGATCCTCAGGATCTGGGACCTCAGGCAGTTCCAGGTTAGAAATCACTGTCAAAATATGTTTGGGAAAGCCTTTAGGTCAGGAGTTGGCAACCTAAGGCCCATGGGCCACAAGCGGCCCACGGGGGTCATTTAACCGGCCCCCGAGCTGCCCAGTTGGCAAGTCCCCGCACACGGCGCTAAACTAGCGCGGTGCAGGGACTCACTTCTGTGGCGCTGGAAATCGCAGTCGCACTCGCTCATGGGCACATGCAATTCGGCCCATGGAGGTATCTCCGCTGGAGTCAACCGGCTCAGGCAAGGTAAACCTTGCCCACCCCTGCTTTAGATGTTGCTGAACTACAACTCCCATCAGCCCCAGTGAGCATGGCCAGGGATGATGGGAGTTGTAGTTCAGCAACATTCGGAGGGACAAAGGTTCCTTACACCTGTACACAACATTATTTCCCCTTCAAATCTTCTTCACGAGCAATATCCCTCAAACTCAGCCCTTCTTTTGTCCTCCCCTTTCTCTGCAGAAAGGGTCGGCTGTCGCCACCTTCAAGCAGCACACGGCACCCATCACGTCCGTCGAATGGCACCCTACAGACAGCGGCGTGTTTGCAGCCTCCGGCGCCGATGACCAGGTGACGCAGTGGGACTTGGCTGTGGAGCGAGACGAGGAAGCAGAGGCCAAGGACCCAGCTTTGGCCTCCATCCCACCCCAACTACTGTTTGTTCACCAGGGAGAGAACGACATTAAGGAGCTGCATTGGCATCCGCAGTGCCCTGGCACCCTCGTCACCACAGCCCTATCTGGCTTCAACATCTTCCGGACTATCAGTGTCTGAGCGAGAGCGAGGCTTTCAAAATGGCCGCCTGGGGTTTGCAGACCTGTTGCTAAGAGAGGTGCTAAGCCGCAGTACCCTTCGTTGCTTCTTTCAAGATGGCCGCAGTCTCTCCTCCCTGTGGACTCTAAAACCTTCTAAAAAATGGGTTATTTTGTTGGTTTAATAACTAACTTTTGCTTTTGGAATAGGTCTTCACAGCTGCCCCGATTAAGCTTTGCAGTCTTTTGATGAGGTCATCACCTCTCTCTGTCATCCCGTTAATGAGTGATAATGATTAGAATAGCCTTTGCTCTGCTTTATCTACACTCATTCCTCGAACAAATCGGATGATTCAGGTCTCATTTAGATGTTTCCACTCCGCTATGGGAAGAGTTCAAAACAGACTTAATGGCTTTTTCTGTGTGTGGAACCATCCAAACGTACGATGTATAAAACAGTTTGCAAGCATCTGCTTAACTGTTCATCAGAGCCTACCACTGATGCAGCGGGGGGCGGAGAGGAAGTTGTTTGTAAAGAATAATGTATTTTAAATAAATATAAATTATTTTGGAGGGAAGGTGGAAACCCCGTCAACATTTTGACAGGCTGCATTTTTCTTGTTTTACCTCTGTACAAGCTGGGACATACTAAGCTCACGGCCCTGCACCAGCCATGCAGAGAGAGCCCAGCAGGGGCTCTCTAAGCCTGATCCATTTGCCACTTACTGAAAACAAAGAACTGGGGGGCAGCATTACCCTACAATAATTTCTCTGATCATGTATAATACGGACTACATGATAAGGCAGGGCTTTTTAATAATTGTATTTTTTATGCTGTGAGCTGCTCTGAGAACCACGGGTGATACACAAATTTAATAAAAATTAATTTTTCAAAGTGGAAGCTAGGAATTCCCTTTGCCCTGTGTCGCAAAGAGCCAGTGTGGTGTAGTGTTTGGAGTGTCAGACCAGGACCTGTGAGACCAGGGTTCAAATCCCCACTTGGGCTTGGCGCTCACTGTGGGTGACCCTAAGCCAGTCACTGCCTTCCAGTCTAACCTACTGCCCAAGGTTGTTGTGGGGATTAAATGAGGGGGAGAACCATTTACGCGACCTTGAGCTTCCCAGAGAAAACGGTGGGATATACAGTGGTGCCTCGCAAGACGAAATTAATCCGTTCCGCGAGTCTCTTCGTCTTGCGGTTTTTTCGTCTTGCGAAGCACGGCTATTAACGGCTTAGCGGCTATTAACGGCTTAGCGGCTTTAAGAAAAAGGAAACAAACTCGCAAGACGTTTCGTCTTGCGAAGCAAGCCCATAGGGAAATTCGTCTTGCGGAACGACTCAAAAAACGGAAAACTCTTTCATCTAGCGAGTTTTTCGTCTTGCGGGGCACCACTGTAAATGCAAGAAACAAATAGGCCTGTGCCTCCCTCAGCCTCTCATTCCAGAGGGGAGGGTGTCCCTGCTTTCTTATCTGGCCTTAGGAAATCTGCCTAGGTCACATACCCCTTTCCCTAGGTCAGATCCCATCACTTTTACTCCACACCTTCCTTGTGTAGCTGATGTGTTCTTGAACTGCGATGCCTCTTGCTCATGTGCGTGGGAAGAGGGGTTTGTAGCTGCAAGCAGAGAGTAGCTTTCAACAAATAAAGGAAAGACTCACAGCTGTTGCTCTGGCCCCACCAATTCACCACAGGCTGCTCACCCCACACAAAGGTTGCCTATGGAGGAATGTGGCCTTTGGGCTGCAAAAGGTTTCCCCTGATAAGGCTCGAACCTCTTTTATTTCTGAGCAAGTGCAACCCTTGTCTCCGGGCAGCTGGAAAAAGACAAATTACACTACTGCAGAAACGCTGCCAAAGTCAGTCCAAGTATTTCTCCTTGGCCAGCTTATTTATGTACACAGAGCTGCCCTCCATGAGACATTTGCACACGGAGATGTCTGCTGGGAGACTTCACACACCGACAGTCATTTGCACAATTGTAATGTGGAGGGTTAACTGTAAACGAAGTAAGAGAACAGCTGGAGTAGACTGTGCTATAATAGCTTAAGCCCAGCCCCACAACACTGTCTGAAAGGCAACCCTAAATCACCACTGGCATCCTGTTCTCACTGCATCCCACTCCACTGCAAGGACGTAAAGACTGCAGTCCCATCCTGGTCCACCGAACACAGCAGCACCGTCTTCTTCACGTTGGTACCGAGGCGTCCTGCGCTGACAACATCACACAGGGAGAGAGGGGTGTCTTTAGAGACACACAGGGCAATGTAATGGGCATGGAAACGCATGGGGTCACCTGTAGGAGGGAGGGAGAAAGGCGGGGTTAGAAGAGGGAAATAGCCCGTTGGCTTCCTCCCTCCTTAACAATCGGTCTTCATTCTAGAACGAAGCCATTTTGAATTTTGCCGTAGCAAAAAATGTCTTCGAGTCAAGGAAAGGGCAAGTCTTTTTTCCTAAGCTTAGCAGCAACCACTGCCTGCCCAGCAAGAACCCTGGGAGCAGCAGGGGGGCTAAGTGCGTGGGATTTTGTAAGTTTGTGGCAGGCGGGCAAAGTCCCTTATACCATCAGACCACTGTCAATACCAGGGTTGGGGAACTTTTCGGCTGTGGGTCAAATCTTTCAGGCATCAAATCCACCTATCACGTGATGACATCATCATGATGTCACCTACGTGTTAAACGTATAGCTTTGCAACTCTTCCTACTTTAAATACTCAATTTCAGAAGACTATGCTGTCTGGCAGTGGCTCTCTAGTTTCAAACAGAATTTCCTGCCTGGAAGGCAAATGGAATAACATGGCAAGAACCTTGCACAGAGGCATTCAACCCTGCCACAATCTGTTGTATAGTCCCACTTCAGAGTTCTATCTACATACACGTTATTTAATTTCTGCACTTCCCTTCATCCCAAGATTTCAGGGCGACGCACAGCAAACCAAGGAAACACAGTATTTTATTCTGTAGACATTACTCCTGAAACCATTAGAGTACTCCTGCCTTCCCCATTTTCAGCAGACCTGTATTCACTATAAAAAAGGAAGGCTGCTATTCACCGCAAAGCAGACGAGGACTCTGAATCCCCGTGTGCAAGGACAGAGGGAGGCATTTATTTATTCAAGATGGGGCCAGGAATCCTGCCTGCCTCTTTAAATACCTCTCACCCTTCCAACAGAGGGCCGGCTAGGCCTTTCAGCAAATATTCCATTCACTCCTGGGCTAAGAGGCAAAAACGCAGGATAAGATTGCTCAGCTTTTTATTATTCGTATTTGCCTTTGTGACGCAGGGGAGTTTTGATATCACACTCTCTGCTCAGAGGGGCAGACTCTGAAAACCATAGCATTTGTCACCCCACCCCACCCCCGGCTTGGATTCCCCAAGATCCACAAGCCTGCCACTACCTGGATAAACAAGGAAGTCGCCCCCAAATTTGCTCCCACTGGTGACGTAGTAGCCTCGTTCCCAAAGATTCTGGAAAATGCGGTAACGTATCTCATGGTCCTCCTGTCCAGTATAAGGCCAGTCTTGGGATTGGACATGCCAGTCCACCTCTTCTTCTGGGCCTGGATGTACTCGTTCTGTTGGGAGCTGGACCATCATAGATTGTCGAGGAAGCACAAAGGTAGATTCTGGTTCTGCAGGAGGAACTGGAAATATAATACAGAGTGGCTTGTAACTGGGCTACCTTAAGGACGACCTTCTTCCATGTATTTCCTCCTGTGGCTGTGGTCCTTGTCTAGTCATTACCACCAACAGCCTGAGCTATGATAGGTACCAGGGCAGGACCTTCTTGGTTGTGGTGCCAAGATTAAGCACAGCTCTGCCCAAGAGAAATCCACCTAGGTCCTTCCTTTAAGTATTTCCTTATTCAGCTAAGATGTGGTTAGACATCTAGTTAGCCACTGAGAGCAAAATGCTGGACTAGAGGAGCTACTGGCCTGATGCAATAGGCTCTTCTTTTACAGAGATGTTTGGGGAAAGCTGGCTATTATGGTTTTCTTTGCTGGTGCTCCAAAAAAGCAAGCAGGTTGGCTTTCCCTTGCTGCATCTTGAAAACAGCCCTGCTGGATCAGGCTGAAGGCCTAACTAGCCCAGCATCCTGTTCTCACAGCAGCCAGCCAGGAAGCCCATAAACAGGACCCAAGCACAAGAGCCCTCTCCCCTCCTGCAGTTTCCAGCAACTGGCATTTAGAAGCATTGTTGCCTCCAACTGTGGAGGCGGAGGATAGCTCTCATGACTACAGTAGCTCAGTTGGTAGAGCATGAGACTCTTAATATCAGGGTTGTGGGTTCGAGCCCCACGTTGAGCAAAAAGATTCCTGCATTGCAGCAGGTTGGACTATTTATTTTTATTTTTAATTTATATACCACCCTATACCCGGAGGTCTCAGGGCAGTTCACAGAGCAAAATCAAAATATAAAATCACAATATATAATCAAAATAAAAACAACAACCCAATAACACCCCCCTTGGGGTGTCTTCACACTCCACAATTCTATGACTAGTAGCCACAGGCAGTCTTACTCTCCATGAATTTGTCTAATCCTCTTCTAAAGTCATCCAAAAATCTGTTGTTATTGTGCCCTGAGTGCTGGTGCCACAACTGAGGAGAAAACATTTTTCTCTGTCCTCCATAGGTTCTGGGACTACCACTCCCATCAGACCCAGCCAGCACTGCCAATAGTCAGGGATGATGGGAGTGGAGTCCAGGAACATCCGAAAGGCCACTGTTTCCCCACCCCTAACCTATACCAATCATAGTTTAGTCCTCCTGCAAGGGACGCGGGTGGCGCTATGGTCTAAACCACTGAGCCTCTTGGGCTTGCCGACTAGAACGCCAGCAGTTCGAATCCCTGCGACGGAGTAAGCTCCCGTTGCTCTGTCCCAGCTCCTGCCAACCTAGCACTTCGAAAGCACACCAGCGCGAGTAGATAAATAGGTACCACTACGGTGGGAAGGTAAACAGTGTTTCCATGTGCTCTGGCACTCGTCGCAGTGTCCCATTGCGCCAGAAGCTGTTAAGTCATGCTGGCCACATAAACCGGAAAGCAGTCTGTGGACAAACAGCGGCTATCTCGGCCTGAAAGCGAGATGAACACCACAACCCCACAGTCGCCTTTGACTGGACTTAACCTTCCAGGAGTCCTTTAACTTACCTCCTGCAGCTTCCTGGGGCACTTCCAAATAAAGCAAAATAGTTGCCACATAGCAAACGTTGACGCTCACCTCCCTCTTCCTGCCGCCGTTTCTTTGCCCGGCCCTGGGCTATACGTTCCGCAAGAGTACCCAGCACGGCTTTCCTCTGTTCAGCCGCCAGCCGAACCTGCTCCTGATAGCTCTCCTCTTGCTCATTTTGGTAGGCGGCCACCTCTTCAAGGGCTGAAGGATCCTGCAGACACAGAGAAGCAAGTTCAGCGCTGCCCATTCTCTGACCACATCCACACCATGCATTTAAATCACCCACAGGCACATACATGTCCACAGAGACCTTCCCTGGTGCCCACTGGGTCCTCATGCCACTCCAATGAAATTAGGCCTGAAAGAAGTATTCTGTTTTAGCCAATATAATAAGCTGCAGCGTGCGCTTGGTTGCAGCGTGTGTTTGGGTCCCACAACAGTGCCTCTGGTTTGCAAATGTGCCCTGGGGTTCAAAAAGGTTGGTGGCCCATGATCTACACTGCACAATTTGCAGCAATTAAGCAGAGCATCCTTCACTTTTGCTCCAGGTTTTGGAGGGTGGGGTGGGGTTGTGTGGGTTTTTTGTTTTTTTTTAGAGAACGAGCAATGATTGGTTGAACCATCACCTGGCTTTTATCATCTCGAAGAGGTTGGGACGCTGCGTTTTTGAACAAGGCTGCCAACCCCTTTTCTGCCAGTAGCCGGACCTCTTCCGGGAGCAGCTGCAGGGGCAGCCCCAGCCGCACATTCTGCCGCGGCTTCCGAGCTAACGCTCCAACCAGTGTGCCGACAATACGATGCTCCTCCCGCAATCTCCGTGCATCAGCAGCATTCCACACAAAAGCCTTTCCCTCCAAGATGTGGATTCGGATCATGCCTCGGCCTGTACCTGTGCTTCCCTGAGAAGATGGGAAAGGAACAACCACAAAAATACAATGACATTCACTTGACTTCAAGATATTTTTGGACGGTGGTGGGATCCTCTCCTTTGAAAGGTTTTGCCAGCAGCCTTTGGGGTAAAGGCAATTGGTTGTCGGAGGTTCTTATACTAAGCACTGAAATGTACCTAAAATGGCAGAGGCAGGTTACTTTACAGATCACCCGTTTTAAAAACAAGTGGGTTGGCTTTAATCTGCTCTCTCCACTATTTAATAGGTTTGTAATTGATGTAAATAGTTTTATTGTTTATAAGGGTTCTCTTATGCTGCTTAAAGCAAAGCAGCATAATCTCTCTGCTCCCAGAACCCAAAAGATATGTTGGCCAATCTCTTCTCTCTCCCTGAACAGAAGCACAGCTGCAATACAATGGGCTGTAAGCATCCTGAATAAATCATGACTGGTCCAGGGACATAAATAAGAATAAAATGGGTGGCAGGGTGGGGGTATGCTTGGGGTGCTTGCAGTGGATTGATTGGGGGCACCTCTCTGGAATAAACTGTTTTATGCAAAGGGAAGCAAATACATGCATATTGCATCGCAAGTCTGAAACGACACACACACTTAACTAAGCCATAAGCTTCAAGTTTCAGACAACAGCGATTATTATGACCAACGGATCTTACGTCTGATCTTCGGATAAAGGGCGGTATACAAATTTAAGTAATTAATAATAATATACCAGATGAAGAGTAGGCTGCTAGTAAAGATTGGGACGATGTACTCTCCCTCCGCTGGCTGACACAGCCTCTTCGTTTCCTGTAACATCACCCCAAAATCAAGACCCTTCCCTAAATCACCAGCACCCATGCCCCTTCCCAGGACCCAGGAGTCCTGCCCCCTCCACTCCCAGCACCCTCCCCAACCCGTTTTAATCCCATAAACCACTTTCACACCGGATCGCCTTTTGCTTTTAAGCCATGAGGCTCCTCTTGCGTGAGAATCCCGGAGATATTTTCCTCCCCTTAGTCCCCGCCCCTTGCTCTAAATGACCCTCCAATCACTCTCTCGCCACAGCCGATTAGCTTGGAGTGATGGCTCCGCTGCCCAATAGACGGTCCGAGAAGGAGCCAATGGCTTGGTCTTGGGAAGACAGAGGCGGTGCAAAGGAGGAGGAGGTGGAGGAGGAGGGTGGGGAAGCATGCACACACCGCCTCCCCTTCCATCGCGCACAGTTCATCCTGCAAAGCAAAGGAAACTGTGCAAGAGGGACAGGAAGCGCGCACCTAAGATTGAGAAATTGTTTTGCAAGGCAGCTTGGAGGCGAAGGGGGAGGTGGGGCAGCCATCTCAAAATGGATTTTGCAAGGAGCTGAGCTCTTTGCATCGCGCTCCTAGGCTGCCGCTTCTTCTCCTTCCCTCCTGCCCTCCCTCCTTCAGCCGCGCTCTCGATTCCCCCTTTGGGCAGCAGCACGTGCTGAAAGGGCCCTCCGAAGAGGTGAGTGCCGGGCGGGGTGGCTGATTTGGGAAATCTGGGTGGTGCTGGGAAGCCGGACTCCTGGGTTCCATGGGAAAGGATGAAGCGGGTTTTAGTGGCTCACCAGTATGGGGCCTAAGGCTAGGAGCCAGGGCTCCAGGGTTCCCTAGATCGGTGTCAAACATAGACGGGGCAATTTTATTTTATTTTTTGCTCAGGCATAAGATCTAGATGGGGAACGGATAACTTACCCTGGAGTATAGAGGGGATAAATAGGAGCCAGCACGTCTTGGTGCTCTATTTTCAGGTATTATACAGCGTAGTTATAGCCTTAAAATCACCCACCCGGGGTGTGCAGCGCCAGTCTCCCTGAACCCTGCTTTTTGATAGATCTCTTCCTTGCAAGGGCTACATAATTGCATTCAGTGTCCCCCCCGCCCCCATTTTAATCTGGTATGTGCGTACAACACCTACCTGAGGAATGACGCTACCACTTCTTTTCCCCTCTAGTTTCCCAGAGGATTGTTAAAAATATTCTTCTTTACATTCCTCATCAGATGAAAAACCCCACAGAAAATATTTCCTGCTACCAAGGATTCCCGCCCCCTTTCATTTTGCAGTTGGTGGAGCTCTGGAAGTTGACAAGTTGTTGTGTTTTGCTCCTAAGCAGGCGAATGATTAGCTCTTACCTGTAACCCCAGATTTACTGGGGTTGTTTAGTGCTGTTAACTGGGGGAATGCATTCTGCATATACCCAGAGGCTCTAAATTTAGGGCTGAATATTCTTCTTGCGCTACTACAGGAATTCTGCTGAAGCTTTTCCACTTTGGGTATTCTAACCCAGCCAACCTGGGGCCCTTCAGATGTTTGGGACTGCAGCTCCCATCTGATGGATGGAGAGTGGGCAAGGAAGTATTTGGCAGAGGTTAAAGGAGCATTGCCATGATGTTTTCTAGAAAGTCTTCCAAGCACAATTATAGCTGTACACAAGGGAGAAATTAAGTAGGTGGCATTTCTTTTCCCAATGGAAAAAAAATTGGCTCAAGTTGTGCTTTGCTAAGAAATGAACAGATGCAATTACAACATCCCTGGCATGTGGGCCTCTGCTGAAGCACCTCCAGCCTGCTCCACTGCCCAGCTGATACTGTCAGGAAGTTCCTCTTAATGTTTATCTGCTTCCCTGCAGATTTCGATAGTCTTGCCCCCTGGAGCAACAGGTAACAATTCTGCCCTGTCTTCTGCATGGCAGCCCTTCCATGTATGTGAAGGCTGCTTACTTAACCATATATTCTCTAGGTTAAACCTCTCCGGCTCTGTTGTCCCATCTTATTAAAACAAAAAATAAAACCTGTAGCTCCACTCCAAATTCCTCGGACGTTTAAGAAACTAGTAATTTCATATCAGATTTTTGCTTTAGGCAAGTTCCTTAGGCCACTCTAACTCAGAGTTGTTTTCCTTTTCCTTTTAGCCCATGTTAACTGTTTTTATTCCTGCCTCCCATAATGTGCACTTCCCTCTGCACCATCAAGTCTCTCTGAACGCAGCACTTTCTCACCTGTAGCGGGGCATGTCAAGAAGTCTGTTCACTCCCTCTCAAAGGATCATGGGAAGTGTAGTTTAACACAGAGCTACAATTCCCAGCAACCTTAACAAACTACAGGTCCTGGGACTTTTCAATGTACGGAGCCTTAGATTCCCTCACCCTCTTCAGTCAGTGTCTCTTCAGCTTAATTTCTTATCTACTTCCTATTTTCCTGTCCTTTGCATAACACTCCTGTCTATATACCTCCATCTATTCCTCACACAGAAAACCACCCAAATTTCCAGGATTCTCTGCACTTCCTCTCTGAACTCGCTCTACTTTCTTCACCTAGCAGGTCTTTCTGCACCCTCTACCCCCACTTTAGTCCATGTCTTTGCTCTCAGCAACAATACCCTTGCCCACTTCAACAGCACACAAGGCTTTCCCTCCTTCAGCAACTCATGTCAATGAAGGAGCCTTTGATGGAGGTGAGCCACGAAGCTGCAAATTCGCAGGGGAATTGGAGTCAGCCCCAGCATTTACCTCTGAATCCAGCAAAGGGAAGGAGATGTGTAGACATTGCGATGCAGGGATTCTCTCATCCCTACGTCGGATGGGCTTGAGTGGACATTAGCTGTTCCTCCAAAGGTTTGGGTAAGGGTTGCAAGTAATGAGTATTTTGAATTCTCCCCCTACCCAAGGGATGCCAGGCAAAGTGGGATGGGCTGCGGTTGGCCTGCAAAACTATGCATGGTACAGGCCTGGTGCAAACTCTAGTCTAGTGATTCACTGGAGGGGGAAAGTGTGTGTGTGTGTGTGTGTGTGTGTGTGTGTGTGTTTGCTCTCTGTGTGCGTCTCGCTGGACTCCTTAGATAGACACTTGCTTTTAATCTAGCTGAAGGATTCCTATTTAAATATAGAAAGCATGGGGTGGAGGAGTGAGGCGAGGGATTATAGGGAGACAAGGACATCAGCACAGAGGAACGGGGAGAAAGTGGCGGGGGTGGAGTGTGTGGAAACTGGTCTGGGTGTGTTCAGCTACAGTCATCCCCAGCGGGGACAGGAGGAAAGGGGGGTTGCCTTGCAATCTGTCTTTGTAAATGAAGCTCGGAATGTGGAAGGCTGGGAGCAAGGTAGAAAGAGAGCACCTGTACTTTTCAGAGTTGCACAAAATTGGTTTTTTTCCTCTTCCCTCCCTGTCCCTTCCCCCTGGTGTGTCGTATTATTATTGTAAGCCTGCAGACAGGAATTGTCTTGTTTTAATTGATTGTACACTCTGGGAGCCTTTTGGGCTGAAGAGTGGGATACAAATACAATCAAATCAATCAATAAAAAGGGGGGGGGAGGGTTTCCTCAGCCAGCATGCCTTCTTGCTTTGTTCTGTGCAACTCTGAAAGGTGTGGTAGCCTGCAGCTGACAGTTCTTTCTGCATGTGACTCAGTCGGTAGAGCATGAGACTCCTAATCTCGGTGTTGTGGGTTTGCGCCCCACGTTGGGCAACAAGATTCCTGCATTGCAGGGGTTGAACTAGATGACCCTCGTGGTCCCTTCCCACTCTACAAGCCTATGATTCTATTACTTGCTCCACTCTCCTTCTTAGAAGAAAGCGAAGAGACCTGGCTCATACCCTTGACCTCTGTTTGGTCCCCACAAGCTGTCCTGCACAATCCATAGGGAAGATGCTTAAGAAAAAGCAGATTTGTGACCTTTTAACACACGTAACATCCTAAGGCCCCATCTGCATGATATGTATGATATAGCTTTAAATGAATATTGTAGAAATAGCCTTAGAATGGTATAAAGCTGGACTACTCCACCTGGGATGCTTTGAGTGGGGATTCCAATCCCAAAATAGAGTTGCCAACTTTCTCCTCCGGCAGTGCTCCTCTGTGCCTTTAACACAGGGGTGGGGAGCCTGTGGTCCTCCAGATGTTGATGGACTACAGCTCTAGGAACTCCTGGCCACTAGCTACATTGGCTAGGAATTGTATTTCAACAACATCTGGAGGGCCACATGTTTCCCTTCTAGCAGGCAGAAGTTGAACAGGTGGTGCCTTTCCTGCCACAGAGATGAAGTGATAGAATAAGCATCAGCTGTTATATTTCTGCTGGCTGGACATCAGGCAAGGGTGGCTAACCTGCAGTTCTTTAGGTGTTGCTGGACTACAACTCCCTGACTATTGTTTATGGTGGTTGGGGCTGATGGGAATTGCAGTCTCAACACCTGGAAGGCCACAATTTACTCCTGTGTTAAAAGCATAGGAATGCTGTTTGGGGGAGGGCCATGATTAGGGGTGATGAGTTGCATTCCAGTAATTCCACAAGCTCCCCATCCCTACCATAAGATTTGCAGAAGTACAAAAAAAAAACCCTTCAAATAAGAGACCCTAAGATCCTTTCTGGAAACAGGGGATAAAAGAAATTGGGGGCGTTATTGGGGAAACTGTGACCCTAGACACTAAATATTTTTTATTATAATTGTTTGAAAGGGGTAATGCTTCTCTTGCTGAGAAAGTTTACTTGCTGGTTGCAACCAAACGGATCATCTCACAAGGCTAGAGGGAAACGTCATATGTTGCTTCAAATGGATGGTATTCAGAAATGCTTTTTATTGGTGTCTCACAAAAACTTAACTCATTACTTAAGACTTCTTTGAAGCCAAGCTGCACCAGAGGACTTTGCAGCAGTCTGGTGGAAGTTTATAATCCGTATAAACAAACCGCCACATCCAACTATTAATCCTTCTACGTTTGAGGAATTTGCAAACTTTCATCATTAGTTTCCATAAGTTTGTCTCTCCAACAACCTGAAACTTGGGTGGGAATGGAATGGAGCAGTGTTCTTCAACCTTGTGTCCTCATTTGTTGTTGGACTACAACTCCCATCATCCCTGCCCCTTGGCTAAGCTGACTGGGGATGATGGGAGTTGAATGCCAACAATATCTGGAAGGCGACAGAGCACTGAGGAGAAGCCTTCCACACAGGCAAGATCCATGCCAGGTCTCATCCTGTCATGACTGGTAGCCATTGACTAATACACTGGGAGCCAGCATGGTGTAATGGTTAGAGTGCTGGATTAGGAACTGGCAAACCAGGGTTTGAATCCCCATGCAGCCATGAAGCTCCCTGGGTGAGCTTGTGCTAGTCCCTGTTTCTCGGAGTTGTCGTGAGGATAAAACAAGGAGAGGAGAACCGTGTAAACTTCTTTGAGCTCCTTGGAACAAAAGGTGGTCTATACATGTAATGAATAATACACCTGCCCTCTCTGAATTCACTTTCTTCCCTAAATTGCATAAATTAATCAGGCATTGTGTGTGAAGAGGTCCTGTCTTTCCTTTGTCCTGAATATATTGCTCATCCGTTTCATTGGGTGACTATCCCCTCCCTCCCAGTCCCACCCCCACCCAAGTACTATCATGCTGCAAGATTATTGCTTTACGCCACCATCCCTTAGGTTTTCCCTCCTTTGATACAAGAATCCAGGTGCCTTGACAACCTTGCTTTTACCTTTCTGGTATCATATTAATATGCAGCCCCAAGCATCTGGGTCATTTCCTTCAAAGATATTCACCCTACCTCAAACCAGCTGCTGGACCAGTAGCACAGCCTTCTCCCTGGTTATTTCCAGTATTCCCAGCATTAATCTCTACAAACCATTGTGCACAGCCTGTTCTGACTCTCTGCATCTCTTGCCAGCCACAATGTCACCCGATGAAGTCATCTACTTGGCAGTCCTTCTCGTTTCCATCCCCATCGGCTTCCTCTTCAAGAAAGGGGGTGAGTGCTCAATCTGGGTGGCCAAAGTGAGTTGGAGGAGATGACGTCGTGTCTAAGAGGGGGGGGATGACTGTTGCAGAGTCAGATTTAAGCAACCCAGCATTGCCCGAGGACTCCTAAGGCCCTGAGATGAAGTTCTTTCTTTTGATATGTTGCATTTATATAGCTGTCCATCTATGCAGCGGTGGTCTATGTGTGTGTTTTTAATGAAGTCATACAGAAATCTTGCTAATTCCCCTGGTAGCAGGCAAACAAAACAGGCAAAAGCAATTCTTCAAAATACAAAATATCATGATTAGAAGTCAACAGTAAAAGGCCATAAAGCATACCAGAGCAAATGAAGCAGCTCAGATTTAAAACACAATTTAAAAGCTTGGCTGAGTAAGAAAATATGTTCACCTGGTGCTGAGCAGACCACAGAGAAGACTCCAGGAGAGCCTTTTTGGGGAGCACATATTGCATGGTCAGAGTGGCACTACCAAAAATACCCTCTCCTTGGTAGGGACATCTGTCGCTAGACTTCTGAAAGGGATCTTAAGGTCCCAAGCTGTTTTGGGCTCTATAGATTAAAATCAGCACTTTAAACTGGGTCTGTAAATGGACTGGGAGGCAGTTAGCTGACAAAGTCCTGGCATAATAAGATAAAAATGCCCAGCTGCGGAGAATGTAGTATTCTGCTCAGTGTGGATTTTACTATTCCAGGGCTGTAATGACAGGAGAATCTGCAGCCTTAGTAGAATTTTGTGCACCTTTAAAAGGTACAAGAGTCTGCACTGGTTGCTAGTATGTTTCTGCTCTGAATTCAAGCCTTTATCAGTAACACATAAAGGTGCTGAATGTTATTCATTGAGGGTGTAGTATTCTCCAGCCCAGGGTCCTTGGATTAAGGGCGGGCTATAAATTTATTAAAAAGATAAAATAATTAATAAGAATGGAATATTCCATTTGGGGTTTTTTTCTGGAGCTGAAGGATTGCCGGGGGGGGGGGGGAGTGCAAACAAGAAATGGGGACTCCAAAAAGCTGCCTTATTCGAGATAAAACCATTTCTCCCTTTAGTTTAATGTTCTCCTTAGGAGCAGCTCTCAGTGGTCTTGGGCAGAAGTCTTTTCCATCACTTATTATCTGATCTTGAACAGGAAGTACTGTAATGGGAATTGACTGAATGGTTGTGCTGGGGGGGCGTGTCCTGTGCATGTAAATATTTTGCTTTAACACCAAGGTCTAATCTCTCTTTCCCTGCATTCTCTTTTGTTGAACTGACTTGCAATCCCTAACTCCTGAACTCACTGGGTTGGATCTGTTCACAATAGGGGAATTTTTTCCATCTGCTTATTCCCCACAGACCTGAGGATCAAGCAGTTTGGAGGGGCAGCTGCGGGGCTCGTGCTCACGCTGGCCACCTGCCACATCCACACCCTCCACTCACTTATCACCATCTTGGGGACGTGGCTGATAATCAACATCTCACCAAGGTAAAGGAGGAAGCTGGGAGGTGGTGGAATGGGAAACACTGGGGAGGGGGCTCTTGTAGTTCTGTGTGGTGGGCCAGGAGGCCTAGTAAGATGAATCAAGACACCTTGCAAACGTGGTTTGGTTATTTGCAGGTGGCTACAGTTTAGCAGGCAAGGTTGAGATTGCGGGAATCGGATCTCCCGGAATTTCTACCTCTGAGGTTTGAAAAGTTGAAATAATGGGGGGCTTAAGAGCAGGGCAGATAAGCCAGTGGTCCTCCAGCGGTTGGGCTACCACTGGCTATGCTGGCTAGGACTGATAGAAGTGCCAGTTGATTAGCACATAGAAGGCCACAGCCATTTCCCAGGTTTAGAGAAAAGAAGGTTTTGTCCCTTTTGACACAGAGACATAGAGCCAGGACCCTCAAAATGGGACAGACATCTACCAGATTATTACTTTACTGTCATTATTGTTGCTATATTTATTACCTGCCCTTCAGCCTAAAGTCACAGGGCAGGTTACAAGAATTTTAACTTCAACATTAAAAACACACAGTTTGAAAAAAAATACAGTCTGGGGAAAGAAATAGGGCAGGTCTTGAAAATGTATATCTTCAGTAAATTTACAACATTAGCATATTGGTCAGTGAGAATGGAACAGCCAGAGTAGAGTGTGTGTGGGGTGTGGATATTATTATTATTATTATTATTATTATTATTATTATTATTACCCTAATGTTGCAGGGTGGATTACAACAACAAAAGCACAGTGTTAAAAATATACACCTCAAATGTCAAAAGCCAAGGTAAAGAGGTGTATCTTTAGCATTTGCTGAAAGCTGCATAAAGAAGATGCCAGACACACCTCTGTGGAGAACAATTCATTAAAGAATAATGAATAGTTCATTAATATTTACAGCCTTTTATCTGCTTCTCCCCTCACACACACCAGGGCCTGTCACTACCTGACACTTGGCTGGACCTTTTCCTACCTGCTCTTTTTCCGCACAATCGCCTACTTTGGCTTCCCAGAGCCAACACCTTTCACCAATGCAGTGCAGCTCTTACTCACTCTCAAGGTAAGAGGGGCTGCGCTTTGGACGGGGGTATGGGGAAGGGGCTCCCTAGGAAGCTCATTTCCCATGATGCCTTAATCTGTGTCTCCCAGATGGTGAGCTTAGCCAACGAAGTACAAGAACTCACTTGGGCGAAGAAACAGGATGTGACATCATTTGCCAAGAGTCCACTGATTGGCGTGATCCCTAAAATGCCCGGACTGGTGGAGATACTGTGCTACAGTTATTGCTATGTTGGGCTCATGACAGGTACCTGAGTTACCTAACAGAAAGCAGTGGTCAAACTGGGTAGGGTGAAATATGTGTACAGCACCAAATTATAGAGATGGGTTTGTCATGGTTACCACAGCTTTAATCTGTATCCCTTCACCAAAATATGAAAATTGATGACAGGAGACAGAAGGCCTGGGGGTTCCCATTTTCTGTTTCAGTTTTCTTTTGAAGAGAAAGCAAGATAAGAGATAAGAACAGGAAGTCCAAAGAACCAAGCATATTTCACCTTTGCCTGTTGTTCTAATCGTCACAGCTGCTGACTTTTGGTTTTTTGTTTGGTGGCATGATTGTGTGTGCGTGTGTGTATCCGTAGTAGCACCAGCATGCCTCTGACCCTTGGTGTTTATGGAAATAATATGCCTTTCTTCCTCTTTCCATTCATTATCTTTGTGTGTCTTTCCAGTTCATGTGTGGTAACGTTGATTGTTCTTTCCTTTTCTGCTTTGTGAGAACAGCACGAAAATATCCCAACGCTACTTCTGCAACAGATAATGAGGGCTTGGAAGGAATGGTGAGATCCTGCAGGTTCTGCTTATGGCACCAGATCCCGTGAGAAGACATAGGGCTAGGCTGCAGGGCGCATCAGACTCTTACCCAGCACCCAAGCTACACATCCTCTTAAGACTGAAGTTATTAAGATGTGTGGTTGCATGAGAGGCTTTTGTGTGTCTTGGTTTTTCTGAGGAACAATTCATTTCTGTCTGCTCGTTGATCTCAATTTCTTTTTTCTTTTCTTTTCTTTTGCACCTAGGCCCGTTTTTTCGCTACCGCACTTACCACGATTGGCTGAACCAGCCTAACTCCACAATCATCCCTAGCTGGAAACCGCTGCTTTTGAGAATGAAAATGATCCCCATCTTTGGGGTCTTTTTCCTGGTGGCATCTCACTTCTTCCCCCTCCAATATGTCCGGAGCGACGCCTTCTATGAACGGGGACTTCTGTTCCGAATCTTCTACATGATACCCATCTTCTTTGTCTTCCGCATGCGTTTCTATGTCGCCTGGCTCTGCGCTGAATGCGCCTGCATTTCTGCTGCCTTCGGTGCCTATCCAACCACCGCCAAATCACGGTCAGGCGGTGGGCCCACTGTGGAATATGTGCCGATCAGCAGGTTAGTCAAGGAGATGTTCCCTGTCTGCAGTAGAAGATGGGCTAGATTTAGAGAATGGCATGGAACTGTCCTGCCCCCAGAAGGAAAGGTGCCATATTCTGACACTAGCTAAATCTTCTATACAGTCTTCAAGGGTAGGCCAATGTAGAGAGCACTGCAGTAGTCAATTCATGAGGGCATTAAGATGTTCTTGTTTTGTTTACATTTCTAAAGCAACTCAGATGAAGGAGGAGCATCCAGCATCACCTATGATTATGAGACAATCAAGAACATTGATCCACATGGCACTGACTTCTGTGTCAAGGTGAAGGATGGCATGCGCTACTGGAACATGACTGTCCAATGGTGGTTGGCACAGTACATTTACAAAAGCGCACCCGTCCGGTCCTATGTCTTAAGGTGAGCAAAGCCGTACCATTGGGGGGTATGGGGGAGATAGCCTGTTGGGGTGGATTGGTGTGAAGGTGGACTCTGAGGTTCAGAGATGAATTGCAGGGAAGGTTCTTCTGGGAACAGCCAGTAAGGAGGATTCTGGGATACATGGTTGGTTGGTTGGTTGGTTGGTTGATTTGAAGACAGGTAGAGTAGAGAAATGCAGGCATGAGGGGGAGTAGCATAAATATGCAAGTGAGAGTTAGGTGAGCAATAGTGAGTAAAGAACTAAACGTTGAGCCAAAAATATTATTGCGACCTTGGATGGTGCAGTGGAACATTCTGGAATACAGTGGTACCCCTGGTTGCGAACGGGATCTGTTGTGGAGGTCTGGCTGTATCCCGAAGGTTTCGCAACTGGAGAGACTGCTTCTGCGCATGCACGCACGGTGATAGAACGCTTCTGCTCATGCGCAAGCGGCGAAACACTTCCGGGTTTGCCGCTTTCGGAACCCGAAGTTTACGTTACCCAAGGGTAACATAACGCGAGCTTCCACTGTAGATGGAGAAAGCAAGGCAGTTGGCATGAAAGACTATGAAATGGTAGGAGTTGGTATATTCCTCCCCACCTGCTCCAGTTGTCACCCGAGTCCCTCCAAGAGTTGCCCTCAAGGGCTTAAGGGCCCAGTCGCAAGTCTTTCACCCATGTTGTCAACCCAAGAAAGCAGAGCTGTGGATGCAGCAGGGTCCAAAACAAACCAAGGTTCAGTGCAGAGACTCCATCTGTCCAATTAAAGTACAACACGGCAAAGCAGTGTTCACACATTAGAAGTTTATGAAATTATGCATGGCATGGAGAAAATGGATAGAGAAAAGTTTTTCTTTCATGACATTGAAATCATGGATGCCCAACGAAGCTGAATGTTGGAAGATTCAGGACAGGTAAAGAAAGTCCTTGTTCACACAGTGTGTTCTTTCACTATGGCACTTGCTCCCACAGGAGGTAGTGACAGCCAGCAACTTAGATGGCTTTGAAAGAAGATTAGACAAATTCATGGAGGTCAAGTGCCTATTGTCCACAGTGGCTATTCCTCCACAGTTGGAGGCAGTAATGCTTCTAAACAGCAGTTGCTTGAAAGCACAGGAGGGGAGGGGATATTCTTATAGCAAAGCAAGGAAGCTAGAATCAGTGCCGTGAGCCAGAGACTTGTGCCGTTTCCAGCAGCTGGAAGATTCAAGAGGGAGGCCTTATATACTCCGGCCTCCTAAACCACACTCCTGAACAGCAGTTGGCATTGAAGGGCCTAAGCATTGACTTCAGGGGGCCCTGCCAGTTCCTCAAGGTCCTCAGTCTCTGGTGTTTCTGCATCATCTTTCAGGTCTGTATAACATGACTTAAGGATGTGAGGCTGGTGTCAAGTAGCTATAGTGTTTTTGTTTTTGTGATGCCTATCCTGAGAAATTCCTTGCAAGTGAGGTCCATCGGGCTCCATCACTATATTTTGTCAGGCGATTGGTGAAAACCTGGCTTTTTGAAAAGGCCATTGGGTTAATTGTGTCATCTTGCTGACTCAGTTCTATGTTTCAGAATAGAAAATTTAAAAAAAAAGTATCAGACATAGTATCGTTACTGTTCTTGGCAGAGTATGAATAGCTGGTTGGCTGTGGGCCAAGAGAGGAAGAGCTGACAGAAGTGTAGGATATCAGCAACTTGGTTGTAGATAAGCTGAACTAGGAAGGCAACAAAATGTAAAGGGAGGCTTGGCTTGAGAGCTGCAGTGAAGGATTCTGGGATTGACTTGACCAATGTGTAACAACAGCAATGGAGGAGTCAAGGACTGATAAGTGGGAAAGTGTGAGGAGAAATGGTGAAGGGTTCTGGGATATGTGCTGGAATTGGCCTGAGGGGAGGATTCTTGGACTGAGAAGGCTCTCTTTCTTCCTAGGAGCGCCTGGACCATGCTCATCTCTGCATACTGGCATGGGATTCACCCTGGCTACTACCTCAGCTTCCTTACCATCCCTCTCTGCCTAGCAGCTGAGGGGGCGATGGAGAGCGGCTTCTTGAGGCACCTGACCCCCGCCGGCCGTCTCTATGGCGACTGGGTGCAGTGGTTCCTGAAGATGAGGGCCTACGACTACATGTGCATGGGCTTTGTGCTGCTCACCTTTGAGGACACCGTCCGCTACTGGAGCTCCATCTATTATTGCATCCACTTGGGGGCATTGGCCATCTTCCTGCTGGGGAAAGGGCTGGGGCTCCAGAGAGGGCGAGCCTCCCAGAAGGACAAAGATGGTACTTTGGAGAAACCCCAGCGGCAGGAGTGATGTGGCTGAGGCAAGGCCGGCATAAGCCCGCAATGTGGAGTGCTGCCGAAGGCCCTGGAGGCTGAGGAAGCAGATGAGACTCAACATAAGACTTGTTTTTTTAACGTGTGTTTCATCGTTGAAACCATCCGACTATAAGGAACCAGGGGATCCGACTATAAGGAACCAGGAGTTGTGTCTCGAAAACTCAGCTTCTCACTTGTTCTAATACCTGAGGACTTAGGAATACCAACACCCAGTGCCACCTCACTTGGCACCAGTGTTTCCCTGGAGAGTGTGTGGGGAGGGAACTCCCAAAAATCTTATCTTCTAACACCTTTGACTATTAGATTTTCCTACTGGCTTTTGTTCACCTTCCAAGAAAGGTCAGAAGTCCTGGCTCCTAGCATCTCTCCAGAACTTGCTTCCTCTTTCTTTTCTATTTTTTTTTTAAACCCCAAACACACCCATGTTACAGGAAGAGAAACTGGGACATTGCAAGAATGAGCAGGGCTCCATTCCTATCCTCATTCCCATCCGTTCCCAGCTCTCACCTTGGAAGTGGGGGTTTACTGCCACAATTGTACCCTTTAAAGTGTATGTGGCAGGGGGAAGAGAATATTGCAGATTTGCTTCTGGGTAGTAGGTCATCTGAGGATACTAAGGTAAAAACACCGGCTCCCTCGGCCTGAAAGCAAGATGAGGGCTGCAACCCCATAGTCACCTTTGGCAGGACTTAACTGTCCAGGGGTCCTTTACCTTTACCTTTTACTAAGGTAAATAAAAGCCCCAACTTCCTTCAGGGAACTCTGCAAAAACCTGTGAGGCTGTTGCTTTGCCCCCAGTCAGTAATTTCCACCACCCCCACTCCCGAAAGAAAACAGGAGTGTGATTCTTGGAGGTGTAAGGACACCTCTGGGTTGAGGAGTTTAGCTCGGTAAGGCTAATGCTTTAAGTACTGTGGAATGGAAGAAGCCGAAACTAAAAAGCAAGATGAAATTTTGCACGCCACGTCAGCCACATTTAAAAATGTATCAGTGGTGATCTTCAGTTATAGGGAGCTGGTTCAAGTGGCAGCAAATTTAAGCTTGTGGCTTGCAGAGTTTGCTTTAGGACACACAAATTCTTGTCTCATGGTTCTAAAACTTTTTTATGTATGTTGGGTTGGGAGCCCTGTGGGTTTTACACTGCAGAACCCATGACTTGACTGTCTGTATTTTTTGCCTGCCGCATGGATTATGTCTTTGCGTTCTGAAGAAAGTAAGGTATAAAACAGCTCATCTCTATAAACATTGTGATCCAGGTCTGATGCAGCTTTATTGGAAGCCTGAATGTGAAATAAAAACATTTTTTTATAAAAAAAAAGAACCATCTCTTATTTATTCAGCTCCTTGCTTATCCTCCAGAGGGCAGTAAATGACAATCCCCAAGCCTTGAAAATAGTGTTCTCTTTATTGCTGTTGCAAATAATTGGATTTCAGCAGTTCCCAGCATAGAAATAATTGCCACATGTAATTTGAAAGTGGACTTCTATTAACTGCAAGAATCCTTCCCTGGACATATAAAGCAATTCTATGACTTCTACAACAGTTAACACTGAGACTGAGGAGGAGGAAGCTGGCAGACAATACTATCCCCTGTACTGGGCTGTAAGTAAGAAGGCAGGCAGGTGGGGCTGAGGGCAGACTGAAGATGGTGTAGCAGTGCCCCATTTGCTCTAATGGTCCAGCCTTCGCTGCAGCCAGATCTCACTTTTTATATGCATAAGCAGCAGTAATCCCAGAATCCTTTGCTGTTTCGCCTTTCCAGTTCAAATCGGCTCGTCGCAAGTCTTACTGTTCAACCAAATCCCCACAAACTTCTATCAGTATCAGAAGCCTCTGCAGCTTCACCTTTTCCATGTCAGGCGATGATGCCATGTGGATCTGTGTGCTGTTTTAAAGGACCCTTCTGGTGACTTTACTATTAAAAGACCGAAAGCGGCTGCACACATTATTTGATTAGACATAAGCCTTAAGATATCTTAAAGAGTACAGTGGTACCTCAGGTTAAGTACTTAATTCGTTCCGGAGGTCCATTCTTAACCTGAAACTGTTCTTGACCTGAAGCACCACTTTAGCTAATGGGGTCTCCTGCTGCCGCCATGCCACCGGAGCCCGATTTCTGTTCTTATCCTGAAGCAAAGTTCTTAACCTGAAACACTATTTGTGGGTTAGCAGAGTGTGTAACCTGAAGCCTATGTAACCCGACGTACCACTGTATATACACACACAAGTGTGTCATGTGTGAATGTGACAAAACAGCAAACAGATTTATTACCAACACATGCTTGTCAACTTCGTGTTGAGTGGTACACCCAGGTCTGAGACTGCATAGCACCTCAAATGGCCTGATTTCTATTTTGATCAAATTTTTAAAAAAGTGTTTCCAAAGGGTCAACATACACACACTATTCCAGAGGCAACTGTACCACTTTTAAAAGGTCTTGTAGTAAAGATAAACATCTCTTTGCCACTGCTACTGCTTCTAGGCTTCAGATCTGTTTGTTGCCAAGTTACTGCCTTTGTTCATGGGACAAGCCATCCCGAGAAATCATTAATCCATGCCCAGCCTTGTCTTAGTTCCTTGTTCCTTGTTCCTTCTACTGGCAAGAGTAAAGTGCACTGAACAGAAACTAGAGAAATACAACCTGCAGCCATGGGCGATGGCCAGGAAAGCAGTTATGAGAGGAGAGAATACAAAGCAGGTATGTGGTGGTCTTTTCCCCCTATAGATTGCTGGTTTGATCTGGGACTGATTGGTCGCAAAAATCCTCTAGCTTTTGAAATCTCTGGTTACTCTACCACTGTCACCGCCTGATCTGGAAGCATTGTGTGCTTCTGCAAACGGAATCCTGGAAGGGGTTGGAATGCGATTTAATTAAAAGCATATCTGAAAGCGAGAGAATGGAATCAGCTTCCATTTGCCGGGCCACTTTAAAAAAAAAAGACTTCTGAGGAAAACTCATCAGCAGTTGGGGAACCTCTGGTTCACTATAATCGACTTTTCAGGAAGGGGATGGTATAAACATATCAGGCCCTCTTAAGGAGAGATGCTGTGGAACATGACAGCGAGCATATAGATAGAATCTGGGGCCTTCTAGTGAAGGGCATGTAATGGTAATAATAACAGCCCCAGAGCTACAATTAATTAATTAATTTTATAATGAATGATTTTAGAGTGTTGTTTGTGCTGTACTTTTGTACTGTTTTATTGTTGTTAGCCGCCCTGAGCCCGGCTTCGGCTGGGGAGGGCGGGATATAAATAAAATTTATTATTATTATTATTATTATTATTATTATTTATTCCCAGAGTGGCTTAACAATCCTCCTTCACAGGGAAATGGGAACTGTAGCCATGGGAGGGGAATAAGGAGGTCTCTGAACAATTCTCAGCACCCTTAACAGTTCCCAGAATTCTTTGGGGAAGCCATGACTGTTTAAAGTGGTGCCATAATGTTTTACATGTGTGGTGTCAGTGTGGCCTAGAAGGGGTCAGCAAACTTTTTCACTAGGTCCCTCAGACCTTGTGGGGGACCGGACTATATTTTTTTGGAGGGGGGATGAATCCTATGCCCCACAAATAACCCAGAGATGCATTTTAAATAAAAGCACATATTCTTCTCATGTAAAAACACCAGGCAGGCTCCACAAGTAACTCAGAGATGCATTTTAAATAAAAGAAGACATTCTACTCATGTAAAAATACGCTGATTCCCAGGCCATCCACGGGCCAGATTTAGAAGGCAATTGGGCCGGATCCGGCCCCAGGGCCTTAGTTGCCTACCAATGGCGCCTAGATAGTATGTTGGATTTTTCTATATGCATGCATTGATATCTGGCGCAGGGTGCATTGAAAATGGGCTGCTGCTTCCTGAGCCATGAATGCCTCCCGTCTTATTCTGCTTCCTCTCTCCAGGGTCCAGCTGGGGTCGCCATGGCCCGCCATCTCTCTATCTCCAGCTGCCAAGCAACCAGACACTGCGTTTCCGTGGCAACAAGGCAGCGGCCTGGGGAGCCGCTTGGGAGGGGGCATCCAAACCTGAGGTTGACCCTCAGGAACTTGTCCCGGAATTTGTAGGAGGGGAGGAAGAGGAAGACAGCAAGCCACTGAAAGAGCTGCCCCTCTGCCTTGAGGAGAAACGGAAGCTCAGGTAGTGCCAGGACGCCTGGGTCCTTGAGAAGGGGGTGAGGACTGATACTCAGAAAACCTAAGGTGCTGCAGGCTTGGGCAACCTGTGGCCCGAGGGCACATGCAACCCTCAGCTTAATTTAATGTAGATGTTGACCTTATCTGCATACACACCATAACATTTAAAGCACATTCCCCTCCCCAAAGAATCATGGGAACTGTAGTCTACCCCCTCACAGAGCTACAATTCCCAGCACCCTGAATATCAAATGGGCGTGACAGAAAAAGAGGGAGGAAAAAAGGAGATGGCCCCGCCCACTTGTGGTTCTGACCAAACCTTTTTTCTCTGGCCCTTCCCCACCATCTGTATACAGCCCCTGACAGGAAAAGAAGACCCCAGGTTTTCCAAACATTCTCATGGGGCAGAGAAAAGGGAAGCAAGAACATCTGGGAAAGAGAATAAGTGTTTGATGAAATTCTTCTAAAAGACAGGTGTGCCCAGTTGGGGAGGGACACAGGTTGCAAGGGGAGGGTGCTACACAGCGACTAATGCTTAATCTATAGGTCACAGCCACATCCATGTGAAGCACACGGCTTTCTCCAAATAACTGCGAACTGCACTTTGTTCACTGGGAAATGTTGGGAAGTGCTCTGTGGAGGAAACGACAGATCCCAGGGTCCTTTAGGAGAAGCCGTTTGCTGTGTGGATGTGGCCTCCGTGACACATTTGTGTGGAAAATTAATTCACATGTAGAGAAGCTGAGGGGCAGCGTTTAATAGCGTTTTGAGATATGGTGCTGTATTAGTTCATGTCAACGCTCTGAGGTTCCCAATAAGCCACCTGGGCTCTTTTCCTCCTCCCTGATCCTCCACCCCTTTTCAAGAGTTCTTCAGGAGCAAGCAGCCAGCAGGCTGAGCGGTTGGGAGCTCTGGCATGTGTGGAAGCGGAGGACACTCCGGCGTGTGAGGAGCCAAGCAAGCTCAGCAGTCGCCTATGGAGAGATGTGGAGGAGCACGCTTCGCCACATTGGAGGTACGGGGAAGGGGCTCTTAAATGTTTAGTGGTGAGGGGGACAGAGTAGGACATGTTTTGTGTTTCATGGGCTCCGACTTGTCATCTTCTCTCCGCACAGGCCAGTTTGGAACAGGGATCCAGTCCTACTTTAACTTTCTCCGTTTTTTGGTCTTGATGAATTTTGTTGCCTCCCTGCTGGTGGCGGGGTTTGTGATTGCTCCGAATGCGGCCTTTGAAGCCTTGTCGCTCAATCGGACAAGTCACCAGAACAGCAGTTTAGGTAAGCCATTGAGTAAGGAGGGATCCTGATTAAGGTAAGGAGTTATTTAACTCTTCAGCAGGAGCTGGGCTTCCAAGGTTTATTGAGGCATGACATTTCTCTTCGAACAGGACTCCTGTGCCTTGGACAGCTGTGTAGGAGGCAGAAGTTAAACAGGTGTAGCTTCTCCATCACAGCATTTCTGTGGTGTGTGACCTGGTGTATTTCTAAGCCTGTCATGCTTGTCAAAAAAAAAATTTAAAAAAATTACACCCCACTAGGAAGGGGAATGGAGCTAAGAGGGTTGAATCACGGACTCCAGGAACCAGTTCTGTAGAAGGGAAGGAAACTAATTTTATTAGAAAAGGGGTACCACAAGCTCAGATACTTTGGTCCTGGTCTTGTTATTTTCTTTTTGAGCCCCTAGGCAGGAATGCGTTATGCTGCACTCAAATAAAGCAACTCACCCCTCAAACTCTGTAACAAAGAGACCTTATTTTTGCATTCAAAAATATATTATGCAAACACTAATTATGTTTCCACATAGTTACCTTGTTCTCCATGATTTATTGAGTTTTTCTGATTCAGATCTGAAATAATGGAAGCAGACATCTGTTGTGTGTGCATGTGTTACGGTGATGACATAGAGGAAAAGGAGTAGTAGGAAAGTATGGAAACATCTCTGTGACACTAAGGGCTAGGCACTTATTCTAAAAGTTTGAAGCTGAGCTTCTCCAGATCCTCCGTCCCCAGGAATATATGCGAGATATTGCACCTATCTACCAAATCCACGGAATGTACAGCCCTATTCTTAAAGCAGATCAAAGTATCTCCCTTTCCACCCTATCGGATCCCAGGACTCTTGGGTTCACCAAGAGATTAACAGGGTCTAACAGGCTAGAGTGTAATAGGCTTCAGGACTCCTTGATTCTGTGGGAATGGGAATGGAACAGGGACAATGATCTCTTCTTTCTTCCCTTTCAGTGAATGAAGCTTGTCTGGCTTACAACCCCACACCCAGAGGCTTGGTCAGCTTTTTTTCCTACCTAATGGACCTTCTGTCAGGCAAGGTGAGAGGCTGTATCCCCAAGAAGAAACTGTGGAAGGCTGCAGCAGTGACCCATTTTCAGACTTGGTGTTCATTTCTCTCCCTGACAGAGTTTCATGGAGCTCACCTACCTCTTCTACGGCTACTACCAAAATTCAGCTGTCGATTTTGTCGGCTTCTCATACAACTGCCCTCTGGCGTATGTACTGACAGCACTCTTCTACCTCCACTTCTCCCTGATGTGGATTGTACGGAGGTGAGGGCAACTTCAAGTCATCTTCCACACACGCCAGACAGAGCTCCAGCTCCAGGAATCACCTTCTTTCTCTCCTACCCACCTTCCATAGATCAGTCTATTGCCTCAAACGTAGCCTGGTTAGTGAAGATGCTTCCCTCGGATCCTACAGCAACAAAGTCTTTGCCGGTTGGGATTTTGGGCTGGTGGAGCGCAAGGCGGCACAGTTAAAGCACAACAGTATTCGCTACGAACTGCGGGTAAGACAAAGCAGGCAAGCCAGAAAAAGAGCTCGAGGCTTGCTAGTTGGCACTTAGGATTTGATTTCAGGGGTCTAGTACAAGGTCTACTCATGGCCTCAAGGCAAAGATGTAGAACAAGGATGGGGAACTGGATCTGGCCGTCAGGATAGATCAGGCATAGGCAAACTCAGCCCTCCAGATGTTTTGGGACTACAACTCCCATCGTTCCTAGCTAACAGGACCAGTGGTCAGGGATGATGGGAGTTGTAGTCCCAAAACATCTGGAGGGCCGAGTTTGCCTATGCCTGGGATAGATCATTATCTCCTCCACCCACTGTGGACCAACTTTGACAGGTGAGCAGCAGCACCCATCTGTCAGTCACCTGACATCACCGTGATGTCACACATGATGTCAGACATAGGGCAAGTAGGTGTGGCTTGGCTGAAACGGCCTGGTGGGCCAAATGGGGAACCTGGTGGGCTTAATTAGGTTTTCTCCTCCTTTGGCTTAGATCCTCCCTCACCTGCTTTGCTCCAGCCCTAACGGGAGGAAACCCAAAGCTCATCTCCCAGAATTCCCACGTCACACGTAGCTTGATCCTATCTCTTCCTAATTCCAGTGACAAACTGTTCTCTGCCTGCTACCCTCAGCTAGAGATTTGTCACCTTTCCTGAAGTCTACTTCAGGGAACCTGTGCCACCACCTCTGATTTGTTGGATTCCAGCTCTTGTCAGCCCTAGCCAGTATGAACAGTGGCCAAGGCTGACGAGAACAGGGATCCAATGACATCTGGAGGGCCAAAAGCTCCTCATTCCTGGTCTAATGGGTGCCTCCCCAGACAACTGGAGAGAGATTCCTGCCAGAGTCACTTGAGCTGATGAAACATCAATTGTTCCTTCTGGGGTTATTTGCCTAACAAAGCTGGTAAGTAGCCACCAACTTTGTTAGGCAAAATAACTCCAGTACTACAGTAATTTGGTCACTAAAAATGGCAGCTAGGGTTGCCATCTCCCACCCCACATCCCCTCAAGCTCCAGTGCTTTTCAACAGCTCTGTCAAGAGGGTGAAATTCAACAGGTGTAGTTTTCTACCCAGTTCTACTTTGCATGCTGCACACTATGCTTGTTGAAATTTCTGCCTAGTTTGGTGTTGGTTAAAAGCTACCAGAGCTTCACCAAAAAGGTGGCAATGTTAAGTACATTTGCCTTCTTAACTCCCCATCGAAGCACTGCTTTTTAGCAGTTGAATGGCAGGCAGAAATTCAACAGAGGCATCTTCTTCATCTGCATCTGGCTTTATTGGATTTCAGCCTGCTTTCCCCCCCGCCCTGTGCTGCAGGGTGGGACAGCTGAAAGCTGCTAATTGCATTTCAGCTTTTGACAAGACTTGCTAGCAACACATAGAACAAGCACTGTGATGGCTTTTTTTTTTTTTTTTGGTCCCTGGAGTTAACTAATATCCAGAACAAATGAAGATTTGGATAGGAACAATCTCACAGGAGATGCACACTGCTTATCCCTGCCCCACCCAAAACCCTAGGGTGCTCAAGGGTCTCTTTCTCACCTCTTCCTCCCCATTTCCAGATGGATCTAGAAGAGGAGGCAGTTCGCAGGCGCCAGGCAGAGATGACCACGGCACAGCGCATCAGGCTCTATGTCCTCCGTGGGGTGCTCAATATTCTGGTTGTGGGTCTGCTAGGAGGATCTTTCTACTGTATCTACCTGGCAGCGACATATTCCCAGTCACTTCTGGGAGGGGTAAGGAAACGGCTCTCACTTCACACGCAGGAGGCTGTGACGGTCACTAACTTGGATGCCTCTAAAAGATGATTAAGCAAATTAATGGAGGAGAGGCTATTGATGGCTATTAGCCATTATGGCCATGCTTTGTCGCCATGTCAGAAGCAGAAATGCTTCTGGATACTCGTTGCTTTAAACCATAGGCAGGAAGACACTCTTGTGCTCAAATCCTGCTTGCTACTTTCCCATGGGCTACTGTGAGAACAAGATGCTGGACTAGGTGGGCCATTGAACTGGTCCAGCAGGCTCTTCTTATGTTCTTAAGCTGAGGCATGTGGGTGATATTCCTGGGTTGACTCAGCACCATAGCTGTCAACTTACAGATTTGAAAATAAGGGACCAGCAGCCTCAAAAATAAGGGATCAGCAGCCAAAATAAGGGATTTTCCAGGCACAGGTATGTTCAATTTCTGAGCCCCTCTGAGCCAAAGGCAGAAAGCCCAGCCAGCAGCCAAACGAAGCCTCAAGTGGTGGTTCCCACAGCGCAGCAACCCGGCAAAGGGGATGCAGCAAAGAAAACCACCATCCCCTCTCTGCTGGGAAGCGCTGAGCAAAGGCGAGTCCCCAGGCAACGTGGCCGGGCACAAGTCATGCAAGCTCCACCCCCCAGTTGTTCTTAGGCTCCTTATTGGGTGAGCAACACAGCCAAGCAACACAGTTGGAGCCTCCCTCTTCCCTGGCTGGCAGGGAGGGAGGGAGAGGAGCTGCTTCCTTTGAAACCCTGTAAATTTAAGGGACATCATCAATAAGGGACAGCAGCAGGACATGGCGCTGGGATAAGGGAGTTTCCCGCCAAATAAGGGACGGCTGACAGCTATTCTCAACACTAGCCTTCCCATTGTCTAGATGAACAGTCCAAGTACTGGGGGTGGGGGGGTGGACTGAGATTCTGCTTGCAATGGCTCTGTGTCTTTAACAGCTGCACAGCAGGCAGAAATTCAGCCAGCATAGCTTTGCCCATTGGTGCCTCAGTACCTGCCTACTGAAGTTGTGCATGTATGAAGCCCGGTTTCTCACTCTCGGAGAAGGCAGATACAAACCTTGTTCCATTTCTCACTGCAGCCTTCTTGCCCCCAGATTAACCTCTCTCTTTCTCTCTCATTCTGCAGACAGACTCCCAAGTCAAAGGCCAATTTGTCCTGGAGCTTCTGGTGGCTTATCTCCCATCGGTTGTCATCACAGCTGCCAACCTCATTGTCCCAATGATCTTTGAGATCATTGTTCAGCTAGAGAAATACCCGCTCAGCTTCCAAATCAAAATCACGCTTCTCAGGTACAGGAAGTGCTGAGTCCTTGGGAGTGCCTGAGACACACCAGCCTCCTCTTGCAGAGGCAACTGTAGCTTCCACCTCTGAGTGACGGACAGGACTGGATTGAGCATCATGCTACGCAGGCTATAGGGTGGGAGCCAAGGCCATCAGTTCCCCTTAGTGAACAGTAGGGAGCCTGTCTGGATCACAGTAGCCCCTGAATTATTTTCAGCTCTGTTCTGAATCATAGCCAGGGCCAGATTAACAATCATGCTAAGTAAGTTGCAGAATGGGTGCCATTTACAATGTTTCTGTGAGATCTCCATTGTCAGCCATTGCTTCCTGCAGTTCCTGAATTCTCTTTGCAGGAACTGTACCATCATAGCCCAGGGATCATGCCTGGCTAGTGAAGTCAGGCACTAGTTGAGGGCTGGGTTGGCTTCAGGGGCCTGAGACTAGGCCCTGAGTGGGGCAGACGGTCAGTTCATGCTCTCATTTTGCATCAGGCTCATTCAGGCTGCAGGCAGCAAGGGCCAACAGAGCTGGAACATAACAAAATTGCATCATACTGTGAGTCTGACCATGGGTCCATCTAGCTCAGTGCTGTCTACACAGACTGGCAGCAGCTCTCCAGGGTTTCTGATGGAACTCTTGCAGCTTTACCTAGATTTGCCAGGGACTTGAACTTTAGAAGACCAGGAACAGGCCATCTCTCCCCCACCCACTCACCATTTTCCATGGTCAGTTGGCAAACCTACATATCAATCTTTCTGTCTGATAGGAGCGTCTTCCTCCGTCTTGCAAGCCTGGTGGTTCTTCTCATTTCTCTCTGGAGCCAGATCACCTGTGGTGGAGATCCACAGAACCCTGAGTGTCAGAAATGTGGCTATAACAATCATCTCCATCCGGTGAGGTTAGAGGGAGACAAGAGGTTTGGAGCCAAGACTCCTGAGTTCTCTGGGTGGAGAATGAGTGGGCTAGAAATCGGGATGCCTTAGTTCCCTAAGAGGAGCTAGAATTCAGCTGGCAACTGCAAGAGGTGGTCCTTCCCTTGCGGGGGCAGAATTTTGTCCAGCAGGGTAGGGATCAGGAACCATGATATGAAAGTTTAGGTAGCTTAGAGAAAGGGCTGTTCTCAACTATGATTCCTCAATTACTGTATATGGGAGAGAAATTGTGGGGCTCTTTGAATGGAGCAGAGGGGAAATAGATAGTTATAAAATAAGATAAAAATATTGAGTGTTTTCCCTCCTGTCCTTCCAGTGCTGGGAGACCTCTGTGGGGCAGGAAATGTACCGGCTGATGATCTTTGACTTGCTTGTCATGCTGCTTGTCATGCTGTTTGTGGAGTTTCCAAGAAAGTAAGTGTTTGATACCCCCCCATGTTAGGTTTACTTGCTTTCTTATATCCCACCCTTTGACTAGAGTCCTCAAAACGACTCCCAATGTTTATAAAATACAATTGACACACCATGGACCATATGCTAAAAAACCCCCACTACAACCAGCCCCAATGGAACAAGTGTCTCCCCATCTGATGTGCTTTCCCACACAGCATTGGTATAATAACATGGCCAGCATTAAATCACTTGGTTTGGAGATTTGTTTAATTTGGTGGTGGGGCTTATAGTGGGGGACAGCTTTTGTGTCCCTTCCTTCCTTCCTTCCTTCCTTTGTATGTGTTTAGTTTGGCCTGCCAGCTGAGAACGGATTGTTTCCACACCAAGAATTCCCATACTGTGTGTTATTTCCTCACTTGAATCCAGTGGATTCACTCTGTGGAATCAAGTCAACATTGTTGCCCTCTGACTGTATTCCATTGCTTTTGTGTTGTTCTCCTATCTTTCTTCAAACCTGCTTTCTCTGCCTTTCTTTCATTTAAAATGCAGTTACAGCACCAACCTGTTCTATGTTCTAACAAAATGCTATTGAAGCTCTTAAGGGTTACTGTGGCTTTAAGGAGCAACTTCCTCCTTACCCCCACTTTCCTATTGAGCATGGTAATAACATTGCCCGATGACAGCTTTTTAATAGCTTCCTAATTATAAGGGGAGAAGTGGGGGAGCTTCCATTACTGATTTCCCCTCATTATTATTTTCTTTTCATGTTTAAATTATGAGATAGAGCTCTGTTGAAATAAAACTAGCAATAATAAAGTCTGCTACATCCCAAGACAGGAGTCAGAATGCACCATCAGACTTGATGTCATCCCTGTGTTTGTGTCATGTAATAAATTACTTTGGCTGCAGTCCTATACCCTTACTGGGAGTAAGCCCTGCAGAACCCAGAGGGACTTGCCTTTTGAACACATGCGTTTAGGATGGCGTGATTTTCCACACAGAGTAATTAAAATACAAACAATAATGTTGGTTTGTTTTTGTTTCTTCTTCCCACTCCCCACATCTGTTATGCTGATGTTTAGGCCCTTCTATCCCACACTAACCTCATTCACTCAGGCTCCGAAAATCTGAAGCAAGAAAGGCTCAAAAGCAATTTTAGTATTTTGTATGAAAACGGCGTTTTCCTAGCATGCATCCCTGCCTCAGTTCCTGTACCCGCCAGTGCTGTTTAAAACTTGTATACATTTCAGAATAATTAGCATACTATATAATAAAACCATTCCCCACCACCACCCTTGGGAAGATGCAAGCCTAGCTGAGTGTATAGCAACCAAGGGTGCCAACTTGAATAAAATATTTGGGAGGCTCACTTCGCGATCACAATACTCTGTGTGCATACATCATTTGAATGGCAGTGCCCATTAACTTTGCGGGAGCTTAGCCCCCTCAAATGTTGTTTTTTTTAGGGTGCTCAGAGGGAACTTGGCCCCTAGGAGTTGGCTCCTACGATAGCAACAGAGTCCTGGGCACCAGTGGTGTAGCAGGTAGGATGTTCTACCTGCTAGGTAGACCTAGGAAGACCTAGATTCCTATCCTACCATGGCCATGAATCTCAGTGGCCTTGGGCCAATCACACAGGTTGTTATCGTCAACTTAACTTCTACTCAAGAGTAGGCCCACTGAAATGAATTACGTTATTCATGCTCATTAGTTTCAATGGGTCTCCTCTGAGTAGGACTAACACTGGATACAGCCCTTTCCCAGTTTTCTTCAACCTTAGGTTCCCAAATATTGCTAGACTTCAACTGCTGTCATCCCTGACCATGGGCTATACTTACTGTGGATGATGGGTGTTGTTGTCCAACAACATCTGAGACACCCAAGGTTGAAGAACACTTGGACTTAGCCAGACCTACTTCACAGGGTTGCAGCAAGAATAAAAGGAGGTGTGGGGTGGACCATTATTTGCCACTTTGAGCTTCCCGGAAGAAATCTGTAGTATAAATGGAATGAATGACTGGAGGAACAGAAGAGCACGTATTTGTGGCTGGGCTGCAGGTGTCAGATGCCGCCTGTGGGATCCATGCCTGCCTTCAGCTTCTTTTCTTTGCCTTCTAGGTTGCTGGTGACTGCCTTCCCTACCTGCCGCTTGCTGAAATTCTGGGGGCAGCAGGAGTTTGTGGTGCCTGGCAATGTCCTGGACCTGGTGTATGGGCAGACCCTGTGCTGGACGGGGGTTCTTTTCTGCCCCCTGCTGCCTGTACTCAATACCATCAAGTATATTGTAGTCTTCTACTTGAAAAAGGTGACCCTCATTTAAAAGTTATGAATGTTCTCTGGCTATGAACTGGGCAACCTTAGTTGCAAAGGATTCTGGGACATGTTCTAAGTGGCACACTTAGTTCAGTGCGCCATCTGGTCAGGCCTTCAAGGATCACAGCGGGAGGGTCTCCTGAGCTCTTTTACATTTTCTTCCATCTTCCTTCCAGCTAACCCTCTATGCCAATTGTCGTCCGGCCGAACGGACGTTTCGTGCCTCCAGCTCCAACTTCTTCTTCCTGTTGGTTTTGCTTTTGGGTCTGGCTATTTCCTGTGTCCCTGCCCTCTACAGCATGTTTGTGTAAGTATAAATGCACCCCCTCTGAACCCAACCGCCTCCCAATAGCTGTAATAGAGCCATTTGCAGCCACAATTGTTGTTCGCTGCTGGCACATCTTGTGTCTTAAATCTGACTGTGGGGACTTAATGTGCTCCTTTGTGCAAAACTGCTTGCCCCCGCCTCTGAAAAAGGGAAACCCAGAAGGGCTGGCCAAAGTATAGTGAAAAACCAACACTATGTGGCTTACAAGATATGCACATGGGCAGTCAATGACCAAGGTCCTTGCAATGAAGGACATGACGACAGAATTAGAGAATTAAGAGCCTAAATGACTGGCTGCTCCATAAAGAATGGAGGGTTAAGTAGAGAGTTTTGAAACCATTAACGCAGTAGGCTTGGTAGGGTCTGCAGCTCAGTGTTGGAGAATGTGCTCATCATGCCTGGAACCACCAATTTAAAAATTATTTTGCGATGGGAAGAACTCTGTTCATCTAAAGCAGGGGTGAAGAACCTGTTGCCCTCCAGATATTCCTGAACTACAACTCCCAGCAGCCCCAGCAAAGTTAGCCAAAGGCCAGCAATGATGTTGTCCTCCACTATCTGGAGGGCCAAATGTTCTCCACACCTGATCTTGGACAGCTTGGTGTCAGTCTGAGTAGGCAGTTCTGAGCTAGAAGGACAAATGGCCCGGCTCTGTAAAAGACAATTTTACACTGCTCCCTCATCTGAGTGAGAGAAGTAACTGAGCAAGGATCCCTTTCCTGTTAGATCTGAAGTTTTCCCCCCCCCAAAGATCTTCTTATGGGTTTGGAGGGTCAGTATGGATGATACCCATGGGGTCCTTTCAAATCTTATGTCTGTGGTCTTAGAATCTATGAGAGGGAACCTGCTGAATCAGTCAGATTAGTCTCTTTGTTAAAGGCCTTGGTTGGACAGTTAAGTAGTGCAATTTGCATAGGATAATAGAATCATAGAGTTGGAAGGGACTCCGGGGGGTCATCTAGTCCAACCCCTGCAATGCAGGAATCTCAAGTAGATCATACATGACAGATGGCCATCCAGCCTACCCAAAGAGGAGACAAATGAGTGAGCCTTTTCCAACCTCATCTTGCTGGAGGTCGTCGTTATCCTTGTAGCTGTTTCAACAGACAACTGGCCCTGCAGAAGCTGGCAATATTTTCATGGTAGCTTTTGATGCTTTTCATTTGTGTTAACCTTGAAGTTGCCCTTCACACCTGCCGCTGCCAATTCTTCCGCTTTATCCCTGCTCTCTCTCTCCTCCAGTTTGCCTCCTTCGAAGGCCTGTGGTCCATTCCGGGGGGAGCCCACTATGTGGAACACTGTCAGCAGTGCTATCTCTGAGTTACCCCGCACTGCCCGGGACTTCTTTGGATATGTGGGCTCCATAGCATTTGCTGTGCCCTTGTTCCTGCTATTGAGGTGAGAAGGAGCTAGGTATCGGAATGGGATGCTAGTGTGGTAAGGTTCAGGTATGGATTTGAGGAGTAAAAGAGAGAGGTCTTCTGAGTCCAGAGTCCGTCTTGTGGAATGGAAAACACTGATTTATTTAAATTCTTTTTACCCCATTGTTAAGGTGCAAAAGACACTCAGCATGGCTGTTTACAATGATCACTAGTAAGATGGCCCCTCTCCTCAGGTTTACAGTCTAAAGAGCACAGCACAAAAGGAAATAAAATTGGGAGGGAGGAGGAAAAAAACCAAACACAGGTGCTAGTTTTAAGTTACAAAGTTCTTTGGGGTTCTTTTGCTGTGTGGGGAAGCAAGCTCTCTATGGTTGATCCTTCTCTGGTTGATCCCCTCCTTGCTATTCTTCTTTTTGGGATATGGAGGGAGCAGCCTCACAGCGCAATGGTCCCCTGATGGCAGAGACCATTGTGTGCTGTCTTTCACCTGTATAATCTCAGGGGAACTGCAGTGCCATTGCCACCTGTCTCCTCTCATCTGTCTTTTTTCTTTTTAAACCTTCCTAGCATCCTCATGTTCTTCCTCAAGGCACTGGCTGACTCCTACAGCTCTGTGGTCAAAGGCCTTAAATGGCAGCTCCGTTTGGTAAGTGGTTCCTAACAGGTTGGGATGGCCAGTGTGATGCCTTTCAGGTGGTTTGGACTGCAACTCCCACCTTCCCCATCCAGCATGGTCAATGGTGAGGGATGATGGGAGTTGTACTCCAACAATATCTGGAGGATCCCACATTGTCCACATCTGACAAGGGTCACAGTTAAAGAATGGGTGGGTAGTGCAATCCACTCTCAATCAATTTTATTCTATTTAGCCAAAGGCCTTTACAATGGACGACAGAGAATAAAAGGAAACTTTAATCTAAAATCATAAAATGTAACCTGTAGCAGTTTACAGCATCAAAAGAAATTTACAACATAAAAATTTAAGATTGGAGTGCATTCACAGAGCTGGAACGGAGCTTCTTGGCTGCCAGTGCAAATTTGGCTACCTGGTGTGTAATATATAGATGTTTATCTGCTATGAGTTCCACTGTCACTTCCTGTGCGGATCGACCTGGAAGCCAATTAAGAATTGGCGATATAAATTTTCCTCCAGGCGTTGTATACAAGGGGCAAATCCAGCGTTGACAGGTTCAAATTGGCAGACTCAGAGGAGGAAGAGATTAACAGTGTGGTGCACACATTGATAAATGTTTTGGAAACTGAGATAATTTCCTCTCTGTTAATTCTGTTATCAGTGGCCACCAAAAAAGTTCAGTGGGAGAGATTCAGTCTCTGGCTTCGTTGATAGTAGGGCTGGGAATACAATGGCCACTAAAGCATCAGTCAAAGAGAAGACACTGCTTTGCATAAAGTTTACACATGCATAGATCAGAGGTGAAAAATATCTGTCAAATGCAACCCTTCAAGCCTCTCTCTGGTCCTCAAGTCTCTTCCCCAGGCCACCGCACACACTTACCCTGGCTTTTGACACTTGAGGTGTATGCTTTTAGGACTCAACTTACTATCTTCTGCCAGTATCAGGAGGAAACCTCTGCTGCCAGCCACAATAACCAGTGTGATGCTAGAATAATCTAACTTGCTATTCAGCAGTTTCTTTAAAGATGTCCGTCCCATCACTATCCTGGTTGTGTGTTGAGGGGGGGGGGGAGAGATGGGGGAGAGAGAGAGAAATTGTGGTAGGTGAACTCCATCCAAAATGGAGGGAGAGGGGAAAGGAAACCTAGTAGCATCCTCTTACCATCATTTCCAAAGTTGAGGGGCGAATTTTATTTCTTCTCCCTCTTAGAAGAAAGGCAGATCTCATTTTTTTTTATTAAAAAGGAAGATTAAATGCTGAAATATGTTAGTGATTATATGGGCTCCTTCACTCAGTGCAGAATAGGAGAGATGAGGAGATAAATGCCATTGTTTTTAATTTTCTCTTTCTGTCCTTCAGGAGGGTCAGGACAAACTTTTCCTGGTGAAACAGATCTCTGAGCTGAGCCAGTGAAGCAAATGGATGCATAATGAGAGATCTCTTCTTCTCATCAGAAAGAATGTTAGGATATCACTGATTTTGGCAGTATTGCTTCTGCAGATTCCATCAGCTCTGTTCTTCGATGCTGGATCCCCTGGCTTTTTCACCATTCTTCATAGACAGGACTCTGACCAATTTTGCTCTAAGACAAATGTATTGTTATGTTTTATGGGTGCCAGAATGGTCCCATGTACACAGATCCTTGACCCAGGTTTGAAGTGAAATGCTGCTAGATATGTAACTGAAACAAGAAACAAACACCTGTTGGGAATTAGACTTCAGTGCTGCAATGAACCAGAGAACCATAGCTCAGTGGTAGAGCACCTGCTTTGCATGCAAAATATCTGAGGTTCAATCCCTGACATCTTTGGGTAGGACTGGGGAAGAGCCTGGTCTTAAAACATGGAAAGCAACTGACAGACAGTGTAGACATTACTGGGTAGATGGATTGATGGTGTGGTCTTGCCTTAAATCCTGGAAATAGGGTTGCCATATTTCAAGCAGTGAAAATTTGGACGGAAAAGTTGGCAAAGTTGTTGGACATAGGGCAACCCTACCTGTAAAGCTACAGTTCAGTCAGTACAGACTCACTAGACTAACTTGGAAGAAGGCCGCTTCCTGTGTTCCTAATAGCTAGAAAATATGTGCCCCCCCCGAACAATGTTTCAATATATGTAAATGTTATGCATATTCAATAAAATTTTATGCAATTTCTTAATTGGGTGACAGCCTACTAAGAAAGGAGACTTTGCACATTAGTTCAGGAAGAGTTGGGACATATTGAAATTTATTTGTTTACCATTATGTAGTTATTATGAGTTCACCTGTGTTTTCTTAATGTATTTGATGAATGGTGAGTGGCTTTGGAATACTGGTGCTGAGGACACAACTGTGGCTGAAGTAGGGGAACTGCCTGCTTGGTAGGTGCACCCACCCTGTGGAACAGCCTCTCATCAGATATCAAAGACTTTTTAAAAAATATGCATTTTTGTAGACATCTGAAAGCAGCCGTGTTTCTGGAAGTTTTTAATGTTTCATGTCCCTTTATATTTTGTTGGAAGCTGCCCAGAGCAGCTGGGGTAGCACAGTCACATGGGCAGAGTATAAGAAATAAATTCCTCCTCCTATAACTACACAGGGCCTCACATGCAATTGATGGATTCAAGTACAGTATAACACATAATTGAAAACGTTTCAAAAAGTGTAGCTTTATGCAACGTGTGTTGAGGCAAGAGGGAAATGACTGTTTCGAATATATGAAGACTACTACTGAGAATAAGCGGTAGTCTGTTTATGTCGGAGACTAAAACGGGGGTCATTTTCCGTTTCTGATGTAATCTGGGCACACGTGCAATAGAAGCTATTATTGGAAGAAGACTTGTAACAATGTGTCGCAAGAACGGAGCACCTCCCGGGAAATCGGGGGTTTGATTTAGATGCAGTGACGCAGAGCCTAATAAATTCTCAGGCGCCGTCACTGAAACGAACGTGTGTGACTCTGCACCAATCAAGCCGCGGAACCAAAGGAGCACGAGCCAATCAGAACAAAGTACGAACTCAACATTCCGTCAGATTGTAAGAGCGGCGCGAGATGACGCAAGGGGCACGTACAGAGACGGCGCGAGCACCCCACCAATCAAAAGCAGAGGGCGGGACTAGACTGCCGGAGAATAGACTGACACCGGAAACGGAAGCTGGGAGGGAGGAGGGCGGAAGCTTCGGAAAGAAACAGCAAGAGCCAAAATGAACATTCTTCCCAAGAAGTCATGGCACGTGAGGAACAAAGACAACGTGGCCAAGGTGCGGCGGGACGAGGCGGAGGCCGAAGCGCAGCGGCAGAAGAAGGAGGCCCGAGCACTACTCGCTGAACAGGAGGTACGTTGTCGCCAAGGCGCATGCGCAAAGATTTGCGCGTGCGCAGTTTTCTAGTCTGCGCGACGTCTCCATTGCGCATGCGCGTACTTTAGGCATCTACTCTACCAGTTTAAATTGATGTCAAAAGGCAAACATATGAGGATGGTGGTTGGGCGAGTGGAACGTGGCGGAGAAAAGCCAGGCGAAGCTCTTACGGGTGGGAAAAGCCAGGACAGTGGACTGGCGCAAATGGAAGCAGTAAAAGAAGAAGGAGAAGAAGAAAAAATGGAAGGAGCTGAAGCTGTTGAGGAGACTGGAGAAGAAGATGATGCAGGAAGTGGCAGAGAAACAGAAAGAGGAGGCAGAGCCCATTGAAGATAAAGGATGCAACTACACAGTCAGCGTCGCCCTTCCGGGCTCCATTCTCAGCAACACCCAGTCGGCAGAGTTGCGGACATACCTTGCTGGGCAGATTGCCAGGATTTGCGTCATCTTCTGCATGGACGAGATTGTGGTGTATGATGAGCAAGGGGAGGATGCAAAGACAGTGGAAGGTGAATTTGAAGGGATCAAGAAGAGAGGTCAGGCCTGTGTGCAGCTGGCCCGGATTCTGCAGTACCTGGAATGTCCCCAATACATTTTTCCCCAAAAAACCAGGACCTCCAGTTTGCAGGGGTCTTAAACCCCTTAGATAGCCCCCACCACGTGTGGATAGGTGAGGAATTGGAGTATTGGGAAGGAGTGGCTTTGTCATGACCCACCAAGCCTGGCCGGGGATCCTTTGTGAACTGTGGAATGCAAAAGAAGGTACAGATTGATAAGCAGCTGGAGGCAGGCCTTCGTGTTACAGTGCGTCTCAACCCACAGAAAAATCCAGAGAGCCAAACACAGAAGGGGGTGGTTGTTTCATCACACCAGCTTCGAACTGCTTCTGGGCTCTACTGGGGCTACAGTGTCTGCTTGGCATCCTGTCTGAGTGTCGTGTTTGCTGAGTCCCCGTATAAAGAAGGCTACGATCTCTCCATTGGAACCTCTGAGCAAGGGACCTCTGTGGACCAGGCAACACTGCCTCCTTTCAGACATGCTTTGATAGTTTTCGGAGGCTTGCAAGCCCTGGAGGCAAGCGTGGACATGGACCTGAACCTGGAGGTCACAGATCCAAGCACCTTGTTTGACTTTTATTTGAATACCTGTCCAGGGAAGGGCAGCCGCATCATCAGGACTGAGGAAGCAATTCTCATCTCTCTGTCGGTGCTGAGACCTCATATCAACGAAGCAGTGAAGAAAGGCAGTGGCCTCTGAATAGAAACAGAAACTCAAGCATCCAACACGGGCAGACCATCATCAATCTTTACCTCTTCCAGCCAACTTAAGACCGAAATGTGAAGCCGGACCATCTTCTCTCTCTGTTGGGAGGTCAGGAAACTCACCTCCCTGTTGCCACTGGATGATTTGAGAGTGGAACAGGTTGGAGCATCCAGACACAAATAGAGGGGGAAAGGGAGAAGGACTTTGAGACTAGCTCAGCTGCCACTTCTCAGAATCATCAAACTTGGGAAACAGTGAAGACCTAAGTGTGGCGATTGACTGGGGGATGATGCCCTCTAGCCCAAATGCAATCTGTTGCAACCACATTCATGTTTAACATAGGAGCAACAACTTTATCCACAAAATTAAGACTGCTATACCTACAGTTTAAGAAGAAACGTATCAAGTGTGTGACCTAATGTGATAATATTCCAGTAGTATCTTGATCAATGAAATGGCCAAACCTTTTTAGGTGTAAACCAGTGGTTCCCAAAGTGGGCAATACTGCCCACTGGTGGAGGGCAGTGCAATTACTTAGCAGAGCAAAAAGGACTATCAGGTGTTAAAAAGCTGGTATCACTGGATCAAGTTCATCAATTTTGTTGAATTAAATTAAATAGTTTTAATGGGGGGGGGAGGCAAACATATAAAAGTCAAGCACCTGAATTCATACACACTATTTCCAAAACTTGCTATATTAAATAGTTAACCACCAGTTACCATTGTTGTGAATGTCACTGTGCTTGATCCTGTATACATTTGAGCATTGAACAGAAGTGTTCCAGACATAAGATACCTCTTGCATTTCATAGAATATTATATATATTTTTCTATACCCAGGAGTGTGTACATATATGCTACTCTGCCAACTATGGATAACATTTCATACATCAGATTTAATGGGCTGTAGTCCACAGAAACGTGTGTCACAGTAAACCTGATAGTCTTAAAATGCCACATGAATTTGTGTTGCTGCTCTTGTGTTCATCTTGTATATATACCATGTTGCTGCTTTTTTGTTTATAACACTTGCTCTTGACTTCTGTCCACCTAGTTCTTTGTGAAAATACATGAATTTAAAAGTGGTGGGCTTAGTGGTTCCCCAATACATACACACACTTAACATTTTTGCTTTGTCCCAGTCTTATTCTATCATAACTCCTGTATCCAGTAACAGAATAGATTTATTGTTAATTTGACTGCAAAGTGGCTATCTTGCAATGAGCTACAGGCTTTTAGAGAATAATGTAAGAGACTGGGAAGGAAAGGGCAGGTTGGCTATCGTAGCAGAGAAATGTGCCACAGCAAGGTAACTATGCAGGCAGGGAGGGCAGGGAATTGGACCTTGGGCAAATTCTTCTCCTTTGATCCTAGGCCCGGACTGAATTCCTACGCAAGAAAGCACGCCTGTCAGCTCCAGGAGGTGATGACAGCAGCTCGGATATCCTCGCTTTAGGCTCAGAAAGGCCCTCACGCCATCTAAATCTCTTTCAAGAGTTGGAAGAAAGTGGCAACAAAGAATATGAGGAGGAGAAGAGGCAAGAGAAGGTAATGGGAGGAGGGGAGCTTGTTGTGGAGGCTTTCTTTTCACCAGCTGCAAACTTGGTGGTCTAAAGGGCTCCAACCCAGCCAGGGTGCCACATGAACTCCTTTGCCCCACTTGCAGAAAATAACTCTGGCAGAGTTGGTGTGGGGTGGTTTGGGTTCTTGCTATCCTCTGGCTGTGCAAGGGCAAAATGTGGAGGGCTTGTAGCATACATATTCAGGGGTTTATTTATCTGGCAAAGAAATTTATTTTTGAAGTATCTGTTCCCACGTGCCTGTCATACATATGGAACCCTGGTTTGCCATGTCCTTTGTGCTCGATGTGCTTCCCCTTCCAGAAAATATAGGCTTCCAGCTTCCACCCTTTTGGGTTAGCCTTCATTGTAATCTGTTACTGCCTGGTAAGTACTCACTGGAAGGAAAAGAATATACTGTAGTGAGGCCCAGTGAATGGTCTGGGAGCATTCAATGCTGTAACATTGTTGAAGCTAAGTGGATAGAGGGGACCTGAGCAGTATCTGGCTCAGGGATAGCCAATACAACCCCCTCCATATGTTGTTGGGACTCCAACTCCCATCAGCCTTAGTAAGCATGGCCAATGGTCAGGGATGATGGGAGTTATAGTCCAGCAGCACCTTTGACTCCCCCAATATAGGGGAAATAGGGATGTAAGTTGACAGTCCATGGAGCAATCTCACACAGGCAGCATTAACAGTACTTCGAGTAACACTGCTTTGGGTTATTTCACTCCTCCCAGGAGCGCCGGGAAAAAGCTCTGGGTATCCTCACGTACTTGGGCCAGAGTTCAGCAGAGGCCCAGACGAGTCGTCCCTGGTACCAGGAGCTGCCAGAACGCAGTGAGGCGGTCGCCAAAGATGAGAAGCTGAAAGGGAAGTTGGATCCCCTGGCCGAGATGGAAAGGCACTTGCGGAAGAAGAAGGGATCCCACAAGAAAGATGGGAAGAAAGACAAGCGGGAGCAAAAAGGAGGCGGAGGAACTCTGGCTTTCAGGTGCGTTCCTTTAGCAGCCTAGGCCACAGCACAGGACACTGCTGCTTCTTCCTGCTGGCTGAGACTGGACGCCCCAGACAACAAACACCCACCCTTAGGAGGGGTGGGGGAGGGAAGCCACACATGTGGGAAATGCAAGGTGTGCGTTTCAGGTAGCACCTCCCAACTGTAGGTGGCTGCTCTGAAAAGAGGAAAATGCTCTTTTGTATAAAGTAAAGGGGAGTTTTACAGAGCAGCAGTTACAGCCAAGTCTTAAGAAATAGGTCAATGAGTGTGAGGGGGTCGTTTGCCTGCTTTTGTGCTGCTTCAAAGAATCCAGCTCTCAGAGATAAAAGACTTAACAGTAGTTTGTCAAAGTAATAAAATTGACTCCTGCTCTGTTGCAGGGTGGGATATTGGCCCTGGAAAGGTGGTGGAGGGGGACTGGAAGTTCAGCCTTTAAGTATTGCCTCCTACTAGTCAGGCAGTGCCCTTTTGTCAGGTGTTGAAAGGAGAATATAGGGCAGGTGTGGGGAACCTTTGGCCTGACAGATGTTGCTGAACCTCAGCACTACCCCTAAACTTACGTCCCCTCCCCTACATTTTATTGGCAATAGCCTCTGTCGCCTCCCAAAACAGCAGGACAAGAGCACAAAATAAAGGATTCCTGTAGGCAGGATGGTGAGGATTAGATTCGCAGGGTCCCATCGACACTTCAGTTTCTAATCCAGGCATGTGGAACCTCAGCCCCAGGCGTAAACTCAGCCTTCTGGGGCTCTGTTTGGCTCTTGAGACTTTCCAGGCTGCATCCCTCTCACCAGCTCCGTTTTGCACCCTTAAACGCTGATATTTTTTGCTGCCTCAGATGGAGGATAGAGGAGGATATGTAAGTGTAAAGAAGCTAGTCTACTGTTTTTCATATATTTCATATTTTTTGCTTTTGCCTCTGGGCCTGCTTACCACCAGAATGCCCTCTGCCAATACAGCCTCTGGGCTGAAAAGGGCTCCCCACTCCTCTTCTTAAACCCTTTTGTTTCCATTTCAGGCCTGCCCCTTCCTCGGCATCGTCGTCATTGGAGCAACTGCGCCAGGAGAGGTTGCGCCGCGAGAAGGCAGAGCGAGCCCGCGCTGAGAGCCTTCTAGCCCAAAGGGCAGGCACCCTCCCACTCCAGGAGGAGGAAGCAGATGAAAGAAAACGGGGCTACAACTCTCAGTTTAACCCGCAACTGGCAAGAAAGAGGGTCTGGGAACCACAGTGAGGTGTCGTGCAAGCGTGATATTACCAGACACTGCAATGAGACAATAGCAGTAGCAATGCTGTCAGGGAAAGCATGTTATCCTGCAGTATCAAGAGACGGATACTGTCAATTTTCTTCAAGAGGAATATGCATAATTTTCTTCTTGCTCGATGCAACATATTTATTGAATTCATACCCTGGCCTGGGGCGTGGACACGTTCTGGTCAATGTGCAGTAACCAGGATTAGGCTGAGGAAGACTTTGGCATGTGGGCTCCAGTAATACACACACTCACCTTATCACTATCGTTTTCTCGATTAGGGCCAGGCCAGAGTCTGCTCCACCAGCTATGCAATCAATCAGTTGCCTGCCTTGGGACTGTTATGTACAATGGCAGCTGGATAACAAGTTCTGCCTATTTACACCAGCCCCCCCCCCCCCAGACCTGAACTCTCCCTATTCATCTTCGTTTCCTCAAGGAAATTGGTGTAGGCCAAAGCCTGTCAGTATCTATTGTGCAGGATATGCGTCAGTATCTACTGTGTTTTGAAATGGAGTCTGGGCAATAAAGGACACAAAACATTTGGTGCTTTGCGTTCATGAGTCTCCACAGGAAGTAGTAGCAGTGTCATCCTTCCACCAAAACGGCTCAAGGACCTGGAGGCAGCAACAAGAACATCCCTCTGCAGGGGAAGACATCTGCATGCATGCTAAAGCTCATGACAGAAAAGGCGTGGAAATAAGCTTCCATCCATTTTTTAAAATTAGTCTATGCTTTTGTATATGTGCAAAAGTGTGTCCTGGGCAACGCAGGCCAAAGTCTCAGAAAGAAGCCTGAATAAGTAATGGAATAGAAGCACCAACTGTGAAGGGGGAACATTAGAAAAACCCTCTTGAGTCAGGGTAGCCGCCTAACTACTGCCCAGACTGGCCAGGGCTGCTGTGAGTTGTAATTCAACATCTGGAGACGGCACCGTTTGCTGCTGAACTCTAGTAGGGGCAGCTAATTTCAGTGTACACATAAATCTACATTCCCTCATCACCCAAGTAGTACCGGGGGAAGATCTCTTCTGTTGTTTAGTCATGTCCAACTCTTCGTGACCCCGTGGACCAGAGCACGCCAGGCCCTCCTGTCTTCCATTGCCTCCCGCAGTTTGGTCAAACTCATGTTAGTAGCTTCGAGAACACTGTCCAACCATCTCGTCCTCTGTGGTCCCCTTCTCCTTGTGCCCTCAATCTTTCCCAACATCTTTCCCAAGAGAGTATTGACTAAACGTGATCCACCTGGAGCAGGAACCAGCAAGCCACTCCAATATCCCTGTCAAGAAAACTCCATGGGCAAAAACAACAGGCATATAAAAAGATCTCTTCTGGGCAGCTTTTAAACATGGCACATCCCACCTTAAACATACAATCACTACCTTGAGTCACTGCCCCTTCTGAGAGGCACAAAGAGAAAGCAGGGTTATTGGATTTCTTCACACCCCTTTGTTCCACAACCCCCCCTTTTTCTCTCCCCTTTTCTCTACAAGAGAAGAAGAACATTCATATAAAACTATTTATTCATAAATATTTTCCAAAACGAAAATAGGCTTACGAAAAAATATCTTAAACAGCGGCATGGGCGGGGTGCTCCAGTTCAGGGGGCTGCATGAGGAGGGAGATGGTGGGACACAGCTGTCTTTCCATCTCTCTCTGGGTTTCCCCAAGTCTTTCCCCTCCAATCAGGAATAAATTGCAAGTCATCAAGGGGGAGGGTCTCTCTGTGGGAGGAGCAGCAGATTAAGATATGAGCTCAGATACCAAATTTAGGGTGGCAACAAAATTTTGGAAAACGGGGGGTGGGGGTGGGGGGGTTAGGAGAGAAGCAGCAAAGGGGGTGGGGGTGGGGATATACTCCCTTAAGTCAAAGTTTCAGTAAGGAAAGGGAGCTTTGGGAATTTTTCCAAACTGAACTGATGAGGACAGGTGGCGTTTTGTGTCCCTCGACAAAATCACCTGCAGAAGCAAGTGAAAAAATACGGCGGCCTATAAAATGTTAACTGAAGGTACCAGTCCACAAAATACTTTGTACTGGGATCCTTTCTGGCAGCCGGCTGACTTCACCGGTTGGTAACAAGTTGGCGTCATTTTGCTTTTTGCCATTTCCAGCAGTGACAACTAGGCAGAGGTTGGAGCAAAGTCACCCTGAACTGTTCCCAACGCTTCTGACTATTGGGGATATTTATAGAGCCCTGTGCCCTCATCTGTCACACACTTGGGCATATGATGGCAGCCAAATCGGGGGTGACGTCTGCACTTGAGAGGTTGGCGAGGAGGGCAAAGGAGGACAGGATGTTGGTGTTTGCTGCAATTGGTGGTGGAAGGGGCATAATAAATTCTCCAATTTAGAAGACACACAAAAATGTAGATTGGGGGGAAGTCACTCTTTTGGTGGGATTCTCAAATTCTTTTTTAATCTCCACTCTCTCACCCTGAAGAGCATTTCCCCTTTTTTTCTCGACCTCTTCGTATGCATTACAGGCAGAAGAGAGCAAGGAAAAGGCAGAGGAGAATCCCGCCACTGCCGCCCCTCCTCCTCCGTCCCGCGGTCACTTTTAAAACTTGCATGCATATTTTTTTTTTAAAAAACGTGCAGCTCGCCCCGTTCCCCCACGGTTGTGATGGGTGGGGTGTGTGTGGGGTGATGTGGTGTTATTGGTTGGTCTTCCTTTGCTGCTGCCCCAAGCGCACCGCAGTTGTCTCTGGAAGGAAGGCTTGGCACCCCCTGCTGGCCCCAGGTCATCACTGCAGGTCCCGGTCTTCCAGGTAGCGGTATTCAAAGGTGAAACCCTCCTTTTTGCGCTGGCCCCATTTCTCGTAGTCAAAGTAGATGTAAGTGCCCTGTGCAGAAACAAGAGAGACAAAGTGTATTGGAGAATGAGCTTCCTCTTGCCCAGCAAGGAAGAGTCAGAGAATTAACAGCTTAGCAACTCCGCTCTCATGTCAGATTAAAGCTTGATAGCAGGAGGCAAGGACTGGGCTACTTCCCAGTGAGGAGGAAGGGCTTTGGGGGCCCTCAGGATCCCAGTTTCATCCTCTTAAAACATTCAGAGCTGCTGAACCCCAATGCCATATAGCTATGTGGTGAGAAGAGACATCAGAATACCCATTTCAGAGGTAGGTATACAGCAGAAGAATACAGACCTCCCTCCCTTCTCTATATTTTCCTTGAAGGGAGAAGTCACACTCAAGGTAACTAGCTGTCCCTGTGGACAGCGGCATGAACCACAACTCCCGAGAACCTCAAAACCTTTTCTGCATTTACTAAATGCAGAGAGAGCTGAAGCAAAGCTGTATTAGAAGCGACTCTTATTCAAATCAACAATGTCCACAAGAAAACTATGTAGGACCTTGAAAATGGGAAAACTGTCCTTCCTGCTTTCTACTTTCTCCTCACCTCCCTGTTACAGAAGAAAACAAATGATTATAAAATTCCCAGTGGCATCGCACAGTCATTTTGTACTCTTAAGCCCTACTCTCAGACATTCAAGCCAAACAACATCCTCATGGGAGTTACAGCGGAATTCATGTAGACTGGAATCCTTTAAAAAACCCAAAAATTTACAATAAGGGTTTCTAGTTTTCATGACACTGGAATTAACTGGCTCAAAACTCAACAAGAAGCTCCAGGGCTTAGCAGGCAGTTTCTATGCTTCACCTGGCTACTTACTCTGGTCCCCTCATTATTCCCCCCCCCCCATTCTTCTCTTCCAGTAAGAGAAGGGCCATAGCTCAGTGGCAGAGCATCTGCTGTGCCTTCAGAGAAGGTCCCTGGTTCAAATCCTGGCATCTCCATGTAGGATTGCATAGGAACCTGTCTGAAAACCTGGGAAAGCTACTGCCAATCAGTGTAGACAATGCCAAGCCCGATGGACCAACGGTCTGGTTCAGTATAAGGCAGCTTCCAGGGGGGTTGGGAATCCATGTGCTGGGCCCATCCCATTTCCCCCCTGCATAGGAGCTTTTGTGGTCCCCTCACCTGCTCAAATTCATCAGTGATGGTCTTGGGTTCTTCGTGCCGCTGGAACCACATCATGTACTTTGTGTGGAAGCGCCAGGACTGCTTCTTCAGCGCCTTCGCTGCCAGGTATTGTGCCTTCGTGCCCTTTGAAGCATAAGGTGACAGGTGAGGGCTGTGGGATACACACACTGGTACCAGTTCCAAGTGAGGGATGCTAGTAGCACATCCGCGGAGCACTTATAGGCCTCAGTGGGTGGTGGTGGTGGTGGTGGTGGGGAAAGGGTGGCAAAACCTGTCCATCAGAAACTACCGACTTCTTACCTCCAAATAGTAGAAGATGAAGAAAAGGGTCTCTGTAGAGAGGCGCTGGTAGAACTCCACCGTATCGGAGTGTGGGGGAGGCATCTGGTGGTGGTACGGAGGGGTCGGGCAGGGGTTTCGCGGCAGATATTGCCTATGGGGGTTAAGAAGATGAGTGTGTTCAACTCCAGCCTGGTGGTGGTGGCGGCAGCAGTCTCCCCATCCCCTATGTGTGCATGCACACACCTCAAACCCCACAGATAAGCTGGCTGGAGGGTTAAGACAGTAGTTCAAGATGGCAACTGGAGTGGAATGGAGGAAGCGAACCAAGGAAAACAGTTGAAACCGATATCAGCAATTCCCACCGGATTGTGCCAAACTCTCCCTCCATCTGCCACTATTTGGTGACTGATGGGCCTCCGTAATGTCCAACCATCTCAAGGCGGTCCAGGGTGTGGGTGGGTGTGCAATCTCAGGGTTTGGGTCCCAAGTCATTAGGGACATTATATGCTAGCGTTAGACTGAATTCAGTCTGTGAGGACCGTCAGCCAGTGCAGATCCTGCAGGACTGGTGTTATGCTGTGTGCCCACAACCCTCTTGAATAGTTCAGCTAAGGAACTTGCTCCCACAGGAGGCAGTGACAGCCTTGGATGGCTTTAAAAGAGGAGGGGGCAAATTCAGAGAGGAGAGGGTTATCAATGGCTACTAGCCATTATGGTTATGCTCGGCCTCAATAGTTGGGAGGCAGCAACACTTCTGAATACGCGTTGCTGGAAACCGCAAGAGGGGAGGGAGACTGCTCTTGTGCTTCCTGGTTTTGCACAGGCAACCATTTGGCACCGTGAGGATAGGATGCTGGACTCAATGGGCTTTGGTCTGCTCCACCAGGCTCTTATTTTCTTACGAATACTTGCCCCCCAAATACTGGAATTGATGATCTAAATCCTCAGGGTCCAGGGAGGGCGTCAAGGGCAACAGCAATTGCCAGAGCGGCTCAGTTGGCATAGCCTGAAACTCTTCATCTCAGGGTCATGGATTTGAAATCCCACATTTGAGCAAAAGATTATTGCATTTCAGGGATTAGACTAGATGATGCTTGCAGCCCCTTCCAACTCTACAATTCCTTGATTCTAGGATGGCTCTTTTCCTCCCCTAGCAGGAACATCCCCATGCATTGCATCTCCCCGCTATTGACCTGTGTGTCTCCCATGTGCAACAGTGGGTTTTTGTTGCATCCTTACAAGCAAAGGGAAGAGTTTGAGCTGTGCTGGCGATATGAAAACTGGACTGACAATTTACAGTTCAGAGAACTTGAGGATGTGACTTGGACTGTGAAAGGCAAAGGCCCCTGACACCCCCCACCCCCCCACCAGGGCAAACCCTCTTACCGGATCCTTTCTGAATCAGAAGGATGAGGCATGTGGTGCCAGGCGGCCTCCTCCATGGCCTGTTGGTAGAGCTGCTCCTTGGTGAGAGGCACAGGCCCCAGGGGGCACACCCCGAGCGAAAGGGGGATGTTCACCTCAGATAGCTGGATGGGGGGCTGGTTGGAGGCTGGCTGGGAGGTCGTGCTCGTAATTAAGATATCAGCTGGAGCAGAAAAGGGGAAAGAATCACTCAGCGGGGACTTGACACATGCTCTCAGGATACAATTCAAGCGAGCCTGGACTCTGAAGGCTGTGTTTTTAAAAGCAGCTCCTCCTGCTTCTCACGACGAGTCCTTTGATTCATCAAGAATTATTATCCCTGCTACCATCTCTTAAAAGGTGGCTGCGGATTATAGTTCAGGTCAATCTCATTTCTTGCTATTGCATGAATAAGCAAAATCCTGTAAAAGCAGAACACCCCTAGCAAACCGGGGGGAAAGAGAAGCAAATCTCCAACTCCTCCACAAATCTCTCCGGCCTCCTCTGATCTCTTTCCAGCAACCTCCCAAATGTTCTGCAACCTCCTCCACTCTCCCAACTTTTCAACTACACCCAAACGCTCTCCCAATGGCCAATGGGATTTGCCAGCCATTTTTTCCTGCTCCCCCGCATCCCATTTCCCACCACACTTGGCATTTATTCATTCGTGACCTGCATAAAGCTGTGATCGTGTAAGTGAAATCAGTGATCTAACTGTACTACTCAGAACTTGGGAGACTTCATTTTCTCCTCCAAAATGTCTTCCTTCTCTTGCACAGACCCACAGCCTCAGAGAACACTTTCATTAAATTTTTTATTATGATCTCATTTTAAAGCAAGCTTGACTCTGTCACAGATCCTTGGTTTAAAATATCAAGCAATGAAAAGCTCCAGGGACAACATCTGGGCCAGAAAAAACTGATTATTTGTGTACCAGATGGCAGCCTGCTCCTCAACTGCCAACACAAATGGTGAATGGAAGGGCTGAGATCTATAGCAGAATGACTTGCCTGTAGGTCAAGGATTTTTGTTGCTGTTCTTGGGGGTGAGTATAGAATGGTACAGAGAGAGAAGAGTGGAGACTGGTGGTCTTAGAAACCACCACCTCTCATCCAAAGTAGCCACACTTCAATTTCTGAAGTTGTCAGACACACGCAGGAATGCCACAGGACTCAGAAATGTGCACCTGAACTGTGCTGACACTATTTGGCCTTCCCCCTGAACCACAGCTTTGCAGGGGCAATGCCTCTTTCTCCACACTTACCCCTTTCAGCGAGATGTAGAGATGGCACGGGGTCCTCTATGCTAGAGCCGATAGCTGCCCTCTCAGCCATTGACTTCAATGTACTTAGAGGCTCAGGTGCCTGCACGACACACAAACGTAGCAAAGGAGGAGTGAGAGAAAGCTGTTTTTATGAAAGCTGCTGCAATGATTAAGACTCACAGGGAGATCACAGGCAGTTAAGTCACCTCTCGGGCAAACCCACCTTCCAGGGTTCTTTTGAGAGGATGACGTGGGACAAGCACAGCCACAAACACCAGCCCACGTTCCCTGGAGGAAAGAGGGCTGGAAGCAGCCTGTTGCGTGTGGAGCACAAGCGATCGCTCACCTTGATCTCTGCTGCGGAGCTGAACTGGGGCGGCCCGTTGAGCAGGGTCTGGGCAGGCTTGCTGTCAGAGAAGCTGGGCGTGGGCGAGGCAGGAGGGTTGGCAGTCAGAGGCACCAGGAGGCTGGATCCAGTGGTGTTGCCACCGCTCGGCGGCTGCGAAGCTGCGCTGGGCTCTTTGCTGCCAAAGGAGGCGAGACACAGAAGTCAGGGTTGCACTTCCTTCAAAGATAGAACACTTTAGGCTTGTCTGATCCAAACACAGGAAAAGAGAGAACCTGACAGATCTCCCCAGGGAAAATGTTCCAAAGTATAGGTGCCATCACTGAAAAGACCCTCTCTGGCAGTGACGGGAAGCTCTGATCGTAAGGATCAGACAGGTTTATGTGGACTAGAACATTTTTCTAGAGAACATCCTGGCATAGCCTGAGTCTTTATAAAAGTCTTTATATAAAAGCACTTTAAACTGAGCCCGGAAGTAAATATGAACGTAAGAAAAGCCCTGTTGGGTCAAACCAACGACCCGTCTAGGCCAGCATCCTGCTCTCACAGTGGCCAACCAGATGCGCCAATGGGAAACCCACAAGCAGGAGCCAAGCCCAAGGGCCCCCTCTCCCTTCCTGTGGTTTCCAGCAACTGACATTCAGAAGCACTACTGCCTCCGACCGGAGCTAAAGAGCAAAGTTATATTTTATTTATTCATCAGCAACATTTACAACCCAGCTCCTTGTGTGCCCAGATACCAAGATACACAGAAGTTGTTTTTTAAAAAATGCTGCCAAATAATGCACTTTGCTTTGATATTTTTTGTAGTTTTGTATTCTTTTCTATTATTATTATTATTATTATTATTATTATTATTATTATTATTATTGATTTCTCTTTTGTAATTTTGGTTGCTTATATTTACCTGTATTTGTTTAAAGCAAAATTAAAAAAATAAAATAAAATAATGCACTTTGCCAAAAGAGGGCAAAAAAAAAAAGAGAGCAAAACACCACTTACAACCATGTAAAACTCTATGGTCTGCCCACTAGGAAAAGTGGTCCATGGTGGGAAGAGTGAGACAGGACAGCCAGGAAGGGACAAGATAGAAACTCACACAGAAGCGCTGGGCGGGTTGTGCGACGCCGTCTGATTAGGCAATGCCTGGTTGCCGCTGCTTAGCGTGGAGTCTGAACTGCTGTCCGCTACCACAGAACTATAACCTAGGCAGGAGGGATTAAAAAGAAAGAAGCTCTGGCTTGACTTCTGGGCTAAATGGTCACAACATTACACAAACGAGGGGAAACTGAGCTTCCTGGCCTAGGTATCAATGGAGCAGCTCCTAATTTTGGCTTCGTCTCAACCCTCCCCTCCCGTAGCCTATAAAACAGCAACTGCCGGCCTCGCCACATTACAGACTGGCCTTTAGCTGTTGCTGGATAGGAAGGAACTGGCAGGCGACACTTTTCGGAGCATGGAGGATTATCCCCTCTGGATTTTCAAGATGCTGTTGAAAAGGCACAGCTACATAAGGCGACCCTGCTAAACACCTGGCATCTGCAACACAGCAGCCATTCCTAACCCCCCAGGAATCTTTTGGGAAAGTCGAAGCAATGGCCCAGACCCCAGACTCACTGGTTGCCCCGTTCTGCTTGCTGGCGTTCTGCTGGGTGCTGGGAGGCCGGGGCTGAGAGGCATTGGTGCTGGTGGGTGGGGGCGCCACAGCCTGGGCGTAAGGGGTCGGGGTGGTGGGTGCGTGCCCTGCCGGAGGGTTAGCTTTGCCGCTCGCGTTCCCACTGCCAGCCACAGCCCCGTTGCTGTTGGAACCAGGCCCGTCCCCCAGCGAGGACGAAGTGCTGGAGCTGCCGCCCATCGGGTAGCTGGTGGGGATTGTGGGAGGCGGCTGGTGGTGGTGGTTGTGGAGGCTTTTCGAACCATTCTTCGCTGGGGACTGGGGGGAGAGAAGGATGGGAGAGGGGGGAGAGAAGATTTAGGATCATAACTGCTGCCTTTCTACTCAAAAGAGAGCAAAACTAGGAACCATTCATGTCTCGGTTCACCCGTCCCTCCACTCTTTTAAGAGCTGGCCTAAAACATACCTTCCTTACGGTGATGGTACAGTCCTCTTATTGGGCTGTACCACCTCAGAAAATGCTTTCAGAGAGGGGAGCCCATGGGAAAGCAAACTCACACGGACAACTCCCAGCCTGTAAAAGCTAACTTTTTAGGAGGTGGCCATGATAGAAACTGTTCCCCTCTCACATGCAAGGTGTTTGTATGTTAAGGAGATTGCAATGTGGGTGTTACTCTCAAAGCAAGCGGCTCTGCCCAACCACCCAACCCCCAGCCCTACTCTTGCATGCATTCTGGAAGTGGTACATCCTTCACAACAGAACTGAACCAGATCAGAAGTAACATGCTGGAAATGGCTCTACCTAACTAGTTCTGATGCCCCTCTGTCCCAAGAAGCCCGGGCTCCTCTCCCCTTGCCCAAATCACCAAGGGAGTTTCTAACCCATCTTCCAAAAGCCGAACCCTTGAGAGGAATGAATTCTGGGCTCCAAACTCACTTGGCTCACTTCACTGTCTGTTGATCGTCCCCGTTTCTTGTCATCTTCAGAGTTCTCCTAAAGGAAGGAAGGAAGGGAGGAAGGCTTGATTAGAAGAGCTGTTACCCGTGGAACTAAGAAAGCAAGCTGGGTTTCTAACAACCTGTAGAAGCACTCAGTACTATTCACTCAAGTTGATACAATCCCGAAAGGTCCCCTTTCCTACCCCCCACCCCTGGCATCGTAACAGGGGAGCCTCCTTACTGTTGTGCAGTTCGCAGGGCTGGGAGGGATTGGGGAGCTGGACGTGGTGGAGGTAGGCGTGCTGCTGGACTGGTTGAACATCTCATCCTCCATGTGACTGTGGCTGGGTGGGGAAGTGGCAACCAGGGCCTGTGCTGCAGAGTCAAGAACAAGGAGAGGCTTATGAACCCAAAGAGGCTGCAGTTCGTCGGCAGTGACACAATCCAGCAGGTGGGTACTGCTGTTACAGAGTATGATCCCGCTGTCTGGGCTTTGCAAGAGTTCACTGCTGTGCCACTTTATATTTGAAAAGTATACAGTGGTACCTCGGGTTACATACGCTTCAGGTTACACACTCCGCTAACCCAGAAATAGTGCTTCAGGTTAAGAACTTTGCTTCAGGATAAGAACAGAAATCGTGCTCCGGCAGCGCAGCAGCAGCAGCAGGAGGCCCCATTAACCTGAAGTGGTGCTTCAGGTTAAGAACAGTTTCAGGTTAAGAACGGACCTCTGGAACGAATTAAGTACTTAACCCGAGGTACCACTGTACTGATAACCTGGCAAGTGCCGTCCTCCCAAAAAAGGATTAAGAGGAAATCAGGGATCAGTACGCCCAATTCTTTACACCAAACCCCACCACTACAATGCACTGAAGTAAACCAGCCTAACAAGTTTCTGGGACCCAAAGACCAGCATACGCTCCTGGAGTTTTGAGAAGGGTCACGACGCAACATTCAGAGTCAGTAGCCCAGGTGAACAGATATAGTTCAAGTAGCAACAAAATAAAACAAAACCAAATCTCTGAACAGTTAATGAGCTATCTAGCAATAATAAAATGCACAGAACCACAGCAGACTCTCACCAAATGCTGAATCTGCAACAATAGCCAAATGGCAGCGCTTACCCAGTAAAACCCGAAACTTCTAAATATTATTATTATTTACTGAATTTATATACTGCCATATACCCGGAGGTCTCAGGGCGGTTCTAAGGGTGGATGGGTATCAAGCTAAATGCTAAGCTCAAACTGACAGTTGCCTCTAGACCACAGGTTTTGTTAGGAGGGAATAACTGGTTGATTTAAAATGATTTGAAGTTTGCTCCTTCACAGTTATCATAGCTAGCGCTGCAATACTGCTTCTTCCCCAAGTCTCAAGGCTGCTTTGGCTTCCCCCACCCCCCATATAACCTCAACCAAAAGCAGCCCACCCAAAGGAGACACTTACGAATGTCTTCTAAGTCGAGGTCATCATAGAGGAACTCGTTCTCCTCAAAATCAGGGTCCTGCGAGGAATCCACATAGTATTCCACGTCATCCTTGATCTTGCGGATGGAGTCCACGTTGATGGAGTCATTGTCCAGCATCCTCAGGATGGTCTCCAGCATCCGAATGTGGTACCGGTGTTTCTCAATGTGCCGCTTCAGGCCCTCGATTCGGTCTTGCTTCTGTGTGGTGGGGAGGGGAAGAGAGCCAGGTTCAAATCCTCACCCATCTAGGAAGCTCACAGCATAGCACCCAGGCACCACCTCTCAGCCTGACCCCCAACCTCACAGAATCTTGTTTCTTGTGAGGTCTCAGAAGTCATCGTTCCCATAGATACCTCCACCTTGGCTTTTGACCTGTGAGGTGATGCCATTTCCCCAAACACAGCCCTCCGTCCTCCGAGGAGGACATCATCCATTGACTCACATCCTTGTCTCCTTTCTTCTTGCGCGTCTGGACAGACAGCGACTCCACTTCGCTCTCAAACTGATCCACCTGCATGTTCAAGGTGTCTATTGTGTTCTGAAGGAAGGACAGACAGAAAGAAACATGTTATTCTCCCCAATCCTCCCTCGCCATGGAAAAGAGGTTCTCCCTCTTGCCAATGGGTGCCTAACTCTGGTCGTCCGGATATTATTGGACTAAAACTCGCACCATCCCCGGCCACTGGCTGTGCTTGCAGCACCAACAGTATCTGGACGGGCACAGATTTTCCTTCCAGCCCCAGACTGGGCCTCATGGCTCTCTGTTTGCTATCATTAGAAAACAAAGCCTGGCAAGCAGAAGCTCTCGGGTTCAGGTGAGGTGACAAAAAAATTGGGGGGGGGGGAGAGGGAGGAATCTGTCTCTCCCCTCCCCCCATGTCTGAACCTCAAGCCTCCAATGTCAACTATGAGTGGAAAGGGAGGACCATCTGTATCACATGGCATAAGGTCGCAGCTTACATCCAGTACTATAAAAAGAGGAAGTTCTAAAGCAGGAAGGGGTTATTGGTGGTCCTCCGGTTGCTAACAGAATCTATAACCTCCATCAGTCCCAGTCAGCACAGCTAATGGTCAGGGCTGATGCAAGTTGGATGTAGTCCAAGGGTATCTGGAGGGCCAGGGGTTCTCCTGCTCCAGCTTTAAAGCCACACCCCTTAAAAACCAGAGCTTCCTTCTCCCTTCGTCTGCTAAAAAGCAGCTCCTCCTTCCAGGCATTTAGCAGCCAGCCTCCACTTGTCCTCACCGTCAGCCACTGCCCGACCTCCTCCTTTTCCTTCTGGGCTGGGTCCACCTTCTGCGCCAGGCCCAGGCCCTCCTTCGAGTAGGCTTTCGTCTTGGTCTCACGTTCCACTACCTTGAACCGCTCCATTTGCTGGAAAAGACAGACCAGAGGCAACTAGCTGAGCTAAGGGTCGCTGAGAAGTCCAAGCTATCAGCATATATTCCCCTCTCAGTGATCATTTGAAAAGGCAGAAATCCTCAGCAGCAGCAGAGGAGATAAATAGCAAAATAAATAAATAAATCTAGATTAATTACTCCCAAGCATGTTTCAGCCCCAATTTTCAATCTTCAATCAGGATGGGGAAAGGGTAACTCTTCCCAGGCTTTTCATCATTGGTGGACTGAGAATTCTATCTGCAGTAGGCATTTAAAGGATACAAAATGGGATCTTACTTTGTTAAAAGGGACCATTCAATCACACAATTCTCCCACCTAAATCATGAAGCAAACCCCTACGAGGAACTGTGCAGTGGTACCTCGGGTTAAGTACTTATTTTGTTCTGGAGGTCCATTCTTAACCTGAAACTGTTCTTAACCTGAAGCACCACTTTAGCTAATGGGGCCTCCTGCTGCTGCCGTGCCGCCGGAGCACAATTTCTGTTCTCATCCTGAAGCAAAATTCTTAACCCTAGGTACTATTTCTGGGTTAGCGGAGTGTGTAACCTGAAGCGTATGTAACCCGAGGTACCACTGTACTAAGTTATTTTTCCTGAACATGGAGACTGCAGATCCAGCCCGAGAACCACAGACAGCAGAATGAAGTGGCAGAATCCTCAGGTGGTAGAATGGACTGTTCTATTCCAGACAGCAATGGAGGGATAACCATTTCTAAATCATTGTGTATTTTTTTAAAAAGCCGACTGCAAGTAAAAAAACCAGTGCAGTAGAAAGGATGTGGTTGGATCGGAACCTTTCTACTACTGTGTTGCTTGTTCCCTGGCAGAGGCATTTATTTTGGTGGGTAGGTTAGGGGTGGAGGTCCTCTAGGGACATTTAAAAACAGCTTTGCCTCATCTGTAGTTTGAAGTGCTGCCTTCCATCCCAAGATCCTACCACCCCAATTCAGCTGCCACGTTTAAACTGGGCCACACAGCTCCATGCCCTAAGAGAGCTCTGGATCCCATCCCCTGTTAACTAAAGAATCCTGGCTCCCTAACCATTAGCTGGAATTTACCAGGATCTCTTCCTACCCAGGAATCCCAGGCTTCAACCCTAACCCATTTTGTCTCTGAAACTTTTTTTTTCCAAAATAAAAAATGAGAACTTGTGAATATAGTGCATGTGCGTGTATGGAACTCAGAAGAAATGGCTCTGCACACATTACCTTGCAAAAGGAGATTTAAGGCAAACCCATAAAAAATGTGTATGTACCAATGCATTTTCAGTCACACATCACATGCCAAGAAGCCAGTGTCGGCTGCAAGTACCCACAGCAATAAACATGTAAGCAGCTATTTAATGCACAAAGCTGCCCTCAAGTTTGAATGATCCAACTAATATGCAATTTGTGCCCCCGTGAATTGGTCAGTGATCACCCTTTCTTTGCCACAGTGAACACACAGCACTTGGGCTTGATGGTTCTGCATTAGAAGATAACAGACGAGATTTACAGCAGTGCAGAACCGTGCAGAAAAGAAAAGAAAAAGTTAAAATCTGAATATGCATCATGCCAGTCTGTGCACATCATCATGGCAAATACAAAACTCTGCTTGCCCGTTGCAAAACAGCTGTCCAAGTGTTAAACTCCTTTCCAAAAGGGCCCAGGAAAGTCTTGGGTCACAACTCAATAGACCTTTCCCCTGGGTGTCTTTAAACCACCTCTAAAACTTTACCATCTATCCCATGTTGTCTCAATCAGAAGACCTGCTCCAAAGGGATCCTGGGCTCCTCACAGAACCCCTTTCTGCAAAAGTCTCCCAGTCTATATCTGGACTGTAAAGGCAAGCTGGCTCACCTTTATGAGGTCACACTACTTACTAGCCAATTGCAATGCTGTGGGGGAGGAGCTAAGCAAAGTTAAGCCCACGTATAAACAGGAGATCCTCAGCAAAACTAAGAACCAGTATGAAAATAGCTGAAGGCAATGAAATGTGTTAGTTTTATACCTTTGGTAGACACAATTTCCCAAAATAAACCTCCAATTAATTAGGTCTCTTGCCAAGCACCAATATGTAGCAGGTAGCGGATTCTTCTTACCGTCTCAATGAGTTTTCGGTTGTCTATTAGCTGCCTTTTGTCCTTAATCTCATTGGATGCAACCCACGTCTTGATCTGGTCCCTCAATCTCTGCAGAAGAAGAGCCCGTTAAGCAGGTAGGTGGGAACGGTTGGGGAAAAGATGCCAACCTACCTTTCCTCCGATGAATGAAGGCTAGTGGTCAGAGGTATGAGCAAACAGAAGTAACAACCTCTAGATTGTTCATCATATGCTATCACTGCTAGAACTGGCATTAGCGAACAAGGAAGCTAGCCTTTCCTTGCTCCAACAATTAGAATTCACTTTCTTTTAACAGAATCTAAACTCACTAAACAGACTGTCCTTTGTGAAAAATCTACGCTTTTCCAAGCCTCATTCTTACTCAAATTCAGCCATGTCTGATCTGATGTTTTAAACCTCAAACCAATGGTCAGGGATGATGGGAGGTGTGGTTCAAAACATCAGGAGGACATCAGGGTGGAGAAGGCTGATCTAATCTATACATCCTTGCTATCCCAAGGCATTCTCACAATGAAGCTATGAACCCCCCCCCCCCGCCAAACACCTAGGTTCTTCCCCCTTCTCAGTGGAGCCATACCTGTGGTCCAGGCCACCCCAACCTCTACTCTCTAACTATAAACCAGCAAGCCCTGTGGGGAAAGAGTGCCCCATCTTCCTCTGCTCCTTCCAAAGGTGCCCCTAGAGTCCTGATACACAGATCACTCCAACCCCAACATTCCCTAAATTTGGTAAGAAAAGATCTGGAAACAAGTCCAGGCAAAATGTTTACCTGGAGTTTTTTTATTTCTTTTTTCAGATCGGCTTCATATTTCTCCTTCTGGTTGGCATTAGCTGCATTGTGGAGCTGTTGCATAGGGAGAAAGAGGAAACAAGAGGTGGGGTGAGAAAGATGGGAGACCCCAGGACTCAGGGTGGAAAGCAACCCAGAGCAGAAAACAAACAGGGAGCTGAAAAGATTCCGGGGTAGGGGTGGGGAGAAGAACAGAAACCTCTGCGGACATAGCAACAAGAACAATTACAGGGCAATGTGGTGGTCTAAAAGGCTAGTGTGGGGTGGATGTCAGAGAATAGGGCAGAATTTAGGAGGCGAGGCCACTGCCAGCCCTCACCTTCTGCCAGATATCTTCAAACTGCTCCACGCCTTCCGACACCTTTTTCAAACACCGATCAATCTCACCTGGGGAGAGAAAATCCCTGCTGAGAGCAATCATAAGATCTACCTTGCCCATACCTGGCCATTCCTTCCTCCCAGTCTGAGAGGAGGATGCTGGAACGGTGGTTCTCCTCTCCCTCAGCTTCCTGCAAGCCTGCCCCTCTCACTTTACTGAAGTGCAAGATCCGTTCTTTGACCGAAAGAGAACCGAGCCACCTCTCCCCTTCCTAAACTCCTCTCTCCCTTCAGAGCATAGTTATTGCTTTCTAATATCCCAAGTCATTCTCCACTTCTAAAAAAAAAAGAGGGGGGGCCCTCTTGCTCCTTTAGTCAACTCTTCCCTTCCCTCCACTCTAACCAACGAGACCCCACCCTCTCCAAGAGAGCTCAGAGGAGTCCTGGCTCTGGCCCAGCTGTTCTGATGAGCAGCCCCGCCCTCTTCTGCAGGCCAGCCAGGTGCCTAGCATGTATTAGTAGCCCTGAGCTTGGAGAGTGCAGGTAGGCTCCCTTACCTTGTAGCTTCCTCTTGTCTGCCATGTTTCCTTCACTATAGAGGGGCTCTCTTCATACTTTATAGAGCGTTGACGCTTTAAGAAAAGCCAGCAGAAAGACAAAGTTACGAAGCAAGCCCAGGACAGAAGTAGCACCTCCTGCTGGAAGGTGCTAAATGGAGGTAAGAAGGATGAGTAAGATTTGAGCTACTGCTTTGTTTTAACCGACAGAACATTTACTGCTTTCAGCAGCTGTATATATAAAAAAGTAGAAGTCACAGGTAAGGCTTTCTTCAACACTGTGCTTCCCCCTGTTGATTTCTACTCATTAAAAGCAGAGAGTTTCTGTCCAATGAAAAGTAAAGGCCACAAACCTAGCTGAATCAGAGATTATCCCAGGAGAAAGTGGACAAGTGGGAGGTAATGCCTTGGGGGAAGTATTCTATAGACAGGGAAACTGGACCCAGTGGAATTAAAGAACTCCTTCCCACCGCCCCCCGGTGACCATGCAACAGGCAAACACTCAGCGTGTGGAGCTTTACTCAGTATTCAGGTGATGCGACACCAGGGAAAGCTTCGTCTGTTGAGTTTGGGTTTTTAATCATGCAACCCTTAAAGGCACCCGGTCTTCCAGAAAAAAGTAAAACACATTGATCGTCCAAAGTCGAACAGATTTGGAGCAGGGATTACCCCAACCCCATAATACCGTATCCTTATCTGCCACACTCTCCTACAGTCTTTTCCAGACTATGAGCCTTTGGTGCACAAGACAGTTAGGCTTTTTACAAGGCCCTGAAGACTTGGGTGGTTTCACAAGCCAAGCAGCTTTTTATTTTGTCCATTTCAAAAAACAACAACTGACTAGGTGCCAGCTTTTCTGTGCTCTGTTATTTGACAGTGTTGCTTTAAGCAGGCTAGGGGATGCATTGTAAGGCTTGCACTCACCTAGTGGCCCCTGGGCGCTTGTTGTCTCTCTCTCTCTCTCTTTCTTTTCCAGCCAGGTTCCTATGCAGGTGAGAAAAAGCACATGACTAACGGGGGAAAGAGCCCCACCTTTTCCTCCTCCCCCATCTAGCTGCCCACCATGTCAGGCAGCAAGCTGGGAAGCACAAGAGGCACCTATAAAGGCACAGTGGTGGCTGGCTAAGGCTACTGCAGTCTAAGGGACTCAGGCCTGGAATGAGGCAAAAGTACAGGGCTTGCAGATGGAAGAAAGGGTTCCTGGGTCACCAGACAATGGAGTTGTCCTAGACTAGAAAAACCCCAGCACTAGGGGTTGGTAACTTTTTCTTTCCTGGCAGGGAAACACCTGCCACCCCATCAGAAGTTTAGTGGGTTAAGCTTTCCTCATCTATACATCAGGAAAAGCTGAATTTCTCCTTGTCACACAGGTATTAAAGGCACAGGAGCCCTGCTAGGGGGAAAGCTAGTGCAGGTATGTGAAGAGATGCTTGCAAAGGTGTCTGCAAAGCAGGATGTTTGTTTTTTCTTCCCAGACTGAAAATATGCCACAAACAACATCCATCGTTAAGCCTGTGCAATTTGAACTAGTAAATGCTTATGGGTTTATCACATGTCTGAACTAGTCCCTATTCTCTCCCCAAAATTCTCAGCCAATGCAACACATTTTCCATTCTCCTCTTGGAAAATCACGCAGCACAATTCTGAGGTAGCAAAGTGGACTGGACCACTTTAGACTTGCGGGCAGGGGGAGAGGGAATGTAATGGTTAAGTGCACAATGAAAAAACAGGGGGACCATAAGGACGAGACAGATTCTCGCCTAGCTTGGTACCTGCTGATGGATACTAGTTTTCTACCATTTTGAATCAAATGTAAGGGAGAATTTGTGACCCACACCTGCAGTGGCGCAGCCCAGCTTATCACTTCCTTGTGCTACCTGAGTTAAGACTACATACCTGCCAGGCTCTTCACCATTTCTCTCCCAAAGATTCCATACCCTGCTAGGCATCTGCCCTCCAGCTTCAGCTTCCTAACCTTCAGAAAACATAGGAATTCTTTCCTTGCCTGTTTCTCTACTGTCAACTGCAAGATCCCACCATACACACCCACCCACCCTCCCCAAGTAATTGTGAGTCTGGGTCTCCCACCTCACCCCTTCAGAAACAAAGCTTTCTTCACAAAGAGGCATCAGCAGACCAACAATAAATGTGAATTTGGGGTGACCCAGAAAGTTCCTAACATTTTCCTATTCCAAGAGGGACCTGGGTCAAAGGCCAGCTCTGGAATAAACACAACTTGGTTCAGTGCATGTCTACTCAGAAGTAAGCTCCACCAAGTTTGAAGGGAATTATTCTCCAAGTAAGCATGCACAGAATTGCAATTTTTGGAGTTTCCAGGTCCTCACTTGGAGATGGTACCTAACATGCTGTGTTCCTCTTACCTGCTGTGGAGGGAATTCAGAATCTCACAACAAGCTGAGGAAGAGGGCAGGAAGGGCTTCACTGGAAGAACTGGGCATCTTAAAGAAAATTAACCAGATGCTGTTCCAGTGCCCTTAAAGGCAGGTTCATCTGCAAACATCAGCAGGTGGCTATGCTTCTTTTCACACTACGAAAAGCTTCACCTGCCGATTTCTGCATATCAAGCTGCCATTAAAGGCACAGGAGTCCAGGCCAGGCCCTCTGATAACCTTAGACCAGGGGTGGAGAACCTGTGGCTCTCCAGATGTTGCTGGACACCAGCTCCCATCAGCCCCAGCCAGCACAGTCAACAATCAGGGAAGATGGGAGCTGTAGTCCGATAGCCTGAGAAAGAAGAAAAAACAGTAGTGATTTGCCCACTGACAGGAACAGCTTGGTGAGCAGAATCAAAAGCAAAACAAAACCCTTAAACCAAGCAATGGTGACAGCAACATCTAAGATGGCAAACTTGGGCTTTTACTGAAACTATTGTAAGTTATAGGATTCCTTTTGGGTTTTTCTTGTGGGTGTTTCTTTTGGTTTGTATTCTGTTCCTGTGGCTGTCATAAAACAGCTATTTACAGCCTCATGTTGGTTACTTACATCTGGCATACTGATACAGCTCAGTGTTTACATTTTCTACATTCAAGGAACAACCCCAAGGAACCACTGCAAAAGATTGTGGGGCATATTCTAGAGTAAACAATCAGTTAATGTGGAGCACTGCATCTTGAGCAAGGGATTCATGTAGAAAGCTGCCATATACAAAGTCACACCACTGGCCCATCTAGCTTAGTAATGTCTACACTGACTGGCAGCAGCTCTTCGTGGTTTCAGACAGAACTCTTTCCCAGCTTGGAGAAGTCAAGACTTGAAACATGGAACCTTTCACATGCAAAACATGTGTCCTACTGATGAACTACGAACCTTGTGTTGTATATAAGCAACACTTTCTGTTGTCTAGCCCAACTGATTTCATTGCCTGAGTAACCGAGTTGTAGTGTTTTGGGAAATAAAACTCTCTCGAGCCGCACTGCACATTTCAACCTACCTAACGCAGCCCCAACAGCCTTCTGACTTGCTGCAGAATATGTCCTACATGCTTTGCAAAGGACCGGGTTTTGCTTGATGTGGAGTGACAGGGGGTTGGTGGAAGGAGGCATATCTGGAGAAGACTTACAGCTGGATCCCATGCTGTATCTGACATGGAAGTGATGCCCACTTTGTCCAATAGGACTGAAAGCATGTTTAGAATTTCAGCCTTAGAGGCACTACCCTCATAAATAGTGACCACTGCAAGTGTCCTGAGGCATTCGCTGCAATTATGTCACAGTTCACTGGGCTTCAATTCTGGAGTGTTCTAAAGCTATCTCTATGTTTATGCATCCTGTAAAGTGCACCCCCTGGAAATATTTATTTTTATATACCCTTTATATTATTTTGTAAAACTGTTCTGTGCAATCCCCATAGGATTTTTTTTTGGGGGGGGGAGGGAATTGCTGCAGAGGAGACCACAGATAAAAGAAAAACCTAGACTGACACACAGTCCTGAACCTCTGGTACCCAACCGAAAGGTCCCATTTGCAGAACATGGTGGCAACATGGAATGCAGCCATGTACCCAGTGTGTGAGTGGTCACCACTAATTTGTGATGGCCGAAGGAGGCAGCCAAGCTAAATGCAAACAGCCTTGCTTCTCTAAGTGTGGTGCAGTAGCTAAGAGTCTGAGCTGCGATTCAGAAAATTCAAGATTCGAATCTCGATCTCCATTATGAACTCGCTAAGTGGCCGCAAGAAAGCTACTTTCTCTTTGCCTCACCTGGCATCTGCAATATGGGGATAATAATATCAAAGGAATTGGATGAAGTGGGCATGGCTTGTTCCTTTTAACACATCCGGGGGGGGGGGGGGTCAACCAAAGTAGAGAGGAACACACAAGCCTTTGGAAAGTTGAAGAAAAATCAAGGAAGGCAGGAGATGGTTCACAAAAAAAAAAAGATTGGAGATGCTTTGGCATTGATGCTTTCTTAAAGGGCTAGATGAGTGCTACTGAACTTGAATGATGAGCAAGCTCAGAGAGAGAACTTTTACTGTGATTTATGTCACAGGTAGTGACCAATAGGTAGCTAGGCCCATTGAACAACTCATACATAAATGCAATCGATACTCTATATGGAGGAAAATGGCAATTTCCCACCTATAGTTTTGAATGCTGGGTAAATGCAGTTCTCCTGCAAAAGGACCACAATTTTTTTACAGGGACATCTGGATCCTGTGCCTTAATAACTTCTGGAAAGACCCCTTCCCACCCCCTGTGAGCAATAGGGAACACTGTCATCAAACTGTTCAAGATTAACATTTACTAACAGATTTGATATATTAGCATTTCCCAGAGTCAAAGGTTTAAGGGCAGCCTTGCCATCAGGTTACCATAAGCTAATGTGGTCCAATCCACCTAGGAATTCAAATCCCATTTCAGTTGCGGCCTTAGAGTGTTCCCCACAGATGAGTCATTACCTCTCAGCCTCTAGTCCCTGACCTGGTACTGTCTATTCTAATGGGCAGTAGCTCTCCCAAAGCCTCAAGCAGTGGCCTTTCTTAGCCCGGCTATTAAGAGATAATTTGTCAGTCAGAATTGAACCTGGAACTTTTATGAACTTGCACATCCATTCAGATCATTTGGAGAGGCCCTTTTCCATCTCCTGCTGTCATCAAGAGATTGGGCTGGTGACAATATAGGAAGCAGTTATAGAATCTCCTGCTCCAAGAAATGTTCTTTGCTCCTACACTGCTGGTGTTTTAAGACCACCTGAAGACTTAATAAATATTTTAACAAGCTTTTCAATTTCTGCTTTTTTCCCCTTTTTAAAAATCTGGTGTATTGCATTTTTTAAAACTATGTTGTGTTTGATATTTTTAAATATTTTTGTTGTAATCTACTGGACAGCTTTTATAAATATATAAACAAATGCACATATACTGTATAGGCAAAGTGCATTCTCTACCTTCAAGCCTTCAACATGTCCTGAACCCAAGACCTGAAAAAATAATAATACAGGGATCCCACCTGTGCACATAATCACTGAGCTATTTACGGTACAATATTAACAGTGTGCCTTACAGAACAGAAGAAATATTCCAGGTTCCTAGGATCACACACAATTTTTAAGCATCAACCCTGAGGAGAAAGGGGAAATTCAATATCTTAGGTAGTAGCCTCAATCTGTAAGCAGCTTAGTAGTAAAGCACACGTTCTGCATGCAGAACATCCAAAGTTTTGTCCCCAGCATCTCCAGGTAGGACAGAGAAATACCCCTTTCTGAAAACTTGGGAGAGCTATGACAGGTCAGTGCAGACAATACTAGACAGACCAATGATCTGTTTTTTTAAAACATGGCTTCCTATGTTTCTGCCAAGCTACTGAGATTTCACTAGGTCTTGACATATTCTACATAACAGCTGTAAGGCTGACAAAGGTGTGACTTGTAATGTACTTTTTACATTACAGTCATTGACTGGCTATAAGGTAAAGGTACCCCTGCCCGTACGGGCCAGAGCTCTAGGGTTGTGCACCCATCTCACTTAAGAGGCCGGGGGCCAGCGCTGTCCGGAGACACTTCCGGGTCACGTGGCCAGCGTGACGAAGCTGCTCTGGCGAGCCCAGCACCAGCGCAGCACACGGAAACGCCGTTTACCTTCCCACTATAAAGCGGTACCTATTTATCTACTTGCACTTAAGGGTGCTTTCGAACTGCTAGGTTGGCAGGCACTGGGACCGAACGACGGGAGCGCACCCCGCCGCAGGGATTCGAACCGCCGACCATGCGATCGGCAAGTCCTAGGCGCTGAGGTTTTACCCACAGCGCCACCCGCATCCCCATGTCTCTAGCCCTTAAGTCTCCAAAGTTTGCAGGTAAAGGCCAATGAAATCTCAAAAGCCAGCAAGCCATCCCATAGATAAGAGGCTGCAGCTTCATTCCTCTGCCTACTTACTGCCTTGTCTCTGCCTGCAACTAGCAAAAACCAAAACCAGTTAAGAGAAAAAAAGCAAATAGATATGCAGACATGTTGACAGCTAGCTACACATTCCTCTAGTAATTCATTACGAATTCTTATTATCACTCTGAAGTTACTTATGGTTAAGAGATGCACTTATATGCTAATAGGGGTTTTCCAACCATTGAATGCTACCTTGAGAGAGAAATACTCCAGATCCCTCCCCAGGTGCACAGACGCCCCTACAGGACCCTATAACACACATCCACACACAAGCGGGGGTGGGGGGGAGAGGTGGCTTTATGAAAACAACGTTTTTTTCTAACAGGTTCCTTTATTTCTTTTGGATACTTCAGCAACATAACAAGCATTGTGGAACCTTAAAGACTAACACATTTTATTACGGCATAAGCTTTTGCAAACGAGAATCCACTTCATCAGATGCCACAATGCTTATGCCATAATGAGATCTGTTAAGTTTTAAGGTACCACAATTCTACTTTGTTGTTTCTGCTTAAACAGACTACCCCCTATAGGAATCGTTTCAGTAATACAGATCTCTCTCTCTCTCATACACACACACACACGCCTCTCTATGGACCTCTCCAAATCAGGTATAAACTATATGTGCAAGTTTTCCAGGTGATCACAAGGACCCACAACCCTCCTTGGCTCAAAGTAGCCCTCATCACACGGCGCCCGCCCCACATCCTCCTGCCAGAGGCTCTCGCTCCACCCCAGGCGCCTCTTCCCCACAGAGGCATGTGGGCCTCACATCCTATAGGTGCAGGTCCTACCTGTGGAACCGCATCGCCCCCCCGCATCCTCCCCAGCAGGGCGCCCTTCGTGGCCCCTGCGCACCGCTGCAACCCCAAACACCTGGCCCCCAACAGAGGCCCCCTCCGCCTGCAGCCCCCCGCGCAGCAGCGCCTACGGAAACACCTTCCCCTATACAGCGCCCACCACCTATAGAGCCCCCTATAGACCTCCCATTGGCCACGCCCCCTACGGAGCTCCCGTAGGTACTCGTAGGCCCCGCCCCCTAGGCTAGGCCCCGCCCCTTCTCGCTCTCTCACCGGCGGCTCCGGAGTCTCCGGGTCTCTCTCTCTCTCTCTCTTTTTCCCTCTCTCTCTCCCTCTCCCCCCTCTCTCGGCCTCCGCGGCATCCAAGATGGCGGCAGCCTCCCCCCCTCTCCTTCCGCTCGACCCGCCTCTGGCTAAACTCCACTGGATGAGTCACCCGCCCTTCAGGATAGTCTCTGTTTCTATTGGGTGGTGGGGAAGGGGCTGGTGGAGGGAAACCGGGGCGGGACGACGCGGCGCAGCCGCAGCTGTCATTTACATAAATACCTTTAATCTATTGGTTAAGGGCAAATGTCCGTCAAAGCGTATCCGTATACTGATTGGCTCAGTAGGTACGGATGTAGCCAGTGTGACCACGCCTACCAGCCCGCGGAAAACAACCCGAAGGGGCAGGGCTTGTGGCAGAACAGATCGCCTAATGGTCATAAAAAACGTCCCTCAAGCCTTATTCGTTCATGATTGGCTATACTTCTTCCAACGCGCGCACTCGTGGGCATAGAATCATTTATTGGATAGCAGTTCTGCCACTCAGTCTAATAGTATTGCTGTTTGGCTGCTAGAGGGATTCGGAGGCGAGGGATATTTCCAAGCGGTAATTCTCTATTGGCTGTAGCGAAGCAAGCCTGCACACGTTGGCCTCCCATTGGATGGCTGCACTGCCCCCCAAAACCCTTCTTCCTTTGTACTGGCTTGCATAGTTTGAGGCGGGTCACAGTGAAGAAACGTGAGGCGGGGGCGAGGCCAAGGAGTTTTCCCAGAATCCTGATTGGTACAGGTAAGTGAGGTACCCTGTCACTTAAAATCACAATAGCCAATAACACAGGAGGGAATGAGCTCACTCTAAGATGGGTATTGATAGACTTCTGTCTCAGCCAACATTTGCCAACCTGGCGCCTTCCAGATTTGAACTACAGTTCCCATCAGGCCATGGGGGCCTTGTAGTCCAAAACATCTGGAGGGCGCCAGGTTGGCGATGGCTGGTCTAGGCATCACTATTTTCACTCCTAGCTGCAGCTCACCTCTTTTGGAGGGATAGTTGTAGCCTTACTAGTATACCCTCACACCCCTTCATCATTCACTGCCATTCAACTGAGACAAGTCCACCCCTCACAAACATTTCTCTGATGAAAATAGGACGTTTTATTCCATAATAATAATAATAATAATAATTTTATTATTTATACCTCGTCCATCTGACTGGGTTGTTCCTATAACTGTAGGTGGCTTCCAATGTATCAAGGAAATAAGAAAACATTAAACAGGGCTGCCTTCAAATGTCTTCGACAGGTTGAATAGTTTGGCTTGGGGGCCGCATAACTCCATAGCCTCTATACCCTCCAACATTTCTCTGATGAAAATAGGGATCTCCTAAGGAAAAGTGGGGCATTCTGGGATCAAATAAGAAACGGGAACAGCTTGTGTACATCTAGGACTGCCCCTGGAAAATAGGGACACTTGGAGGGTCTGTAATCGCTCCCACAAGAGCCAGCGGTGGTCACCAACTTGGACTGCTTTAAAAGATGAGTCAAATTCATGGAGGATAAGGCTGTCAGCCTCCATGGCTATGCTTTGCTTTCACAGTCATGCCTCTTTATGCCAGTGGCTAGAGGATGCTGTTGTGCCAATGTGCTGCTTGCAGGCTTCCCACAGGCATCTGGTTAGCCACTCCGAGAACATGATGCTGAACTATATTATTATGAGCGGCAGTGATGGCCAAACTTGGCCCTCTGGCTGTTTTGGGACTACAACTCCCATAATCCCTAGCTAACAGGACCAGTGGTCAGGGATGATGGGAATTGTAGTCCCAAAACAGCTGGTGGGCCAAGTCTGGCCATCACTGTGTGAACCCCAAGGGTGGATTACAACAATTAAACCACAATATTAAAATCAGTTAAAATGACAGAAATAAAAAGAGGGTCACAAAAATATATACTTCACATGTTGAATGTGGGCTGCTAGCCTGATCCAGCATTCCCTGATGTTCTTTGAAAGAAGCTTCATAGTATTAAGCAAATGCATTGGGGATGCCTGAACCATTCACCTGAAGAAATAGAAGAGGGCATTCACACTTGCACTTCTTAACACCTGCTTGCCCCACTTTTGTGAACACTGCAGAAAGGGGCCTTGCCTGTATCTGAATGCAGAAAGCTGCCTTATACTGTTGGAGGGCACCTAACCCTTTCGCAGGCCAGCTCTTTCCCCTATCCAGGTGGTTAAGAACAAGAAGAGAACCCTGCTGGATTAGACCAGAGGCCTGCCTTGCCTAGCATCCCATTCGCCACAGTAAAGCAACCAGATGCTTGTGGGGAAGGACGCAGGCAGAAGATGAGTGCAATGAGCCCTCTCCCGCTGTTGTTCTCTAGCAACTCTGCTGGTGGGGGGCGGGGAGGTAGGAGGGTTAAGCACATGGCTTTTTCCTCCATGAATTTCTCTAATCCCTTTAAATCCATCTAAGTTGGTGTCTGTCACCCACATCTTATGCCAGCAAATACCATAGTTCTAACTATCTGCTGTGTGCAAAGTACTTTCTCTAATACCACACATAATTCTATAAACCTCTATGATGTCTCTTCCTGATTTTTTAAAAAAAAAACCCTAAAAAGCCTCCAGTGTTGTAGCCTTTCCTCATAAAAGGCAGCCGCTGCAGCCCCCTGATCATTTTGAACGCACCATTTCCACTTCTGCAATATCCTTTTCAAAGCTGGCATAATGAGCTATACACACTATATCAAGTGTAGTCAAACCATAATTTACATCATGGCGTTATGATATAGGCAATTGTATTTTCTATCCCTTTCCTAATGATCCCTAGCACAGAATTCATAATTTTCAGAGTTGCCACTCACTGGGTTGAATTTTTTGTTGAGCTTTTCCCTGCAATCCCAATACAGTACCAGTCAGTGAACATCTATGTGGTTAGGATTTTTTTTTTGCCCCACACATTTGCTACTTTAATGTCCACCCTCCACACAACCTCTTTATGAACTTTAACATCACTGGTTCTAATACAGATCCTTAGTAGATCCCACTTATACCCCTGTTTTGTCAGAACTGTCAATTTCCCCCCAATTATCTGCTTCCTATTCTTTAACCCAGCTACCAGTCCATCCAGTCCAAAGCCCTTGGTGAGGCGCTTTGTAAAATCTTCTTGGAGGTGGATCTAGTGGATCACCCTGCCCACATGGCAGTTTCAAAGAACTCTTAAAATATTAGCGAGACAACTTACACCCACAGAAATCATGTTGATTCTTCTTCAGCAATACTTGTCCTTCTAAATGCTTGATCATTTTATATTTAATGTTTTCCACCAGTTTACCCTGAACAAACATTAAGCTAACTACTCTGTAATTTCCTGCATCCCTCCTGGCTCTCTTTTTAAAAATTAGTTTTACCCTGATTGCTTCCCAGTCCCCTGGTACAGAAGCTGATCTTAGGAACCAGGTAACTTTTGTTGTTGTTAAAAGAATAGTAATTTCCACATTTGAGTTCTTTAACAACTTGGGAGGTGAGAGAATCCCATGGTATGTTAACTTTTTAATTTGCTATTAAGGCCTAGAACTTTGTCTCTCGCCACCACTGTTGCGCTTAGTTCTTCCGATTCCCCTTCCTGAGGGAGTCAGCTCCAGCCCTGCGGTGAAAACGAAATGCAGATAATTGATTCAGCTTCTCTGCAACCTCCTCGCCTCCCGTTTAAGAGTAGGAATGAAAATTGTGAGGTATCCCTTAGGGTGTTTTGTGGGGGGGGGGTTGCATCCCTTTATTACCTGCTTGTGTTTCTTTTGCCGGAGTTTATGTTCCTTTTTGTGTTCTCATTTGGACAAGGCTTCTATTTTCTGAAGGGAGCCTTCTTGCCTCTCACAGCCTCCTTGCCTCTGCTCATCAGCCATTGCTTGGGCTTTCTTGCTGTGAGGGCATTATGGGTGCAAAGCAGGGATGGAAAACCTGAAGGCCACAAGCCCTTTTGGACACCTTTCCAGCTACCACATGCCTGTGGTAGGTGGAGCGATATAATTTTTTTCTCTTTGTAATGTAGATTGGCTTCTACACACGCCCCTCTTTATCCTCCACCCAGACACCAGAGTTCAAGAACACATTCTAGCCAGACAAAAACTCTCCTTGTGTGGCTGGGTAGGGAGCGTGGCCTGAGGAAAGTCCAGAGGGCTGGGTGGAAAGGTCTGGAGTGCCACACTCAGACCTGATGTTACCCATCCTGGTGTAAAGCATGTGCTCTACCACTAACTTGTGGCCTATTTCTTCCCCAGGGAGCTCAGAATACCCAACAAGGTATGATCATAGTCATAGACAAAATACCAAGTTAGGAGGAGCTTGGTGCAGGACAAACACAGCAATAGCAAAGAGCTGATTTAAATCCACAAAGGCCTGGCCCTCCTCCTACCTTTGTCCCACCCCCGCAGCTGCTGGAAACTTTATGTAGGTCCTTTAGGTAAAGGTAAAGGGACCCCTGACCATTAGGTCCAGTCGTGGCCGACTTGGGGGTTGCAGCGCTCATCTCGCTTTATTGGCCAAGGGAGCCAGCGTACAGCTTTCAGGTTATGTGGCCAGCATAACTAAGCTGCTTCTGGCGAACCAGAACAGCGCACGGAAACACCGTTTACCTTCCCGCCGGAGCGGTACCTATTTATCTACTTGCACTTTGACGTGCTTTCAAACTGCTAGGTAGGCAGGAGCAGGGACCGAGCAATGGGAGCTCACCCCGTTGCGGGGATTCGAACCGCTAACCTTCTGGTCAGCAAGTCCTAGGCTCTGTGGTTTAACCCACAGCGCCACCCATGTCCCATGTAGGTCCTTTACCACCTAGCAATAAGACAACTACTTAACAGGCTGTTATCTAATAGGCATCACTAAATCTTCTCTAGGCAAGCAGGGACTAAATAACAAGCCTAGAAAAAATATCAAAGAGGCAACACCCTAGAAGGCTTTGCGGTTACTGGGCAGAGCAACCACAGCCTCAGCTCTGGATTGTTGTGCCATGGAAATGTATTTGACAACAACCTGTTTAGAACCAAAAAATAAGCTTGTTTTAGAATGGCAAATTCTATGCCCAACACAGGAAAGCAAAGCCCTGCCTGAAAAGTAGATGTGTGGTATGGAAAGGGGTGGAGAAGGCCTTTCATGCTGCAAGGTTATAAAAAGCAGGCTCCTGCACAAAGAATCTATATGGAGAGTTTCCTTAGGAAGTACTACCTTCCCCAACCCAGAAAGATCACAAACACAGACTCCAAAGGTGCCACTCTATTTTTTCCAAAAATATACAGGTTAGAGACAAAGAAGTTTCATGCTCCCACTGTCAAAACAGACACCCCATAAATCCTTTATGTCTCTCCCCACACCAAAGGCATCCTGAAATCAGCATGAATTTAGAGTTTTTTCTAGACTGCAGAGAGAAAACATGGCATCTATAAATCAAGTCTTCCTCGACTGTGCTGGCTAGGGTTCATGAGTGCTGTCCAAAACATCTGGAGGGCATCAGGTTAGGGAAGAGTGTCCTACATGTAGCAAACATAGGGCCAGATCTAATTTACCCTCCAGCGAATTACGTCTCCCTCCTGCCTCCCTCTCCGTAGTCCCTGCAACTGTCTCACCTATGGAATCAACCAGTCACTTCTCTCATAGGAGAAAAAAGTCTCTTATTCTTTAATAACTATTGCTTTTTCCTACCACATTAAAACACATCTGAAAGTCAGACACCACGAGAAAAGTGTGATTCCCTTAATGAGCCACTCATTTCCACAGTAAGAAATGGAATCAGTTACCTTCAGATCCCCCAAAATTGCCAGTCCTGCACTCACAGTTCCATGTAACTGCAAAGCTATTTATTCTACCACCCTAGCACATTCATACATAGATATAACCTTCCGTAGAACATGAGCATAGAGCATTTTGAAATTCAGTTCCTGCCAAATGACAGCACACACACAGCACAGTCCTTTTACAGGACAAACATGAATCTACTTGTATGGGGAGAGAGATACCGTCACTATAACCAGTAAATCTGTTGTTTAGTTCCAGATCGTGAAACAGGACAAAGGGTTAGTAACTCCTAAACCAACACAGCAAGGGAGAAGCGCTCTGGTACTATCCCAAAGCATTACTTGTATTCATGCTGGTATTTTTACAACCTCAGTTTCATTTAAAACTTGGGCTAACGGTGAAGAGGATCGTACCCAGGATGATCTAAAGCCATGGTTGGGATGTTGTAAGTTCATTCAAGTTACTCCTTTAAGCTAACCACGCCATGCCGTTATAAACAGCTCACACCTTCAGTAGCCTGCTTCTGAATACTGCATGAGACCAGGGAAGAGAACTCAATCTCCTCTACTGCATGCTTCCCCCTGCCGCACACACCCCCCCCCCCGCCAGAATACTAGGCTCCCTGACAATGACGTTTCTCAAGAAAGAAAAGCAGGGTAGGGAGAGAACCACAAGGTACCACTTGGGCCCGGGAGAATGGAAAGTTCTGAATGCCAGGCCGCCTTTGGAACTTCAACAAAGGCCTGTTTTCTGTGCAAAGGCTCCTCTTCTTGAATGTGGTTCATGGTTCAAACTGCTAGTCAAAGGGGAGGGACAGCGTCCGTGGCAAGAGGGCTATGTGGTGGACATGATGCCACTTTTCTCGCTCTTCACCTTCAAGAATTCAGCCATGCTGGAGAAGTACTTCTGGTTTGCTTCGGCTACCTTCTTCTCAGCCGCCTGAGGGTTCACAATCTCCAGACCCTGGAAACAAGAGGAGGGGGGAGGTGAATGTGAGAGAGGGAGGCTATTTTTAAAAAATACGGAGTCCAGAGATCTTGCCATCTTTAGAAAGTAGGAGAGGCACTGAATTACGACAACACATGCCCACTCCAGCTTCTATGCCTTGGACAGAAGAAATTGCTTGGTGCGCTCCTAGTTGGTGAAACACTTTCCCAAGAGAAACCTGCCTAGCATCATTGTTGTATTTTAAGTGCAAGGCAAAAGACATTGTTATTTACCCAGCCTTCAGTTTTTCACTGGGAGGGTAGTTAGCTATGTCCAGGGCCATTTTTGCACTCATCCATGCGGTGGGTACGATTTCTTCCTTGAAATAAATTTACAGTACTGTATTTAATTTTTTCTGTATTGCTGTTTTTATATCTGGCTTTAAAGTCCTGGCCCTTTCTGTTTTTACTGAGACACCTTAGTGCGAAAAAACCCCCTAATGTTGTTGTTATTATTATACAATAACAACAGCCGATATTGCACACATGAGCTTATAATCTTTCCTCCTCAAGTGCTGCAAGCAGAACAGTGAGGGTGGGGAGACAGAGAGTTATTAGGGTTTCAGCCAAGAAAAATGTATTATAGCATTCTATAAGCCTCATTTTTTAAAAAAAGCTACAGCAAACAAAAAGGTATTTAAGAACCAAAAAACCCTGCTGGATCAGAGGAAAGAAACATAGCCCAACATCCTTTTCCCAGTGTAGCCATCCTGATGCTCCTCTGGGAAGTCACAAGCAGGACATGAGCACAACAGCATTCCCCACAAAGGTTCTTCTTTCATCCATTGGACTTCTCAGCATCCTTGCCAGGCACACACTCAGTTCTTCAAAACTCCTAGAGCCCAGCACACCCAGCTCTTTGTACACTCAGCCCCCATCAGTGCCACTTACAGGTAATTCAAGGAATGCAGAGCCAAGCGTGGTGCTTACCTGCAGCGGAGTGAAGGCCACGCTGGACGCAGTGCCCGAGGAGCGGTCCCGGATGGTGGACTTCCCTCCATACACCATGCTCTGCTTCTGGAGAGTGCGCTGGTTGGGAGGACAAATGCAAAAAGGCACGGGTGTTAGGCCTTTCATAGAGGAGGCAGTGAAAAGAGAGGGAAGTGATGCTAAAGCACGGGGCAGGGGAACAACCAAATGGCTGGCTGTCCAAAGGCACGACCTTCATTTGTTACCTTCCCTAGTACCAAAAGGCATGTCAAACGCATGTAACACTCATATCCTGCCCTCCCTGGCTCGGTAGCTGCTCCAGTAGCCCTGGCACATTCTTTCTCCAATCACAGAGAAAACCTAGTGTGGTGCCCTTCACCTCAACGTTAAAAAGCCACTTGGAACAGGGAAATTGCCTACCCTTATCAGAGACTAATGGCCAGCAATGTGACCATAGAATTAGTCTAATTCTGTGCCTGCTGAAGCTCTCAAGGGCTGCTCCACACGGAGCTTGTTGGCCTGGGAGTATTTTCTGAGCGCTCTGAGTAACAATAGGACATACATGCTCGGCATAATTACACTGCAGTAAGAGCTCTGATCTTGTTGCTCAGTGTAGTTGTTTGCCGAAACCTCAAGAGGACAATGTGATGCTGCCTTCAGGAACGAACAGCCCCTGCCCAGGTCCAGAGGCTTTGAAATACAGCCTTGATGGACCCAGTCATAAGATGATTTACAGCTCCCGACACACCACATCCAGTCCCCATTTCCTTACTTGCAGCGTCTTTGAGATGCGGGCCTTCGTGGCCTCGTTGACTTGCGTCTGCCGGACTCGGCCGCTGCCTGACTTCCCCAGGTGGCCCAGACTGAAACCAAGGTCTTCCTGGTAAGCATCTTCTTCAATCTAGCAAAGGTGTGGAGAGAAGAAGCGTAGCACAGAGAAGAAAAGGCCAAGTTTGGATTAGATAGTACAGGACCAATGACCAAGTTGACAGTTTCAATGAGAATGCAACCCCTTCCCTTTTGTATTTTTTTTAAAAAAAATTTTTGCCCAAGTGGCTCAGTAAAGTAAAAAGTAAATTTCCTTTTTTATTTTTAGCCTATAGATCCAAAAGACAACCCCACCACTAATCCTGCAATCTAGGAAGAGGCAAATTGGTCCCTATATTTATATCCAAACTTTCTTCCAAGGTAGTAAAGTTGACATAAATGGTTCCCTCCCTCCATCATCACTTTATTCCCACAAGTAGCCTGTTGTAGGGTGATTGGCACAAGGTCATCTGATGCACTTTATGACTGAGCGAGGATTTGAATCCTGGCCTGAGTCCAGCACTCTGATCACTACACGAGAGCGACTCTCCCTGGCCACAAAGGTAATTGTGTGCCAAGGTGAGCCTCCCTGAAATGGCCTGGGTTGGGTCACATGCAAGTACATCCGAAGCAGAGGGGCCATATAACACATAACCGCCACCCAAACTTAAATATTCCTGCATATAGATGTGGGCAGACGTGCAGCTTCTGTACACAGCAAAATGCACATATGGCTTGTCAAGTTTAATGCTTTGTTTTACTTGGAAGTGCTTATTTTACATAAAATGTAAATCAACCTGGAGATCCCTGCCCTGCAAAAGATTTCTGTTACTTCCCCCATTCCACTGTACCAGTTAAAAAGGCACAGTTGGGGAACAGAGTCTGAACTGAGTCCGAAACTCCTGGTTTCTACTCCTGCCCTCCTGAGGGATTAGACAGCCAACACCCAAAGACCCAGAGAAATCCTACACAAGGAGACTATGCAGGACTCCTTACCTCTCCAAAGCTCATCCTGTTTGCCTGCTTCCGGATTTCCGTTAGACCGAGACGCTCCTTCATCTTGCGATATCTGAAGGAGCAAGGAAAAGCACTTTTAAGATTGACAGCTGAGAACTGAATGATGCCAGGACAGAGTGCTGCTGCCAAGAATGAAAGCAGTGTTTGGCATAAAAACAAATTCAGACAGGAGACGGAGGGCTGAAATGCCAGGATTCCTGGGTTCATCTCAATGAGACACTCAAGTTTACGGAATTCTGATACAACCTGACCTGACCCTCTCCTACCTCCATTAATGTGGAAGTCGAAACTTTCTTATACTCCTGCAGCCAATCAGAAGCCACACTTTGGTTTCTGAATGTTTTGGAAATCGAACGGACTTCCAGAACAGATTCTGTTTGACTTCCGAGGTACAACTGTACTTATTTCCTAGCACGCTTAACACCACCCTCCTAGCTGCCTCAGCCAGCTCAGCCAGGTCTGACTCCCACCCTGCCCCTGCCGCAAGACATCTCTTCAATTCTCTCCCCCGCACCTGCGTCCTCCACGTTTCTTCCTTTGTCCATCCAAGGGTGCTGGCAGTGGCTTCACTTGCTTGACAGGAGGTGGCTCCTGCCACTTGTCAAATTTCCTTTCAATTTCCTCCTTGAGGTCATAGCCAACCTGAATGGTAGCAGAAGGATAAAAGAGCAAAAAGTGCTTACAAAGCAGCCACCCCCTTGGGACCCTCCTTTATGCCTCTCACACCAGCCACTCCCCCAGGATCCCGGAGCTTTTGCCTTGTACCACATACCTTCCCTTCAGAGCTCTCGTGAAAGCTGTCTACACGCGCTGCCAGCGTGCATTTTGCTGATACCAAGCGAGCTGCCTTCCTTCGCAAGTCCTGCAAGGAGGGAATCAAAGGCACATGTTGGCTGGTTGCTGTTAGGAAACTCGTGCACCAACTTAACAGAAAAAGGAGGAGGGGCACACACAGACACACAGACACACAGACACACAGACACACACACACACACACACACACACCCCTACCGGAGGCAACGACTGTACAATGTCGCTGTGATAGATGTAGCCAGTGTGAGGCAGCACCGAAGTGCTGGAAAATCCAGACAGAGTCTTCCTCTGGGCCCCCAGAAGCATGATGTTGCAGGCTGGCATCTTGGAGAGGTTTGTGAGGCCACCGGCAATGCCTTGAGAGAAGGGAAGGCAATATAGAATGAATGCTAGTTGTGGGACCAAGGGCCAAGGTGGTTCGGGGTTTTTGATCAGCCAAACCCCATGGCTTCTCCCTGGCCTATTGGGATTTGTGAACAAAGTTCTTCTCTTTGTGTGCAAGAAGAGCTCTTTCTCTTCCTGGCCACAGAGACCTGCCAGAACTGATCATACATGAACAACATGACAGATGCTGCTAGATTTCTTGGACCGTTTAATTCATGGCTTCAAGTTTATAATTTTTTACATGAACGCTCCACTGTTCTTTTGTGAAATACTTCGGCAGTCTTTGGATTTGGAAAGATGAATTGTAAAAATTAAATAATTTCCCCATAGCATTCAATCGGGATGGGTGTTTGACCCTTTCAGAGGGAAGGCTTTACATTCCTTTTGGAGACTAGGGACCTTTGTGTCCCTCTCTGCCAATGACAGACTTACTTATACATCCAACTAAATTACACTAGAATAGACCCATTTACATTAAAGGACTTAAGCTAGTCACATCCATCAATTTCAATGAATCTGCTCCAATTCTGATACAATCCCAAGTTTCCATATTCTGATACGCAAGGACCCAAGCCCACAGAGCTCCACTGAGAGTCTCACCCATTATTTTAGCAGCAGTGGAGGCTCCCACAATGATGGACAAGTTGGGGGCGATGAAGGACATGCGGGACTCCACATACTCGTAGATGCGGTGTTTAGACTGGTTCAGCTCCAGGGCCATGTCGCAGGCCTCCTCAATGCGCTCCAATTCTTCCTCAGTTAACTGTTGCCTGCAGCAGGAGAGAGGCAACGCTTGAGGCCGAGATACCTAGGTCACCAGGTCTGGTTCACTATATCTGCACCATCACTCCATGCCAAGAGTGTGGCATTTGTTTCAAAGCTCTCAGGACCACCCTATATGTTAATATTCTATCTCTGAGCATGGATCCTTACGTAGCCAAAAATGGCACAATCCACATACACAAAATGGGAGATATCTGTAGATGTTGAGAGCCCCCCAGTTTGCAGTCATACAGCAAAATTGTTGGAAAGCCCAAAGGCAGGGGAGCCCCAAAACCAGCCCTATAAAGACTGAGCATGCTCAGTGGTCATGGAATGCTGGCTAACAGTTGAGGATGGGGAACAGATGGCTGGAAACCTGAATGGGAGCAATTCGAACTGCAATGTTTTGCTGCAGGTCCCTCTTGTGTATTTTGATCTGCAACCCCACACTCTCTCTCCACCAGCATATGTAAGCCGTGAGTCATCAATAAGTTAACTCATACCATTTATCATGTGATCTGGCGGGTGCCTCCTGTCTCTTCATGTGAGAAGACAGACCGTAATTGTCTGAAGGCCACTCTCTTGACAACCAAGCAGTGACCTAAAAGCCACACTCTCTCATCCGAAATCTATTCTGTTTGCTAAACTCCCATAAAGGGAAAACTGCCATGATTCTGGGCCTGCTCTATAGACGGTGGAACAAGTGGTACAGTAGACTGTAGTACTCCATACTGCCAGAGATGAGATATTATTTTTCAATGTTCCCCTATATATCAAGAGAAATCTGTAAAGGGAGGAAAAAGCACTAGCACATCAAGGGGGAAAGGGCTAAGCTAGACACTCTCCATTCAACATAGGAGTATTCTTCTTACAGGAAATTTTGGAAAGTAATTCCCCCACCTGCAGCCTGGAATGGTACAGTCCACCTTACACCCTTCAGCACCATTTGCAAATTCAGTCTATATCCCTCTCCCAGTCCAGATGCCCACCAATCTCCCATACCCTCCCCAAAACCTCCTCTTTTTCCTGTGCAGAGCCTTACCCCTGAGTAGTGGATGCGGTGACACTGACCACCATGATTGTGGCGTTGGTGAGGATTTGTTGAAGATTCTCATTGTTCTTGCATTTGTCCAAGCTGTTTCCTAGTTCCTGCAAGGTTCAAATGTTTTAAAACAGAAGTTAGCCATTGAAGAAGACAGAAAGCACATCCCTGAAAAGCACAGGTGGGAGGCACTGTAATCATGTTTAACTGAAATCCCAAACTTATTTAGAGAATTCTGGTCTCAGATCCAGGTTTTGTTCGTTACTGAGAAGGACCAAAGCTGTTCGTGGGTCAGTTCTAATTTGCGTCAGCAATTCTAGGAACGATTTGTGGACCACATGAATATTCTTTTCCTCCAAGGGTGGAATATTTGGGGATCTTCCCCCAGCCCTCCACACACACAATCCTCATTTTTCCTAACCTGGAAGCTAGTTTAAGACTGAGCAATAACAACTTCTCAAAAGCAGCCATGTGAACTTCCCAGCAGGATAAATATTTGAACACAGCTCATCTGCTAGCTCTACCCACCACACCTTTTAGGTTCAAGATTGATTATGGCATATTAAAACCATGAATTAACTGTGGACCTGAAGAATACTCAAGAGATTTTCAGTCACCGTGGTTTTGTGAATAGTCGGTATTACCGTGTGTTTATTTACCACATTTTTCCGTGTATAACACGCCCCCGTGTATAAGACACCCCCTATTTTGGGGGACGCAAAATTGAGAAAATGGGCAGAAACTGCCCTGAGTTGTTGAGCTTTTTTACGGGAGAATTGTCAAAAATTGCTCGCCCACATAACCTACGCTGCCACTCGCATGCATCATACAAGCCACTATCGTCTGTCCCCGCGCTGGCAAAAGCTGCCAATAGCCCACCCTAGTGCCGCAGTGGCAGCCAATCAACAACAGCCATTGCCACAGCCACCAATAACACGAAAAATACCCGCAGACAATCTCCAGCTCACGGCAGCAATCAATCCCCCATCCCCCCTATGCACAATCCGTGTATAAGACCCCCAATTTTTAACTTAATTTTTGAATTAAAAAAGGTTGTCTTATACACGGAAAACTACAGTATGTATTATCTGAGTTACAGTCTTAATAGCCATTTGAACATAGAGCACTTCCACTAAATAAGTGCCAAAAGTTATATGAGGGTTGGGCTAGTCATCGATGCAAATGTAAAGAACTGACTTTGTGAAGTTCAAGACACAGACAGACACAATACCTTGACAGTCCGGATGTAGTCCAGTGCATTTGGAACAAGGGATTCTAGTTCAGGAAACCGCTTGGAGTACTTGTCTCGAATGAACTTGTGAATAATATCTGAAAAGAGAAAGGCAAAGACGACCTTTTACGAAACAGACAGAAACGCAGAGCGCCATAACACTAGTGAGAATAAAAGTAGGCCTCCCAGAATATACTAGCTCAGAGACATTTTAATGCTGAGCCGTATAGCCTATTCAGAGATTGGCCAGCCTGAACTTTTTCTCCTGCCCAAGAAAGAAAGTGCTCTTATCAAAACAGTCCCTGTTCTACTGTGACACCAACACACAAATGTCCTTTGCATCCCAAAACTCCTGTGATGGTTTGTCTGGCCAGTATGTGCCCTTCTATTTACTAGATCGCACCCCTTGCTCCAATGAAGCCAGCCTTTCCCAATCTCACTACTTCTCTAACTCATCATCTGCCACCCTCACAGGGTAGCAGCTACTGTATTGTTTTCAAAGCCTTCTCAACCTCCCTCACCCCAAACAAGTGGCTAAGGTTTGCACTTACTTAGCTCGTTCTCAATCTCCACTGTGAGGTTATTGGCATCCACAATGACTCTGTATTCGGGAGCAGCCTCTACTGGACCTAGAACTAGTAAGAAATGAACATGCAAAGTCAAAATCCATACAGGGCACCTCACTATAAGGTGACGGAGATGGACATATGGGTACATTAGCTCTGTACTGCAGGACAAGGAAGTCCTGTAGCAGACTCTATACTGCAGGAATCAGATTGGGTGATGTGTGCATACACATCTGCTGGGTGACCTCTTTTCCAAAGGAAATCTCAGCCAGAGACTCTCAGTACCTTCAGATGCTTTGGGCTGTTTGCTGATGTATTCCTCAATCTTCAGCAGGATTTCAGCAAACTGCACAAGAGAAAAAACAAAAAGTTGAGTCTTACTTTTTGAAGAGGGTACCTTTAAAGGGTTAACTTCCCCAGACTACACCCAAAAAGGAAAAGACAGTTTATAGAACCATTGGACCCCAGGTTGAACACTATTTTGAAAACCATCGCTTCTATACATATTGGCCCGGCAGCCAAGCTCATTTTCTCTCACCGTCTTACTGTCCCAGAGCTTGGCAATACTCTTGACTGAATCAGTTGCCAGATCCACTTGCATTTCCTCCTGGACATCCTCAATGGGAGGCTCGTCCTCTTCATCTGCAAAGCTGCCATCCTCCTCTTCTGCTGCCTCTTCGAGGTCAGCCAAAAGCTCATCTGCCAAAGACATGATGGATCAGGCTGCAAAGGAGAAAAAGGGAGGAACACAGGAGAAAACCATAATAAGTGACATAAATATCCAGAGTCTTATTGATCTGTTATTTCCTGCAGTACTAGACCAGGAGAAATTCTAACCACTATCTAACCCAAGGGTAGCCAACACAGTGCCCTCCAAAGGTTGTAAACTGTAACTCCAATCATTCCCACTCATTAGCGAAGCTGGCTGGGGCTGAAGGCAGGTGAGGTCCAACAGACTGCTGGAGGCCACCACACTGATCTAATACAGTGGTACCTCGGGTTACATACGCTTCAGGTTATAGACTCTGTTAACCCAGAAATAGTGCTTCAGGTTAAGAACTTTGCTTCAGGATGAGAACAGAAATCGTGCTCCGGTGGTGTGGCAGAAGCAGGAGGCCCCATTAGCTAAAGTAGTGCTTCAGGTTAAGAACAGTTTCAGGTTAAGTATGGACCTCTGGAACGAATTAAGTACTTAACCTGAGGTACCACTGTACAACACTTATGAGGTAGCAGCAACCTCCAGAAAGCCACACACAGTTGCTAGACACCCATCAACACAAGATCCAGATCCACTGTGCCCCTCAGTTGAAATGTGTCCTATTCTTAGTCCCCTCTCCAAAAACATCTCTCCCTTTCCACAAATACAGGTGCTCCATCGGAACCCCTTTCAATTTAAGAGACCTCGAGTTAGCTCTTCAGTTTCCAATTCACCCATCTTTTGCCTTATAGAGATTTTTTTAAAAAAATCTGAATCAGATTTCAGCATCATTTCACAATAAGCATAAATACTGAGGTACCATGTCAGTCACCAAAATTCTTCCCTCCAGGTATCTCAACCCAAACATCCAAGTTTCTAATTTCTGTTACTCTAAGGGCTACATCGCCTTTGCCCATATTCCACCACTACAAGGACAGGCTTCTCTCTGGTTTCAGAAACCCTTACAGTGAAAAATTAACCATGCCTATGCAGAAGTACCGTGAGTCCTACTGGGTTCAATAGGGCTTAATTCCAGGTAACTAGGACTGCATCCTTATTTAGTACCCCATCAAACAGAGAGCAAGTCCTGTGGCAAAGGAAGCACACGCCAGGAAGTCTTAGTTTCAAGTCTCAGCTCTAATGTGAACTTGTGTGGTTGCTTTAAGAAAAGATCCATCTCAGAGTTCTCATCTGCCAATGTAAACCTACTTTGCAGGAATTAGCATAATCTTGGAAGCCTACTGCAGCATCTAAAAGGCTAATAAATTTATTGTGACATACGTTAGATACACAATGAAATGCTTATAATCTGTTAACAAAGTATACATTCTCAAACACAGGATACAGACAGAAGAGGCAGTGTAGCTATAGCAATAAAAAGTGCCAGAAGTGTCCTCAATGGAAGAAATATGTGTTCCATGACTATGCAGAACCCAAATGAAAAACAAGATACTGTCCAAACAGAAAAAGATTCAACTAGAAGGAAGAGCCATGATGTATTCCCAACCGATAAGAGTATGGAAGAGAGTAATATTTTTGTTATTTCTACTGTATTATTTCTTATTATTATTTTTATTATTATTATTGCTACCACCACCAGGATAGGCCAAACCCATCTAATCCGAGAGCCACTGTAGTGTAGTGACTGGGGAGACCAAGATTCAGATGTCTGCTAAGCAACCAAGTTACTGGACGATTTGAGGATAGTGGTTATCACTGAGCTTGACCTCCCTCACGGGACCCTGAGCTTCTCAGGGGAAAGGCAGCACAAGTGATGCAGCAAACAGACAGACAGACAGACAGACAGACAAACCTCTCCACCCTTCTCCACCTTTTCTGCAACCACCGCGAAATCTCAATCTACAGCGCAATCCTCACCGCGTTTGCGCAGGAGGAAGTCCTGTTGACTTCCATGGTGCTTACTCCTAGGTAAACGGGGTTAGGTTTGCAGCAATACTGAAGCGTCTCTCTCTCTCTCTCTCTCTCTCTCTCTCTGCCCGCCCCCAAACCTTACACTTTACCCCTTAGGAAACCAAAGGCCAGGGCTCCTTTTTTGGTTGCTCCCCGGTTAACCTCTTCCTCCCTCCTTCCCTTCATTCCCTCCTCACCTTCTTTTTCTTTCTTCCACTCCTCCGCCGCACAAACGAACTCCTCACGTTCCCTCTTTCAGTCTCACAAAAAGTACGTCATGCACCGGGCGCCCTTGGTGTCGTCATCAACGAGCGCCTTCGCTCCGCAGGATACTAAAACGGATAGAGAAAGAGAAAAAGGAGAGGTCACGAAGAGAGTTCGCGTTCAGCTTCAGCCCAAGCGCCGCCATATGCGTGGCACCAACCTAGGCCAGAGTTGGGGTGCCGTTCTAACTTATGTCTCTATGGCATTGCCTATTGCGCCGTCTCTTCGCACTGGGTGACCCACGCATATGCCAAGGGGAGCCGGAAGTGTCTTTAGGGTTTCGAGTCAATTTCCTTTGAAATACAGTACTATTTATGGCAGCACCCCAACCGTAGGTTTCTAATACGCTATGCTGAACTATGTCACTATGTCAACTGACGCTTCCGTCAGTTTTTTGTAATTTTTCCTCTGACTTACCTATTGGTCATAGAGCTAAGAGAAAGGCAAAGAATCCCCAACGGCAGCTTTCGATTTTTACCGGAAGTTTAGACTGTGAGTTACTCTAGATTTCCTATCTCTAAGGCCACGACGCATCCAAACGCGTGATGACGCAACCGTACTTCACCGCGCCAAGTGATCCAGTCCCCTACCGGGGAAACGGCGACAGGGACGCGACCACTGTTTACGCTAACACGGCGCGACGAAACGCTAGGACATTCCACAGCGGGCTCTTCTGCAGTACGTAATAAGCGCGCGACACCTTCTCGTCTACCCTGGTTCACTGTAGCCGAGACGTCTCGATAACTCAAACGCTTTTGTTGTGGGGTTACGTCACCGGTAAGCGACCGTCCATCCCATTATCCTCATTGAAGGGTTGCTCATTTCGCCTATAGGACTGGAAGGGTTAAGGTACGTCTGATGTGCTAGGAAATCCCATTGCAAAAGGACTCGGGCAAATTAAAATCGTCAATTGCCATCCTCCTCCTTATTGGCTCTGGAGCCTTCTTTCCTTGGAGGTTCGCCAGAAGCAGAGCCTGAGCTCCCTTAATTGAAGTCGAGGTGCTAGAACCAAGTTTTATTCAGCTTCTTTTAAGCCTGTTCATGTACTGCATTGCAGTCTTTTCTGAACCATAGAGATGGATAAACGCGGAAAATAGTATGACCAAAGTATCTTGTATTCTCTAACTGAATAACAGGAACAGTTGTATCTGTTTTCTGGCAGGTATTCGCCTTTGCCTGGACTTAACCATCCAGGGTCCCTTACCTTTTACATTTACTTTCTGGCAGTATATTGGACATTCTGAATAATACATTTTTATTTTTGGTGGGACACCTACTCATAAAATGGATTGTGGCAACAGCAAATGGCACAGTGTCTACCCATTTAGAGGACATGCTGTTTCTCCTACTTGGAAATTAGAAATCTCGACTTCCGGGTTAGCGCCATCGCCGAATGGCGGACTCCCTCCGAGCTCCGGAGGGAGTCTGCTCGGCAGGGGCTGGGTCCTACCGCGCCGGCGACGCGGGGACCCTTAAAAACCACGGGCACGGAGTCCGTGGACATGGGTGACTCGGCTTGCACCATTAGCGCCCTCCCGACTCGTGAAGGAGCCTTTTAAAGGCTTCGGATCGGGTGCCGGGGAGTGGCGTGGTGCTTGAGTCCACTGCTTTCCCTGCCGAGCGCAGCCGCATGCCATTCGACGGAGAGCGCTGACTTCTTCTATTGAAAATTTGGACTATTAACAACAACCCGTGAGTAATTGGGAAACCGGGTTCAAAATTTTGGATTTGGCACGAGCGGGGCGATTTAAAAGGAAGTCAATCCCCCTATTGTAAGCATTCCAAAACAAGGACTGGGTAACCAAGGTCCAAAGGGAAGTATGTCTCTGATAAAAATCATTAATTTCACGATGGGAAATTATAAGAAATGTGCTGGAGGAGAAGAGTGGAGGGTGAGAAGAAAAATGCAACCCCCCCCCCTGGGAACCGGGGCGATTCGTGGAGCCTGGTGAAGAGAGACGGAGACTTTGACAGCTGTCAAAGTGGCTGTCAAAGCTGGAGAATATAAAGAGGACTTTGTTATGAGGACCTTGCTGGTTAATTTTGTTACAATTTGCTATAATATGGATATAAACTGTTGGAAAATAAGCAACAATTTGACTTTTGGATTAGAGGATACAAAGTTATTACAATCCCCTAGAGGGGTTTCGGGATACTACAAGAACGGTCGTAAGTGGAAAAATACCCTGGGATTCGCACAGGATTTGTTATCTTCTGGGAAAGCTGCAAAACTGAAAGAGTATTTTGTCTACAGAGGAAGACAATGGAATTTTTATTGAAGAAAGAAAGGGACTGGACGTAAGTTTTTGTTCCTGAATAACAAACCTCTGCAGAGACACTAGATTTCTGAATTAGAAAGTTTTAGCAGCTGAACAGGACAAGAAACCTGAGAAAGTGAGGAATAAGAAGAATAAAGGACTGATTACGACACGGAAAGAACAACGGGAGGAGTGGTAAAGATCAAGGAAATTAAAGGCCTTTGTTAGATTGGACATTTGAAGTCAAATATTATTTAAATTAATAAACTAAAGAAAACCGGCAAGATGGAAGGGAGAAATCTGGTCATGAAATGAGACTTCCAAGCTGATAATGTATAGACTGATGGACATGGGGAATTCAAACCGGGGAAGGGGGGGGGGGAGATTTGAAATCCAAAGGCTGTGTAACCATTTTTTGAATTTTTCTATATCTCTTATTTTCTATTTCTTTACATAACTTACGCATGTTATTTTACTTTGATCGGACGTGTTTTTAAAAAAAGGGAATTTGTGGAAGGAACTGGGGTGGATCTGGGGAAAATCTTTTTTCTTTTTCTGTTAATGATGTGGGACGGTGGTAAGATTTGTACAATTCAATCTGGATAGTGGGTTAAACAAATTAAGCTTTAAATTGGGAGTGAGAGCTTGTAGAACCAAATTAAGGAAAGGGGAATACAATTGGGGGAGGGGGAGTCCCAGAAAGTAGGGAATGAAAGTAAGGTTTTTAAATATCTTCTTTCTTTTGTCTTTTTTCTTTGTATTTTTATATTTTTGGAAACTTTAATAAATATGATTTAAAAAAAAAAAAAAAAAAAAAAGGAAATTAGAAATCTCAATATTTTATGGGTTGATGAAATGATTTTTTAAAGGAACTTTAGTATGTAAGGAAAATTTAAACTTCTGAAAAACTGAGTATTTTTGGAGATTGTTTAGGAATATAGATTATAGAACATTTAAATACAAATTTGTGCATCCACAGAGAGCTGTAAGAAAATATATTTCACTGTTTGCTTTTTGAAAAAAATTGCAGGTGGATTATGCTCCCAAGCCCATAATAGTGGCTGCCCCTTTGGTCATCTCTTGTGATACTAATACCCTTGTCCTTGTTAATCAGCAGTGTGGAGCCTGTGGCCCTTCAGATGTTGCTGGACTGGAACTCCCATCTTACGCAGCCAGAATGACCAATGGCCAGGGAAGATGGGAATTGTCATCCAGCAACTTCTGGAGGATCACAGGTTCCCCATCCTTGTTGTAAATGTACCTGTTTCCTGTCTCACATGACATAGGAAATTGGGGTGTAAAGGGAATGTAGCTTTTTGAGTACCACCATTAGATCTTCAGATTGGGGAGGAGGATGGTTAATATTGGTTAGTATGTCAGTTTCTTTCTCTTTAAATCTCCAGAACGCAATCATGGCTGGTGTGGGCTTTGAAGAATTCTCTGTGCCCCCTGGATCAGAGTTGGCACTGCCTCCACTTTTTGGTGGCAATATCCTCGAGAGTGAACTGGAGACAGAGGTGGAGTTTGCCGATGGTGGAATACCAGAAGAGGAGGAGGAAGAGGGGGCATTGAGGCAGCAGGAAATGACACGGCGCAAATGCCAGGCTCTTGCTCGGCGCTGCAAGGAGTTAGAGCAGGTAAAGGATTGGCTGAAGAGGGGGAATCATTTTAATACACCAGTTGGAAAAAATTAACAAACAGCTGGCACAGTGGGTTGAGCTCTGCTTTGACTTCAGGTATGAGCTCATGGAGCTGCCTTTTTATTCATTTATGTAGCCCAGGACTGTCTGTTCTCATTGTCAGGAGCTCTCATTCTTTCCCAGCCAGGGACTGGACCTGGGACTTTCTGCTTGCCAAACATGTGCTCTGCCAAAGTATTTGGAAATCAGTGACACCTTGGGTACAAAGATCATCCAACGATCACAGGGTGATTCACAACATAAAAGCACAAAATGAGAACACAAAATGCATAATAAAAGAAAAACAAACCAATAACCCCCTCCTACAAACACATTTGAAAGGTCATAGAATGTTAATCAGCCAAGTGCCTGATTATAGAGAAACATTATCACCTGGCACCTAAAGATATGTTATGAAAGTGCCAGGTGAGCCTCCCTGGGGAGAGCACTCCACAGACAGGAAGCCACCACAGAAAAGGCCCATTCTCATGGAAGAGGCACACGAAGAAGGGCTTCAGATGGTGATCAGATGAAGATATTAAATATATTCCCAAGAATCCTCTGAGCAAAGTAAAACGAGACAAGCCCTAGCCCAATGTCCCCCAGCATCTTTGGGGGCTGAGTGGAGTTTTAAACTTGGGTCTGTACTCTACCCACTATGCCATACTAGCTGTAGGTGGACAAGAAGTAAGAGATTCTTGGCCCTGGGATGGTAAACTGCACCAAATGAAGACCCAAACAGTGACCAAGGAGAAGGGACCACTGGGTGGGTGAGTGGAATACAAGGCTGGGTATGGGAGAGGCAAAATTCTGATGTATTCTGGTGACATTACCCACAAATACAGGTGAATGAGAGGATGTTAAACCGGCTGCATCAGGTCCAGAGAATAACACTGCGGCTTAAACAGGAGAGAAGGTATGTCTGGTAGTATGTCATGGGAGTGTGAGGGGTGGGGAGATTTAAATACCTTTCCCTGAACAAGGAGGGTCTATTAAATTTTCATGCTCAGCAGACAAATTCTCCATGAATTCATCAGATCCCTCATTTAGAGCCATCCAAACTGACAGCTGTTACCACATCTCATAACAGTGAATCATCTACATCAACAACACCTTGCAAAAGAACAGAGTTATTAAAGAGGATTAGTGGGGATGTCTTGTCTGCAGATTATCTTTGTAATAGACTCTTACTTCCCTTCAGGTTCCTCATGAGGGTTCTTGATTCTTATGGTGATGATTACAGGCAAGGCCACCTTGATATTGTCCTGGAGGTAAGAAATACACAGCTGGTCTAAGGAAATAAGGACATGTCCATGTTACCTTCTTATGGGTGGAAGGAATGTTAGGATGGAAGAGTTATAGCTGAATCATTTTCTCTGACTAGGATGAAGGTAGCCACAGCACTGATGCTCCAGCTCCTGGCAACACAGAGAATGAGCCCCCCGAGAAAGACACTCCCAGGTGTCTCTCGGGTCCTTTGCCTGCCCCAGAGGCTGAAAGCATCTCACCTACTGAGGGCCCCACCAGTAAGAAGCGGCGGCGCCACATGCGAGAGGAAAAGGAAGTGAGGTTACGCCGAGCAGCCCAAACGTTGCTTCCTATGGAAGAGTTTCCTGTGCAGGTACGGGAGAACATAAAGGCTTTCAACTTTGAGAATATATAGATGACCATACAAACTTAACCTACACACTACCTTTGGGGGTTAGGCGGGAAATGTGGCCAGGTATAATGGTAGACAGGCATATTACTGGGTTATATATACTCCAGCCGTCGGCGACACAGAATCTGCTACCGTAATACAAATTCAGGATTTTGTCTTCTATTTTTAAACAAGCTTCTAGTCCTGCTGGTTTATCACACATAACAGTTTGAAAGCATCCCCTTTCTTCCCCCCTCATGCAGAGCGCTTCTGTTTGGCTTGAAACTGTGTTTTGGTTTTTGTGGCTGCAGATAAAGTCTGAAGAGGATTTCCAATGTGAGCAAGAGGATGTCCTCACTCCTGCCTGGCAGCAGTCTAGTCCTCAGGATAAGTTACTCCATTATTCAAAGTTCTCTAGCCCAGGGGCCTGTTCTGATTTCGACTGAGGCTGGCCACTCACGAAGGAGACTCTATATGTATATCTGAACGTCAGTTGCCTCCCTCCTGGGTTAAAGAGGCCACTGCGCTGTCTGCTGATCAGTCATCTGGGGATGAATTTTGGACTGAAAGGAGCATAAGCACATTTTAAGAGCCAGCAAGAGACGGACTGTGGAACTCTCATCCACTTGGAGTGCACTCGATCTGAACTGACACTGTGTGGCTGAGGGGCAGGTGCTGGAAGACAAAATGGACTGCACTAACTTAACAAAACTTGAAAGCCAGTGTATTAATAGTGTTCAAGTCCATCTGCATTAGGGAGATGAATAGATTATGCTACCAATGTCCAAAAGCTTAAGCATGGGGTGGGAATGGGTAAGTATGTAGAATTGGTATGTCTTACATGTCTTGGGCTGCACAATTTGTGAGTTCTGAAGGAGTTAAGTGATCTCTGACTGAGGCCGCATGGGCACCATATGTTTATAAGCATTTTTATGCCACTTTGAACAGTCTTGGCTTCCCCCAGAGAATCCTGGGGACTGTAGTTTGGTAAGGCTGTGGAGTGTTTTTGGGAGCTCTCTATTCCCCTCCCAGAGCTACAATTCCCAAAATTCCCGGAGAAGAGGGATTTCTAAACCACCCTGGGAATAGTAGCTCTGTCAGGGGAATTGGGGTCTTTGGAGGAACCCACAACTGCCCCCAAAAGTGGCATAATACTGCTTTAAATGTACAATGCAGATTGAAAGTGGTGTGCAGGAGCTGGCTTCCATGCACTGTTCAAGAAAGGAAACAGAAGCAGCTGCTGTTTTGTGTGACAAATGTTCTCAGTGAATGAGGAGTCTTCTTACAGCTGTGAGAGCACTTTGCTGCTTTGCTTTCCAAGCCCAAGATTTTTATGAGTATCTTAACCATGAGGCACAATATATTAAAGCCAATTCTGTACTAAAAACAGTAGACTCCTACAACATGTGCAAATTATGCAAGATTAGCAAATTTGTCAAGTGTTTGCTTATTTTCTCTGCCAGTCAGAAAGAGCAAGGCACTAAATCCCCCTCCCCCATTCTTTTCCGAAGCCATAAAGAGTAGACACTTCTTCCAGATCTCCTGCAGAACAGTTGTGCCTGGATTAAATTCTGCCCACCCGTTAAGTTTATTTTCATTTTTCTTTGAGGGCTGCAGAATACTGCACACTTCCTTCCCTTTCCCTTCCTCATTCCCTCCCCAACTGATCCATTTCAAGGGAGCTGCCAAACATAAGAATTGGTCTCAGGGCACACTGTCATTGCTTCCCTTAAAGACTCCTGGGCCAGGCAGTTTTTGTAAAGGTGCCAGGAATTACTCTCAGGTGAACTGCAATACCCAGTGTCCCTTGAAAGAGGAAGCTGTGATACCTTAGCTTGGTTAAGTGTCCCAGCCCCTTTAGCAATGCTTTGTTTTGGGGGAGGGGGGGTCACAAAGAGAAAGGCTGAGAAAGCCTGCTTTTAAGTTAGCAAGTTTATTATATCCTGAAAATGTTACACATGTACACAAAAGAGCAGAGAGCAGTGCAGGCCTGGGTAGCCCCTTCAGTGTTGGTTCTCTAGGCCTGTTCTTCACAAGGGCCTGTCTCAGAAGTTCTTTAGCCATTCAAGACTTGGTCCTTCCTTGTCACAAGGGTGGGAGGGAATATCTGGCATATTGCCATCATCCCGAACTGGAACTGGAGAGAGCAAAAGAACAGAAATCAAGTATGTCTATCTCCCAACTGCAGCTTGGATACAAACAAATACTTCTGTTAGGGAAGGACACAACAAGCATTTGACTAAGAGACCCTGTACAGAACAAAATGGTGCCGCAACACAAAGTAGACCACTGGCTTGTCAGAGAGCCACCTCGCCAATGCATCTTCCTGACAAAAGCTGTGCTACAGGGAGAAATGCTAGGGGAGAACCATTTCCTCCTAGCATAGAGACGCAGTGATGGAAAAACTATGCCCATTCTGGTTTTGCCAGCCAATCAGCTTGATTTATAGGTGCAGACCCTCTGCCCACAAATCAGAGTGTAGGGTGGTAGTATTTAGCGGTACACTGCCTCTTAGTTACCATGGATTCATTTTCAAGAATGTGTTGGCCAACTTTCAATTCTCCTGCAAGGAGGCCAATTGTAGTGAAAATTTGACTGTTTTGTTAAAAGGTGAAGAATATGACAATTGAGCTATTTTGGGAGTTCTCCAGTACATGCCTTCCAGACCTGGCAGTCAGTTATTTTATTTGGGTGTGTATGCTTTAGTTTTTTATTTGTCAAGTAACCCAACAACATCACATATCACTTCTATTAGATCTTCAGTTGTCTTGCTCCAAAGAAGTGGCTCAGCCATAGATTCCTGTCTAACATCAGCTGCACTAAACATGGAGTCAAATATTTCATGCTGCTCTTCTGCTAAGGAACTGCCTTTATTAAAGGGATAGGTGTTATACCTGGATATGTATATGGTACAGCCTGGGTCATCATGGAACTGTATTTTGTTAACGGACTGACCCACGGTGCCACCAAAGCTGAAATCAGAAAGGAAAAACACAGATGTGAGTCAGAAAGAAACTGAAAACATAAATTGCACACCAAGCCACTAACAACAAAAGAAATAAACTCAAGAGTACTGCTCTCTCTAGGTCAGTATAGGGATGGGCAAGACTTTAGCCTCGAGGACCTGCTTTGTTTTCTAAAACTCAAGAGATCCGCCAACCAGAGTCCAGTGCAAAAGGCTTCGAAGTCAAGAATTCTGAGTCCAGGAATTGGTTTCTAGTTCCAGAAATGAGCCCTTCCATAGAAGAGTTCCCTCTGGTTACCTGCTTTCTTGGCTTTCTACATTTCAACAGTATAACTTGGGCAGGAGGTTATCTCAAAGTTGTCATTTTTAAGCAACTGGGAGTAAGAAATAGTCGCCAATCTACTTCAAATTACACAAAATATCCACCAACAAATCCTAATCGTATCTTCTGGCTACCCTTTGTCTATATCAGGGGAGGGGAACACCCATAATAGAGCATACTGATTTTAAATACAGAGATAAACACCGGCAATTCTCTAACTGGGAGAAAAGGGTATCTATAGATTATGTGACCTGCTGTCAATGGTTTATTATAAAAATAATAAACCATTAACAGACAAGCTATGCCAAATACTAGATGATAATTGTCCTAATTGGTTTCAACTATACCAAGTGTGCTCTTTTGCTCAACAACAACTCAAATCAGGCATTAATACTTGGCCACTAACATCGTCATGGGCAAACACCAACTCCAAAAGAATGCTATCTAGCATTTATAAGGCACTCCTATCAGAATGGACTGGTAATACACTAGGCTTGAAAAGAGTATGGGAAATTGACTTAGGACAAGAGATACATGAGGACAAATGCTCTCTGAGGCAAAGCTCCATTTAAAATTATGCCCACAAAAGTTCAAGCATCTACTTTTAAAATAATACATAGATGGCACTGGGTTCCAGTTAAATTAAAAAGAATCAACCCAACATCTCTCCAGACTGCTGGAGAGACTCTGGGAAAAGGGGAAGAAGTTAGCATCTATGGTGGGAATGCTACTATGTGAAGGAATTTTTAGTTGTGTTTTTGAAAAAAAATATTTAAAAATCACAAAGCAACAAATTTTAGCCCTTAGCTCTTAATGACATCATCCACAAAGGCCCTCATTTGCTACACCAAAAACTTATAACCCTACTGCTAGAAATTGTGAGTCATTGGAGGGCCACAGGTTCCCTGTCCCTAGCCTACACAAAGGATTTATTTCAGTTTCCTGGTAGAGTATGCAGTCCCAAAAACATCCCCACTGCACTCTCTTTGATCTGGCTGCACCTTTCTGAAAGTCTGCTTGATATCTCCAATACCTGAAAACAATCGCTACGCATTAGTCCACACATGGAATAAATTCGGTATGTTTCTGAAAAAGTACAATTTGACAGTGATGCCACTGCAGTATGGGTTGTATGCTGCAAATTGTGTAAGGCCAGAAATTGGGGGCTAGGTCAATAACATACCAAGGATGTGGTCTGAAGACCCATAGTGCAGCACCCTTTCTAAAGCTAAGCAGGACTGGCCCTGGTCAGTGTCTGGATGTGACAAGCTCTGGGACCCCGTACACAGCACCCACAAGCAAACTGCAAAAATGCATTAAGTAAGAAAGTGGATTCCTGGGCTGCAGGGAAAAGTAATGCAAACTCACCCATAAAACCAATGCCGAAAGAGAGAACGACAACTGGATCCTTTCCCCATGCATTTTTCAGAAATGGGATAATTTCTGTGGGATAAGGAAGTATGCACACTTATTAGAACTATTTTGAATTCTTGCTTCTCTGACAATGTTTGGAGGCCTAATAAGTTATAACAGGAGAAGGCTATCAGAGTATTTGGGAGGATAGGAATTTTTCACATCTAATATTTGCCTGCCCCTGCAGCTTACCAACATGGCAGGACCAGCATCTCCTTTTAAAAAACAGTGTCTTCTTGCTAGTGGCAAAGTAGGGAGTTGGCTTGTGCAGGCAGATCTACAAAGGACAGATTTTGGGGCATCTTTTATTCATAATTTAAGAGGGTTGGGAACCAGGAGTTGCACGAGGCACTAATTAGGCCTCAACTGGGAGACCGTGAGCAGATCTGTCATTCAGCGCCTCACTTTTCCCATCTGAAAAATTGAAACAACAGTGGCATCTTAAGACTTTAATTATAGAGGCTCTGTTCTAGGTACCCCAACTTTTCTAAGGTGGTGACCAGAATTGGAGCCTTTTCTATGTAGGCACTGCATCTTTCGAACAACAAGATACTTGCTTGGTGCCTACACGCCGGATGAACACTTTTCTTTCTCCGGAGCTATTCTTGCTCCTGCTTCCAATGTTTGCTCTTGGTTTTTCTGATCATTTATAATACTGCACACCGCTTAGACACATTATTAATGGGAAAGCTGAAACATATTTTTTTTAAGTAAGTAAAAATAATGGATGGACAGTGGAACCTTATGAAAATCTATTCAGAAGTTAAGTCCCACCAAGTTCAATGAGGCTTAACCCCTGGTAAGTGTGAAAGGGGTTGCCACCACACTTGGCTCACAAGATAGCTGAGAGAACAGGTTTTGTAACGTGTCTTGTGCTCAGGACTGAGTGAGCACCTACAGGTCGCTTTTCCTTCATTAGGGGTTTAAAAGCAGAGGGAATGTGGCTGCCTATCAGAAATGCTTCTGTAGCGGATTTTCAGTATCTGCAATGGGTTGAGCTAGATGCCTCTTGTGATCCCTTCCAACACTATGGTCGTGGTAGACTGAAAATACACAAAGTACTCGTGTACCACCTGGCAACCCTCCCCCGTGCACACAGTTTGCACGTGCCCTAAAGACTCCGCCACGTTCCTTCTCCACCGACCCACTTAAGAAGGTCATCCTCATAACAATTTGAAAGTCCTTGTTTATCTTTACAACCCGGCCAAAAACGGATCCCCACTTAAAACTCATTGCCATAACTCTGGCTCCCTCTAGCAAAGGGGGGGAACCCCTCCACGAACCCCGCGCCACTCAAAAGACACGAACCCACCAGCCGAATAAGTAGGGAGAAAGAGAAAAAGAGACACAGTTGGGGCACTTACTGCTCAGCGCAGCCATCTTGAAAGGAAAGCGGCGGAGGCGCAACGCATTGTGGGAACTGTAGTTTTATGGAGTCTCTCTCTCTCTCTCTCTCTCTCTCTCTCTCTCGCTCTCGCTCTCGCTCTCGCTCTCTCATTGCCCTGCATTTCCAATGTGATTTTGCACACTTTAAAATACTTCATCATCATCATCATCATTATTATTGCTACTTTGTTTATTTCAAACTGTTATAACCTGTTTCTCTTCGACAAGACCGGACGTTTGCAATACAGGATAATGCACGCCGGCTTTTTGTCACATCGTTAATGGATTTCTTACGTCTCCGGACGTTTTCATGCAGGTGTTTGCTTTGGGTTGTAATATGAATGGAAAACACGGGGGGTGGGGAGGAACCCTAGTAAGTTGCCCAGTGCATGCGTGCAATTTTACAATAGTTCAAACCCTCCCCCGCGTTTCTTTGCTGCAGTGCGTTCACACGTGCACATGAATAACACCAGACGGCCAATCACGTCATCCTGAAGGTGCTTTGCTAAGGAAAAGAAGGCATAGGGGATTTATTTTCACTTGGTGCACGTTTGCCCTTTAGTGGCTGGCTGTGAATCCAGGTGGCTAGAAATGCATACACACATCCCAAAAATCCTGGGAACCGTGGTATGTTAGGGGTGCTGGGAAATGTAGCTTTGTGAGGGGTAAACTACAGGCCCCCAGATTCTTTTGCAGGGGGTGGGAGATGTGCTTTAAATGTATGGCGTGTCAGCTGCAGAAAAACCTGCTGAAGTTAATAAACTTAAGTTAATCACATTCATTGGTTTCAATAGGCCTGTTCTTGTGTTGGCTTAGATACAACCCAATGGGCATTTGATTGATGGCGGGGGGGGGGGGAGACAAGAAGCAGAGTCAGATGCTATACAGTACCTCGGATTAAGTACTTAATTCGTTCTAGAGGTCCGTTCTTAACCTGAAACTGATCTTAACCTGAGGTACCACTTTAGCTAATGGGGCTTCTTGCTGCTGCCGCGCCGCTGGAGCACGATTTCTGTTCTCATCCTGAAGCAAAGTTCTTAACCCGAGGTACTATTTCTGGCTTAGCGGATGTAACCTGAAGCGTATGTAACCCGAGGTACCACTATACTTTCTTTGAATGTCCTGAAAAATGTAAAGTTGCATTACATCATTGCTAATGTATCGGGAATTATTTGATGACTTAAAAGAAAAAAAGTTGCAACAGGAAATTCTGTCCCAGAGCATGTGCAAAGTGTATTTCCCTGACCACTGCATAATCCCCTTTACAACCCTGGGGGCAGGTTGAGCTGTGGGTGTGGCATCCTTTTAAAAAATTAGCCTCTGAACTTCTCTGCAGTTAACCATTCGGGGCCAATTTCCTTCCAAATAGCGATATTTCCACCTCCTCAGTCAATGCCAAAGACACTGGCAGCCCTACTAACACACTGGCAGCTGCTTCCTTTTGAGTCACCTCAGGGACTTTCTGGGTCTAAGATAAGGAAGCTTTCGACCTTGTTTGACCGCAAAACTCCAGTTTTTGACATACTGTCACGTTCAGTTCCCCTTTGAAATGACCAGTCTGTTGGATAAAAATATTATATTCTAGAGCCAAACAAAAGAGGGGTGAGGGATCTTTTTCAGCCTGTAGGTCACATTCCCTTCAGAACAAACTTCTGTTCTGAGGGCCACATGCTAGTGGTGGATAGGGCCCGAGACCAAAGGCGGGGGGGGGGGGAGCAACCATCTTAAAGGAGGCTAGTTTCTATACGCACACATGCCTCCCTTTCTATTACTCATCCATTATGAGATTTGCCAGTTCAGGCAAAACCACTTGGGAAGGGAGGCAGATACTGGGAGAGTCTACATTTTGCATCTTGAGAGCTCTGCTGCTGTTTGCCAGATGTGTTGCACAGCTGGCTCAAGTAACCAAGAGGCCCTTCCTTATTATCACTTCATTTATTAGCAGGTTGAAGCCCTGGTCTGGCGCCCAGCCATTAGGCAAAGTCCAAGTATGACATGTGACATGCTTCATAACACGTTTGTAACACATTTGATATTGTTACATGCTGCCTCAGTCTCCACCGACGGCTGCACGGGGTTTGTGTTTCCTTCAGAAAATTGAGCACAAGGGAGGCTATAGTGTTTTATTATTCTACAGTGGTACCTCGGGTTAAGTACTTAATTCGTTCCGGAGGTCCATTCTTAACCTGAAGCACCACTTTAGCTAATGGGGCCTCCTCCTGCTGCTGCTGTGCCGCCAGAGCACGATTTCTGTTCTCATCCTGAAGCAAAGTTCTTAACCTGAGGTACTATTTCTGGGTTAGCGGAGTCTGTAACCTGAAGCGTATGTAACCCGAGGTACCACTGTAATTGGATTATACACACACACAACCTAAAACTGTTGCTGGAGGGGCTCACAGCTACAAAACGGCAACAAAACATTGGCAGAGGTTGGGAACGGATCCCAGATTCGGGGTTTGTAGTTAATGAATCTACCCCTGGTTTGAGTATCAATTACTCAGTTGTGGGGGCACAACAAACTGCGGGGTTTGAAATGACTCTAAAACATTGACACAGGTTTGGAGTGAATTGGACAATGTTGGATTTCTGGGTGTTAACTACGAACCCCCATTTGATGTTTGCTGAGCGAAACAAAATACATGGATCGTTCTACAAAATGATTACGAAACCCTACAAAAGTTTGGAGATTTTGGGGTTCATAGTTAATGATGCTCTCTCTGCCTCCTGGTTACATTACTTCCCCCCTGCTTTATCTACAAAGGGAGGACTCCATTCATTTGCATTCTAACACCCAAGGAAGTTTGCCGGACTTCATTAACACATGTCAAATTAGCTAGGATTACACTGTCCAATACACAAGCCAGGAAGTGTTCCTGCTTAACTAGCTTTTAGTGTGCTAATAACACAAGCTTATCAGTGGGTCCATCACACCTCTTACTACCCCAATGCAGACTTGGGTATAGCTCCATGGTTCCCAACATGGGGCACTTGCCTCACAGGGGGGGTAATTCGATTTTTAAGGGGGGGCAATTTGAGAATGAGTTATTAACAGTTAATGGCCTTTTAGGCTTCCTCCACGTGAATAGGAGTTTACTTTTTGAATAATAAGAATTATAGTATATGTCACGTGGGGGGGGGGGAATCAGGATTTTAGAGATGCTTAGGTGGGGCATGGCCAAAAAAAGGTTGGGAACCACTGTTCTAGCTATTTCCCAGTTCTAACATACCAGTTCCAATTAAACTCTAACATTTATTAAATACAAGCATTTAGTACCCACGGATCTATAATGAAATATGAAAGTCGGTGTGTGTACATAGGTAGGCATGGGTTTATTTTTAGATAGCAGTCCATACTGCATTGTGTGAACAAAAGTTGGCAATAATGTGCACAAAGGCAGAACAAGATATTTGTTGAAAGCAGACTGCTGCCAAGATGTTGCCTTCAGGGATGTGCAGCCGTGCTGTTGTTGAAACAACAGACAAAGGAACAAAAGGCTGAGTGTGTACGATGTGTGGCAAAATTATTGTAGACACATATGGCATGAAGTTTTCCTTATAAAGCTACCTTGAAGCAGAAGCAAGTTGGGGAGGAGGATACTGCAGCTACAGAAAGGAGCCAGTGTACTTTTACCGAATCTCTGGCTTCCATTTTTTCGCTGCCTCTAGGCCACACAAACCACACATTTAAAGCACTTCAAACAGTCTTGGTTTCCCCCAAATAATTCTGGGTGCTAAAGTTTGTTAAGGGTGCTGACAGTAGTCCGCAGGCCCCTATTTCCCGCAAACAACTACAATTTCCAGAGTTCCCTGTGAAGAGGAATTGACTGTTAAACCACTCTGAGAATTATACCCCTGTCTTTAGAGCAACTGAAAACATCAAACAAGAAGCCATTTATTGCTGCCTTTGTCAGAAAGGGAACTGTCCTTTTCCTTTTCTCTCTCTCTCTACCCCAACCCAACATTATGACTGATGATGGATCATCGTTTCCTGGGCATCATATTTATATACTGGGATGTCCAGACACTCGGATTCTTATTTGAAGACTCTGCTTGTTTTAAGGATGCCTGTTACTCTCCCCTTCTTACTGCTTACGATCTGTGAGTATAGTTGAGCTCCATGGGGCAGGAAGTATCTATTCAGCTGGTAAAATCAGAGGGGCATTGAACTCTGGGGCTGCAGGGTGGGTAGTTAGATGAGAGCGAGGATTTGAGTTGCATAGACACCATGCATTTAAAGCGCATTCAAAGCCCACATGCCTCAAAGAATCCTGGGAACTGTAGACATGGGACCTTGAATTAGCATTCCTGGGTTTTGGCAATCGGCCCTTCTCTCTTTTAGCTCTGCCGAAGCCCTCCATCTTCTGGCTCCAGGCTCCGGATGCAGATGAGAAGCACCACCTCCGATGTACGGCTCAAGGGGCATATTTTGGCAGCTGGTTCTACCTGTACCAGGGAGGGAGCCCGGAGGCCGTGGCTGAAAAGAAAGCCTTGCCCACCCAATCCGAAGTGACCTTTGAGGTACACAACTTTGGGCCTAGGGACCAATTCCGCTGCAGCTATGAGATCTGGGAGGCAGGGAAGCCTATTCGCTCCCCACTCAGCAGCCCTGCAAACATCACAGATGGTAAGTGTTGGGCCATACAACTCAATGACCATGCTAGGAAGGTCATGCACAGTAATAGGCCCAAAGTGGTGCATGCAAGGAGGGTTGGTGTGAGAACCAATGGGACTGTGACTGGTCTAGGAATAGGACTTTATGGTAGTGAAGGACTTAGGGCAGGGGTCTGCAACCTTTAAGACAAAAAGAGCCACTTGGACCCGTTTCCGAAGAAAAAAAACCTGGGAGCCGCAAAACCGGGAAGGTGACGTCGGGACGGTGCATGACTAACGCACGCACCGCCCCCATGCGATGTCACAGCCAGTACAGCGCCCGCCACAGTGGGGAGTGTCGGGGCGCACAATGCGCCTCCTCCCCTCGCTAGTATCCGCCCCGGAGCCGGGGCAAAGGTGTAAAAGAGCCACATGCGGCTCCGGAGCCGCGGGTTGCAGACCCCTGACTTAGGGCAATGATGCTGGCCTTTAGCAAGGATGAGGAACATGTGGCTCTCCCAACAGTGTTGGATTTCATCAGTCAGGATCTTGAGCTTGATGGAGATAACACCCTGTGAGGAAGGCTGATGAGAAGGGGTTGATTTTTTTGAACACTTGTTATGATTATTTAGGCTTGCCATACGTCAGGAAAATTCTTGACATGTCCTGGTTTTGGGGTGTAAAAATGGCATCAGCAGAATTTTGCCAAATCTGCAATGACAGGGAAAACCTGTGTGTATGGCAACATGAAGGAAAAAGCAACAGAAACAGCTCCAAAAGCTTAAAATCACTATTTTGGGGGGAGGTTTCCCTTAAAAAGCTCAACAAGGGTTTGTTCCCCAAAAGCTGAACAATTTTGGGTCTTCCTTAAAAAAAGGTCAACTTACTTTGTGAGTGTCAGGAAAATAGCAACCCTAGGATTGCTTATACTATACCCTATACTTATACGATCAAGCTGCTATGAAATGTGTGCACTTTTAACTTTTAGCATTTACAAATCATTTGTACACTTTACAGTATAGATCTATTTATTACTATGTATTTTATAACATATGTTCAAGCTTCTGGTCACTATGGAAACATAAACATTTTAGCCTCTATAAAATTGTTCACATACATTGCTAGTTTTTGTACTATTTGGTATGGTCCTGCCTTGCAGCAGCTGCTGGTTATATTATTGTTGACATGCAATTGCACTGGAACGTGCATTATATTTGTCATTAATTGATACCTTTAATGATTGATAGTTCATTTTATGATGGCTTTAAAATGTTGCAATGTTCATATAATCACACAGAGTTATTTGCTGGTTTGCCATACTATATTTTGAAGTGATTTAAGTATTTGAGCTATTCTAAACATATATTGTACTGATTTGCATTTTTGTTGTTCTGCTGTAAGCTGCTTTGAGCACATTTATAATATAAATGTAAATAATGAACAGACAAGCACACAAAGGCAGTATGTTTGAACCCCTTCTCTTCCCAAAGGTTTGTCGCTACTGTTTTTACTGTTGTCATTTTGCAAACACACTATATACCTTTAAAGCACATTCGAAGCACGTTCTTAACCTCCAAGAATTCTGGGCACCTTAGTTTACTGCTTAAAGGACCCCTGACCATTAGGTCCAGTCGTGACCGACTCTGGGGTTGCGGCGCTCATCTCGCTTTATTGGCCGAGGGAGCCGGCGTACAGCTTCCGGGTCATGTGGCCAGCATGTTACTTAGTTTACTGCTTACAGAGTTACAATTTACTTAGTTTACTGCTTACAGAGTTACAATTCCCAGCACCCTTAACAAACTACAGTGCCCAGACTTCTCTGAGGGTGTGTGTGTTTCAAACATGCTTTAAAGGTATAGTGTGTATAGTGGTACCTTGGTTCTCAAACTTAATCCGTTCTGGAAGTCTGTTTCAAAACCAAAGCATTTCAAAACCAAGACGCACATTCCCATAGAAAGTAATGCAAAATGGATGAATCCGTTCCAGACTTTTAAAAACAACCCTAAAACAGCAATTTAACATGAATTTTAATATCTAACAAGACCATTGATCCATAAAAGGAAAGCAATAATCAATGTACTGCACTATAAAATAAATATGACAGTATTGTAGATGATAAGTTCTTACCTGCACTGATTATAATCATTGTTTGGATGGGGCGGGGGGCTTTTATCCATTTCCACAGTCACACAATCAATCAATCAGTAACTGAACTGGGTTCCACACAGTCACAAAAACAAATTAACCGAAAAAAAACTCAAAAACAAAAATGCAAAATAAACAGCAAAAACAAAAGCACCAAATTTAATCCATTCTGGAAGTCTGTTTGACTTCTGAAATGTTCAAAAACCAAGGTGCAGCTTCTGATTGTTGCAGGCGCCCCGGAAACAATAGTCGACAACCGCTTCGGACGTTCGGCTTCCAAAAAACATTTGATAACCGGAACACTTACTTCCGGGGTTTTGGCATTTGGGAACCAAGGTGTCACTGTATGCAGCTTGTGTATTTTGATATGAATTGGTTTTTGTTGTTTTATGGGGAATGTTTTAAAAATGATATTGATATTTTTTTCCGGCCACCTTGTATTACTATGCAAAAAGAAGCAACCTATTATTATTTTTATTAACAGCAGAGAATAAGGTCTGAGGCCCAGTAAACAGCTTTTCTCTCCCACTCACAGACCATTACCCCAAGCCATCCATCTCTGCGAGTCCCAGTACTGAGGTCCTTGCAGGGCAGGACTGGACTGTCTGTTGTCAGGCTCCATTACTAGGGGTCAACTTTGTCCTCTACCAGGCCAGGGACTTTCGGATAGAGGTCACTCCTCGAGGGGACTCTGACACCGCTGAATTCTCCTTGAAGAATGTCACCATGGCCGATGCAGGCCGATACACCTGTTATTACCACAGCGCCATAGAGCCCATCATCTGGTCAAACGCCAGTGACCCAGTGCAGCTGAAAGTTATCGGTGAGGAAACCTTTTGCTATCTTGGGGGCAGAATTTCCAACTTTCTTTTTCTGTGCCTTCAGCAGACATATGGTAAGCAGAAATTAAATTGGCTGGGTTTTTCTTTCTTTTTCTGGCATGGGAAAAACCAGAACCCATTGAACTTCTGTTTGTTGTGGAGCTGCTAAAGGATCCCTGCCAGAAAAAAAAGAGAGAGAGAGAACCTTGTTAGGTGGAGGAGTGGTTTTAGGGATGGGACCTGCTGGTTTGGGAGTGAAATATACAGTGGTACCTCAGGTTAAGTACTTAATTAGTTCTGGAGGTCCGTATTTAACCTGAAACTGTTCTTAACCTGAAGCACCACTTTAGCTAATGGGGCCTCCTGCTGCTGCCGTGCTGCTGGAGCCCGATTTCTGTTTTCATCCTGAAGCAAAGTTCTTAACATGAAGCACTATTTCTGGGTTAGCGGAGTTTGTAACCTGAAGCGTATGTAACCTGAAGCATATGTAACCTGAGGTACCACTGTACTTGGAGTCAAGTGTGGATTTCATGCTCTTTATTCATCTCATAGTAGTGAGGAATGCCAGTTCCCCCAAAATGTCTGCTTTATATACATTATTTACACAATGGGCCACTTGTGATTGGCTAATTCCTGGATTCTTCTGTAGGCCAATCAGGTTGTGAATTCACTCCCACCTGGAGCTGGATTGGGTGGCTCCTGCAGACCAATCAGACTGCTGCATTTTGGATCCTGTTCAACTCAGCACATAACAGGAAACAGCAGAAGTTGAGAGGAAGGGAACTGATATGGGCCATCATCCTTTCTGGATAGAGATTTAAGCAGTATATTCAGTCAGAAAGCCAGTGTGATGTGTTGGAGAGAGTGGCAGATTGGGAACAAGAATGCCCGGATTGAAATTCGCGCTCAGCCATGATGCTCACTGATAATAAGGCCACCCACTTTGTCTCAGTCTAATTTACCTCACGAGGGCGCCATGGGAATAAAAGGGAGTACAATGAGCATCAGCCTGAACTCCTTGGTGGAAGGGCAACATTGGGCTAGCTAGACACCTCTCTTCAGGCATTATAACTGAGAGTTAAGTAAATTAATACATGAGTGTGGGGTACCAGGGATGAGCACAGTGGTTCCACCTCCACACACCCCCATTACTGTCCCTGTTGCCCTCCAACCAATGGAGAGTGCACTTCCATGGAGGTTCCCCATGGAAGTTCCTCCCCACCTTATATAATAATAATAATAATTTATTATTTATACCCTGCCCATCTGGCTGGGTTTCCCCAGCCACTCTGGGTGGCTCCCAACAGAATATTAAAAACACGATAAAACATCAAACATTAAAAACCTCCCTAAACAGGGCTGTCTTCAGATGTCTTCTAAAAGTCAGGTAGTTGTTTATTTCCTTGACATCTGATGGGAGGGCATTCCACAGGGCAGGTGCCACTACCGAGAACGCCCTCTGCCTAGTTACCTGCAACTTCACTTCTCGCAGTGAGGGAACCGCCAGAAGGCCCTCGAAGCTGGACCTCAGTGTCCGGGCTGAACGATGGAGGTGGAGATGCTGCTTCAGGTATACTGGGCCAAGGCTGTTTAGGGCTTTAGGTCACCTAGTGCATCTTCTACATGTTGGAGAGTGACAAGGAATGCAACCTGGGAGTTGAGCTAGCAACAGTCGTCTTCAGTGCTCCCCCAGCTTGCATACTTAACTCCTAATTATAATGCAAGCAGAGGACTTCTCATCTTTCTATCTGCAAATATTTTCCCAATTTCCCACAATCAAGGCACAGGAAGAGTTTCAGCATTAAAACTCATGGACCTGTTACTTTTTACATAGTTTGGAAATAGAAAACTCCAGAGAATTCCAGTAATCAAGAAAATAGGTCTTGCAAAAGCATTTCTTGACAAAAGCTACAGTCACCTCATTTGTCCACTGACATTCCAGGACTCCCAAGCCCGAAAAGCAGATGACAGCTAAAAATAAATTATGAGTTGTACTCAGCTAACTTTTACTCAGGATAGGCAACTGAAAGCAATGGAACTTAGGCATGGTCATTAATTTTAATGGGCCTTTGTTGAGTAAAAGGCAGTTGAATGTAGCCCTATAACCCAAAAGTGAAACATTAATATTAATTGAACTGTACTCAGATTTTACTAAGATGTCTGAACTATCCTGATCCTACAATGGAGATTTTGTGCGTTTTACACTTTTTAGTGTTGAGTTCCCAATTTTGCACAAAGTGCCAGAGGTTGCGGGGGAGGGAAGGATAGGTTAGGGAAAGACTGGACTGGTCACATTTTAATCATGCCCATTCTTTTCTTTAAAGAATTGCAATTTATTTTGCTTACGCATTCCTTGCCCTTCCATTTATCTTTTGCATCCTGGGGCATTGTGAGAGTCCTGCTTGATTCTCAGCCATCAACCTTGAATTATGGGAAATTCCCATAATCTTTGCGGTGGCTGTAAAGTACTAATCTTCTACTTAGAATATGTATCTATGGCCACAAGGATTACAAATGTGTTTTTAAAAAAAGAAAAAGAAAGAAAGCCAGTTCAACACTGAGCATCCCTTAAGCTATATCTTTTCGTTTTCACACTTCTCCTCTTCCAGATGCAACTGTGGTCCCCAATTACCTGGAGGTGTTGGTGGACTCTGCGGGAAGATACCGAGTGAATTGCTCAGTCCCTTCTGCTGCTGAGGGCTGGCTTTATCTTTACCAAGGTGGGCAGCTCTTTGCTGAAACCAGAGCTTGGCAAGATGGGGCGATTGCAAGCTTCAACCTCACAGAAGAGTCCATTAACATCACCATAGGAGAGCTGAGCTGCCAATATACGGAATATCAGCTCAATGACACTGAAGCATGGACAGAAGGTGAGTCCAGGGGGGATGGGAGAAGTGTACACTAGCAGAGAGCTAGCCGGTGTACCTTTGAAGCACATTCCACACACATTCTGCCCTCAGAGAACTCTGGGCACTGTAGTTTGCTGGGAATTGTAACCCTGCAAGGGATAAACTACAGTGCCCAGAATTCTTTGAGGGAAATAAAAGTGGTTTGAATGTGCTATAAAGGTCTAGTGCACAGCCTTAGGTGATGATGATAATTGTACCATTCATGGTGCTTTACAGAGTAAAAGAGGCTAAGTCCCTGGTCCCAAGGAGCTTCCAATCTAAAAATGGATTTGAATATGGAAGTATGGAAGATATTGAGAGGTTGAGTGGATGCCCACAAAATGAATGACTGGCTGGAGAATCAAACACAAGCATATTCCCACAGAAAATAACTTGGATGGGTGTGGGGTAGGTGGGACAGACAACACATACAGTGGTACCTTGGGTTAAGTACTTAATTCGTTCCAGAGGTCTGTACTTAACCTGAAACTATTCTTAACCTGAAGCACCACTTTAGCTAATGGGGCCTCCCACTGCCGCTGCGCCGCCGGAGCACGATTTCTGTTCTCATCATGAAGCAAAGTTCTTAACCCGAGGTAATATTTCTGGGTTTGCGCAGTCTGTAACCTGAAGCGTATGAAACCTGAAGCATATGTAACCCGGGGTACCACTGTATATAGCAGCAAAACAAGGTTTACCACTCCGTCCTTTGGTGCTACCCACAGCTGGTCATTGGTATGCAAGCTGATTGATAGGTCATGCCACATGTCTCCTTTAACGTCGCTATTTTCCGTACATGGAAAACTCTGTAGGAAAAAGCAATATACAGCTGTATGCAAATTTTCATCTGTGGCAATCACACGGGCATGGGTGTGGTTGAAAGGCTTACAGGGGACGCACAGTAAGAAGCCGCCATTAGTTGCTGCTTTTCCATAAAGGAACACAGCACTGGAATAATTTCATGTGATGTTTCACATCTAGACGTCACGCCAGTTCTCTTCCCCCGCCCCCCTGCACTCGACAAGTGCTTTCCACGTATGTAAAGGATTGCTGTGCGATGGTTCTGGTGGTGTCATTGTCGCCACTGGAATGTTGCCCTTTTCAGATTATATTAGCACAGATGATTCAGGCTGCGGTGATAAGCACACTTTGCTGGGAGAAGCCCTTTGAACAGGATGGCACTGCCAGTTAATGGCTGCCAAGGAAACCAAGCACAGGCAAGTGGATTCAAGGCAGCTCCTGTAGTGCTAATGCCCCATTCATTTGCCGCCTGCTCAGGGGCAAATCCATCTTCATGGGGACAGTTCTCAGGCTACGTAGTGATTGATGAAAGAAGAAAACCTGCTGTATACCGAAAACTATTTTCACATCGGTATGCATTTTCTAATTTCTCCAGACTCACATTCCCAGGCCACAGATTTCACCGCAGCCAACTCACTGCGACTTGGGATCGGGGCCTGCGTCCTCTTATTAGCCCTGTTCTTCATAGCTGAAGCATGGTGGAACGAGAAGCATCAGGAGAGCTGGGCCAAATGAAGGGATCCTGGATCAGCAGGATCCCGCTAAGCTGACCAAGTCTGGTTTGAAACCGCAAGTTCCAGTGGCTGCTTTTGATGGGAAGGAACATAATGATGGATTGGGAACCGCACACAGAGATTGTCAGACTGCAGTCCTCAACCAATTTACCTCACAGTTACCACATCATTGCTCCTCTGAAACATGAGCTTTGGCCTACAGGAATAAGGAACATGCAGGCCACCAGATGTTGTTGGACTCCATCTCCCATTGACCCCAACCAGTATGGCCATTGGTCAGGGATGATGGGAGCTGTAGTCTGGCAACATCTGGAAGGCCACAGGTCCCCTACCCCTTGCTGAACCTGAGGCAGAACTCGGAACCAGTTTTGACCAGCATAATTCAGCCCTAGATCATGTCCAGTAATTATCAAGAAGAATTTGCTCGTGGGCATGCGCAGAATGCCTTTGCCTCACCAGTGAGTAACCACAATCTCGGCCTTCACACAACTGATTTCCAGAGTGACATAGATACTAGCACCTCAGGCCAGTGAGAGGAGTGGAAATTCTTATTTGTTTAAGTGTTTTCATCATGAAGTGTATTGCTTTCATGCATGATCCTGTAGTTATATACAGCTTCTGTTCTTTTGCATTTTTTTGCTGTAACTCTAGATGCTTTATTAATTTTCAGTGTTGTTCAACTCCTGTTTTATAATGTTTTGTCATCCAGTGCTCCAGAATAGACAAAGGGCAGGATATAACAATAAATGATTGAATGAATATTAACTGAAGGGAAGGACAGAATGAAATGTGTGTTCTTTGTTGTTCAGAACTGGTCCTTTGTCTCCTTTTGGAATGCTAGATAAACCACATACCACTATGTTGGCACAATATGAATTATGTGATCATTTTTTATCATGTTGTTAATAAGAACAATTTAGAAAAAAGGGAGCAACTCCAGAAGAGGAGAGTTCTCTGCCTGAAGGTAGGGGGGCAGAACAAGAGAAGGGGCAGCTGCAGCATATTAAAAATGACTGCCTTCTCAGGTAAAATCTGTTGGCCAGGTTTGCCTTTACTGTTTGAGGGGGCTGGTATAAATTGCTAGTTAGGGCACACTGGTGGATAGGAATACTGTAATGATTGGTTGAAATCACGACTGTGCAAGTGAGAGGAAGGAAAAATGCCTGTTCTGTCCTTTTAGATGCAAAATAATGGTGTGTCATGCCAACTTAGACAATTGCCTGTTGGGCATTTGGGGGAGGAGGATGGAAGATAAGAACTAAGAAATACATGCCTTAACAGCCAGCCTTGCTGTGAAGTAGCCTGCTTTGGCACCACTGCGTGGGGAAGGGCACAACTGGTATCAAGGGTTTGTCATGGTAGGGCCGCCGCTGAGGGACCACGCTCCTGCAGGGAACCCACTGACAAAGCCTCATGGAGTGGCTGTATTGTGCAGGTAGACTTAACTGAGTAGGGGGCATGGAGGGTCACCTGGAGGTGACCCGTGGTGGTATAAGGTGAAGGCAGGAATTAATATCTGAATTGTACAGTGGGATTTTTTTTTTTTTTAAGTAAGTCTTGGGCTTGGAGGCAGGGGCACTATTTGGACTCTGCTTCAGGCGGGATATTGAGCTGAAAGCTGTTTTAAGCATTACCTGCACCTGGAATCATAGAATAGAATCATAGAATCATAGAGTTGGAAGAGACCACAAGGGCCATCAAGTCCAACCCCCTGCCAAGCAGGAAACACCATCAGAGCACTCCTGACATATGGTTGTCAAGCCTCTGCTTAAAGACCTCCAAAGAAGGAGACTCCACCACACTCCTTGGCAGCAAATTCCACTGTCGAACAGCTCTTACTGTCAGGAAGTTCTTCCTAATGTTTAGGTGGAATCTTCTTTCTTGTAGTTTGTATCCATTGCTCCGTGTCCGCTTCTCTGGAGCAGCAGAAAACAACCTTTCTCCCTCCTCTATGTGACATCCTTTTATATATTTGAACATGGCTATCATATCACCCCTTAACCTCCTCTTCTCCAGGCTAAACATGCCCAGCTCCCTTAGCCGTTCCTCATAAGGCATCGTTTCCAGGCCTTTGACCATTTTGGTTGCCCTCCTCTGGACACGTTCCAGTTTGTCAGTGTCCTTCTTGAACTGTGGTGCCCAGAACTGGACACAGTACTCCAGGTGAGGTCTGACCAGAGCAGAATACAGTGGCACTATTACTTCCCTTGATCTAGATGCTATACTCCTATTGATGCAGCCCAGAATTGCATTGGCTTTTTTTAGCTGCCGCGTCGCACTGTTGGCTCATGTCAAGTTTGTGGTCAACCAAGACTCCTAGATCCTTTTCACATGTACTGCTCTCAAGCCAGGTGTCACCCATCTTGTATTTGTGCCTTTCATTTTTTTTGCCCAAGTGCAATACTTTACATTTCTCCCTGTTAAAATTCATCTTGTTTGTTTTGGCCCAGTTCTCTAATCTGTCAAGGTCGTTTTGAAGTGTGATCCTGTCCTCTGGGGTGTTAGCCACCCCTCCCAGTTTGGTGTCATCTGCAAATTTGATCAGGATGCCCTTGAGTCCATCATCCAAGTCGTTGATAAAGATATTGAATAAGACCGGGCCCAAGACAGAACCCTGTGGCACCCCACTAGTCACTCTTCTCCAGGATGAAGAGGAACCATTGATGAGCACCCTTTGGGTTCGGTCAGTCAGCCAGTTACAAATCCACTGAGTGGTAGCATAGTCAAGACCGCATTTTACCAGCTTCTTTACAAGAATATCATGGGGCACCTTGTCAAATGCCTTGCTGAAATCAAGGTAGGCTACATCCACTGCATTGCCTTCATCTACCAGGCTTGTAATTCTGTCAAAAACGAGATCAGGTTAGTCTGACATGACTTATTTTTCAGAAATCCATGCTGACTATTGGTGATCACAGCATTCCTTTCTAGGTGCTCACAGACTGTTTGCTTAATGATCTGCTCCAGAATCTTCCCTGGTATTGATGTCAGACTGACTGGGCTGTAATTATTTGGGTCCTCTCTTTTCCCCTTTTTGAAAATAGGGACAACATTTGCCCTCCTCCAGTCTGCCGGGACTTCGCCTGTTCTCCAGGAATTCTCAAAGATGACTGCCAGTGGTTCTGAGATCACATCTGCCAGTTCTTTTAATACTCTTGGATGCAGTTCATCCGGCCCTGGAGACTTGAATACATCTAAACTAGCCAAGTATTCTTGTACTATCTCCTTAGTTAAGTGCTACCTCACAAACCTCTGTGCCAGTTTGTGAGGTAGCACTTAAATTTGAAAGCCTCAGTTCTATTAAGCACACTTAAAAAACACTGCCTCCTCCTTCCTAAGCTCAAGTGTCCAGAACTCCCAAACAATTCTTCCAAAGGTTAGAATTGAACCATCTGAGAATTCCCCATCTATCCACAGGTCTTGTATGACCTATAGCACCCTCTTCAAGATTTCTCCTCCATAAAGGGGCAGAGACAGAAGAAACTTGCCTTAGATTTGCCTAGTCCGATTTCTTCTGAACCAGATTCTGATTGCAACTCTTTTTTTAGATAAGCCTATCCAATTTTATAGACTGTTGATACGTGTTTAGTTTGTTTTCTGAATGTTTTAAATATTTTTAACTGATTTTACTGATAATTTTATTCTCTTTTTTCACATGTGTGTGTCCACCATCAAGCAGTGTAGTTTCTTTTTCCAAACGGTATATAAATTTTGTAACATATATAAATAATTATGAAGTCCTTCTGGTATGTCCTGTAAAAATAAATATGTATTAACCTACTAATGAAAAGAATGACATGACAGCACCAGTAATACCTCTTTGGAAAGAGCGTTCTAAAGTTGGGATGTATGCATTGCAAACTTGTGCTAGGGATAGCATGCAGAGAAGGTCTTCAACCAAAAATATTAATGCATTAAAATGAATGACAAGGGACTGGAACATCAATTGATAGTAATATTTGATAATAATTAATTGTATGTGACAGCAAAGGACTGGACAAGGTAACTTTTAGGTGGATTTGTAGCTGGTTGACTGACCAAACCCAAAGAGTGCCCACTAATGGTTCCTAGTTATCCTGCCAAAAAAAAAAAAAAAAAGGGACAAGTGAGGTGCCACAGGGTTCTATCCTGGGCCCATTGTTGTTCAGCCTCTTTATAAACGACTTTGATGAGCATCCCCTCAATCCCTTCATCCAATTTCCAGGTGACACCAAACCGGGAGGGGTAGCCAGTGCCACTCAACATGGACTCAGGATTCAATATGACCTTAACAGTTTGGAGAACTGGGCCAAAACTAACAAAATGAATTTCATTAGGGGCAAATGTAAGCTTCTACACTTAGGCAGGAAAAACCAGCTGCACCAATATAAGATGTGGGACACCTGACTTGCCAGTAGTAGATGTGAAAAGGATCCTATTTTTCCCTGTAACAGCAGAGGGCTCGGCTGCTTCCTATCAAAGTAGCTATTGCTTGTTATGCAGGTAAAGTGCCCCCTTTATTGCAATGGGCTGAGGAGGTGAGGCTATGGTTTTAAATAAGTTGTGATTGGGTCTGAGTATGGCCCCTTTTCAAGCTACACCCTTTTGGGTTAATTGACTCTTGCCACACCCATACAAATGCAGGTTTATTAAAGGGGCATCGGTAGTGAAGCTCATCCCCCGCCCCTTTAATTGTTCGTGGTTTTCTTCAGCTTGAAAATATTTTACTTTTCTTTGCTTTTAAAGAAATAGATTTGTCTGGCTTGGAGGAGAATGCAGATAGGCTTTGTGCTCCCCACCCCCCCAGTACCCTGACTTGCAAGGTTATCTGAATTTTCTGGAAAAGAGTTGAGGGTTAGGCAAGCCTGGGGAGGGAGGTGAGAGGATGTTATGATCTGAGGCCCAGATTAGGACCATGGAAAAACCGCTGCTGGAAGTTGTGGTGGGATCCACAGAAGAAGACCTTTGTCAGAAACGCCCAGCGTCTGAGGAAGAACAACCTGTTTATAAAAGACTACGGATGGATTCGCCAGTTCATCCAGTCGAGTCAGAGGCCTCTCTACCACCAGAGAAGAGTATGTGGAGCTATTCTAATTGTGGGGAAACTGTTTTTTTATTTAAATTTGATTTAAAGATGGGGGATGCAGCAGGAGAGTGATATGGGTGTTGCAAAGAAGGATTGTCTCCATAGAAGTGGTAACTCCTATTGATTAACGTGTATTCAAGATGACTTAACATTAGGCCCCATCTGTGCTAAACATTTAAAACCCTTTAAACAGGTTTCCAGCAACGACTCTTTGAGAACTGTAGTTTGTTAAGCGTGATGAGAGTTGTTTGGAGACACACACCCTTCTCCTTCTGAGCTACAATTCCCAGAGCTCCTTATAAAGGGGGATTGAATGCTTATTTATTATTTACTTTGTACATTTATTATCCCGCCTGTTAAACCACTTTGGCTTTGTTAAGCCACTCTGGGTTTAAAGCAACCTGCTACTGTGCAAATGGGGCCTTCAATTAGTTATTCATAACAGCAGCCTCTGGCTTAGGGGTCAACAGACAAAGGCCTTGGAGCCAAATCCGGCCCCTGAGCTGGGACACCTGCAGCTTCTCCAGAGGTAAGAGAAGTTGTGGGGAGATGGGTTTGCGTGGCGACGTGTCTGCCGCTGATTTTGCTAGGGCCCCCAGGCCGCATTTGCTCGTCACGTAAAACTAGTTGTGCCCTTTTCTCATGCTATGTCCCCTTTTCTCATGCTTCGGGTGGCTTGGATTAATCTAAAGAAGCGTGAGTGGAAGGTGAAAATGCATTTGTGCTCCTCCGGGAACAATTGTGCCAGAGTTAATGGAAGGGTACTTAGGCTGTAGTGCCATAATGTATGGGGGAAAGCAGGGTTGCATTTTGGTATGAAGGAAACAGTGCATGAGGAAAACATAGGCCGTACTCCTTGTTTCCAGGTCCAGTTCAAGGGTGCTCACATTAATGTTGAAAGCCCTAAATGACTTAGGCCCCAACGTCTGCTTCTTTCCCTACAAACCCTCCAGGGGTGTTAAGATCAGCAGATGGGGCCCTCTTGGTAGTTTCACCTCCCTCAGAAGTTTGGGGTGGCTTTCAACATGGAAAAATAATAAAATCTTATTATTGAATAATAATACTGTAATTAGTTTGGGGTGGTGGCATTCTCTATGGCAGCCCCAAGTTGTTGAACTTCCTCCCCACAGAGGTGTGTCTGGCTTCTAAACAATTCAGCTCCTGGCAAATGCTGCAGACACACTTTTTTACCCTGGGCTTTGGCTCATGAGATGTGTGTTCCCAGGGCCCACCCTGTTCCTGTAATTTTAATCTGTTTTAACTGTTGTTTATTTTGAATTTTAAATACTGTAGTTGTCATTTGCCCTGGGATCTGCTGGTGAAGGGCGGGGAATAAATTTAGTAACGATCGTGATGTTTAATAACGAGCAAGATGTAGAAGGCCATAAAAAAGGTCTCACTTGAGACTAAGCCTGTGTGCAACTGGAGGAACTCGTGGATTTGGTGTTGGTTTTCCTCATACAGCGGTTTTCTGCTAAGGAAGAAGTAGGCCGTCTCTGACAGGAATAGGCTTTCTGCTAGTGGAAAGACACCTTTAGGATCCAACTCAATACATACGTAATGTGAAAATAGGGATTCCAGACATTCTTGACATTTTAATGTTTTGTATCCAAATGATTTGTAGCTTCTACTCCAGCCTGCCCCACAGCGCCCCCTCCAGCCTGCTCCACAGCTCCGCCTTTGTCCACACACCTGTGCAAGAAACCTTCACGCAGGGCTGCTTATCATCCCTTTGATTTCACCTCAGATGAGCTGGACCCTGCCTATGAGTGGCCAAGGGAATCTTCTTCTGCAAGGCAAAGTAAGATGCATGGAGGAGCTGACTAGTAATTTTTGTATGCTCTTTGGAAGGGACCCTGGTATGTGAGCATGGAAAAATAGGAGATCTAAAACATGTGATTTTTATGCTAGAATGGGAGAGATGGTGAACATAAGAAAAGGAGACTGGTCTGTTTGAGAAGGTGTGGCCTACTGCTACGCATTCAAGGGAATGAAGTGGGAATGAACTGCATCAGATTACAGGAGGGTGCGGTTGGTTGTCCACTTTTGCATACTTATCCTTTAAAAAACACCCACCCATCCCAGGAAATAGAACATAGACTCTAGCTGTGTGCTACCTCAGCCCTTTCCTGCTATGCTGAATTTATCATCATGGAGAAATCTTAACATGGGGAAATTTTCAAAAATGTGATGATTTACTTGCAGTGTGAAGAGGCACACTTTGTCTTCCCTGTTCAGCACACTCGTTTATCACCTTGTTCTGTGTAGAGCAGGCTGGCCATACCTTCCCCACCTTCAGCAGGTATGCAGCAGGAAGAAAATCATCCAGCTTTCTGAAGAATACCCTCATTCTAATGAAGCCTGTTTCAGTTTAATTTCTGATTGGAGGTTCTGTAAATACTTCCTTAACTGGAGAGAGGCCTTCAGTAGTTGCAATGGGAACTGAAGCCTAATGAGGCTAAGGGAAAAGAAATATAATAAAAGTCAGGAGTCCTGTGACTTTGACAGTTTGTAGTATAGTCGAGAAATAATCAAGAGGAATTTGGCATGAAGAGCACAAAAACTTGTGTGCAAGTAAAGCACTGGTTCCACACTTAGCACCCACTGACAAATGGGTTAGCTGTTCCAGATAACTGAGATCCATTCCAAACCACACTAAAAAGTAGGGCTGTGGGGCCACTCTGTCCGAATTCTAGATCCTGAACCAAATTGGGCTGATTGAGGCAGCCCCAGGTGAGGTCCACCCAAAGTCATCTAGAGCTGTCCCAAGGGGTGGTAATCGGGTGGCAAGGAGCAGGATGGAGGAGAAGGAGGAAATGTAGGCAGCCTGTCTGTGTCTCTTCCCCTGCCCTTGGACCACATATAAAATAGGGTTTAAAACCACAATTAAACAATGTGCTAGGGCCCCAGTTTGGGGCCCAGATCCAGGTCAAGTCTGCCCAGGACAGATCTGGAACACCGGATCGGGGGGGGGGGGGGGAGGGCATGCACAGTCGTACTTAAAAGCCTTTTCATCATCATCAAGGCCTCTTTGTATCTTACAGGTGGTGTGGATGTGATCCCTCTCCTCCGAAGCACTCTGGGCCAGTTTCCTTTAGGTTTGCGTCTGGATAAGCTGGAGGCCCTGGTGTGGAAGGAGCACAAGGTCAAGCTGTGGAAACTGTGCTTGGAGCGAGGCTACAGTGACAGCCTGAAGTTCTTGGAGGTGTTACCTGGGATCAGGCTCAAACCCTCCGGCAAAGGGACTTTCCGGTGCCTTGTGCTGCTGGACCCAGGTGAGTGTTTCTCTCCTCCAGCCTGACCTTGTGTTCTCTCAGGAGAGCTACAGGACCCACAGCCTGGCAAGCTTTGGCCTTAATTTTATGCTTTTCTAGGTCGTTGAAGGTTTGTATCTGATCTCCAAGAAGCAACTTGCAAATAATCTACAGGCCTAATTTTATTCAGAGGTTGTCAATGTGGCACCTGCTCACCCCATGGTGCCTGCCATAGCACCATACGGTTCCTGCAAAATGTCTCAGTAAATATCATCTCACAAAATGTCTCGGTAAATATCACCTCAAAAATCCATAATGCATGAGAGACTGATTGCTGTACCTGCTCATTTCCTGTTTGAGTTGGCTTTGTTGCTCTCTTACTTCAAACACTCCCCTTAAATGTGCCCATATTTTTCGGGATGCCAGGATTGGACACCCAACTTCCCATCCATTCTGAGCAGAGGAGAAATTCAGTGAGCTTTTCATTGTGAGTGTATATGGCAGTGGCTGATGCACATTCTTTTGTGAGGCATGCCCACTGCTTTTTGTGATCCGGGCTGATTTTATGCTCCTTTAGATGTGGCATCCCTTTCATGTTATACCACGCCGTGACAGCACTTCCTCATAATTCCACATGTGCCCCCTGGCCCTAAAAGGTTGGTGACTCCTGTTAGTTTGCCTGATTTAAAGGGATCTGGGTGGGAAGCAGTGGCTGGAGCACATGCTCTAAACGAAGAGGGTCCTGTGATCAGTTCCCCAATATTTCTAGCACAAAGGAATCAGATAGCAGCTGATGCAATGGCCTCTGCCTGAGATGTGGAAAGGCCACTGCAGGCAGTGTAGACAATAAAGGGCCTGTAGTCTGACCTGCTATAAGGAGGCCTTGTTTTGTTTTGTTTTTTAACCCTCCTTTTGAACAGCAGGAAAGGGCAAAATAAACAAACCCCAATATTTAAAAGCCCTCCCAGTCCCCAAGATTAAGAGTACTCTGTACCACACCTCACTCCACTTGCTTTTCAAAAGTCCTGCTTTTAGTACAGAATGGAGCTCAAAGTGGTTTGTGTGGGGTTTCAAAGTGGTCTCCCATCCAGGCACTCCCGAGACCAAGATCTGCTTAGTTCCAGAAAAGCTGCTGTTGATGCTGTCTGGAGGTGGCAATATCTTTCTGCTCAGCTTTTGTACACCTCCAGGCCACTTCTCTCTGCTGGTTTCTCCACTCTGCTTTTCCCATGTTGCTTTAGTCTTCAGTAAGTAAAGCTCAGTCCCAATGGATTTGCACCGCCCATTTTGGGAAACCCCTGAGGCTTAACTGTACGTGGGCAGGAATGCATTTTATTCCACCGGGTATTGTTGTTGCAAAGGCTGGCTTTAAAAAAAGGAGCTTGGTGCTTGGTGAAATCTCCAAAGCTACTGGCTGTGTACATGCTATATACATTTAAAGCGCTTTCGAAGCACATTCTTTCCCTCAAATAATTCTGGGCACTGTAGTTTGCTAAGGGTTGCTGGGAATTGTAACTCAGAGGGGCAAACTAGAGTGCGCAGAATTATTCGAGGGAAAGAATATGTGCCGAATGTCCTTTAAACGTTTAGTGTGTGCATAGTTGTCAGGAGGCAAGGCTTCACTGTCCCCCAAAGGAAGCTGCCTTAAACAGAACCAGACCATTGGTCCACCCAGCTCAGCATTACCTGCACTGACTAGCAGTTGCTGTCCATGTTTCAGTCAGGGGACATTCCCAGCGCTACTTGGTGTTGACTTCTAGAACTTCCACCTCACGGTTGGCCTTGTTTGCTGCATGGCTCTCAGATGAGCTGGCAATGTTTTGAGAGTTACAGTTGCACAGAAGGAGGTGACAGAATTCTGGTTATTCTTCTTGATGTAGTTAAGCTAGCACCGGAGGGAGAAACTGTGTATATACATATATACACAAACATGAATTCTTATTTTTTTAATGCAAGGGGAGCATTGAAATTTGGTCCTCCCCACCTGTAGTCAGAACTGGTGTAGTCCAGAAAATTATACCATCTCATTCTGTGTTGAATGGCTGTTCTGGTTTAAAGGATATAGTGCATCCTCAAAGAGGAATGGTTGCAACACAACATCATAGCACACATTTTACATGCAGAAGGTCTCAGGTAGACAGTCCTGGTTTAAAGGTAAAGGGACCCCTGACCGTTAGGTCCAGTCGCAGACGACTCTGGGGTTGCGGCGCTCATCTCACTTTACTGGCCGAGGGAGCCGGTATAAAAAGCAGCTTCCTACGCGGGTGGATCACTAGTCTGAAGGTAGCTTCCTATCTTTGGATTTCTGTTTTATGGCCCTTGGAGATCTTAAGTGTTTTGTCTTCTGCCCCTCCCTTTTATAGCTGGCCCTTATCGTTTGTCCTATCAGCCTGCAAACACAGCAAGCAAGGAACTGTGTGGCACTGCAAGAACCGTAACGAGTTCTGCTTTGCCTTTGCAAGGATCCTGATGCTGTGAAAGAAACTGGATTCCAGCATCAGGTGGACTTTGTTGAACGGTGCTGATTTCATTATAACAAGCTTTTTTCTCCCCCCAAAAAGTGAATGCATTGGGTGCCCTGCATTACTACCTTGATTCGTCAGACTTGGGAGTTGTTGGTCTTGAAAAGAGGTGCTTTTAGGGATCAAACCTCTAGAGGGAGCAACTTCCATATTTTTGTGTGTAAACCCCCCCCCCCACATTTCTTTGGCATCTTAATAACCTAGCACTTTTATGCCTGGTGTTAATAGCTAATGGAGGAAAGTATTTAAAGGAGCTTTGGAAATGGATTCCCAGCACTGGAGCACACCAAACATTTATTTAACAGTAAGGGAAAGGAAGATAACTTGAATTGTGGAAGCCTGTGTAATTTGTGCTACTTTGTAAGGAACACTTAGTATGCAGCCAGTGGGCATCTTCCCTCGGGGTTATTGGTTTTATCAAAAGGGTGGGGGAAGATAGCGTCTCTGATTAGTGATGCAATCGTTGGTACTAGCCAATAGATTTGTGCAGCCACAGTCTGAACTGCACTAAATACTCGAATTGGTGCAGTGATGGGATGGGGTAGACGTGTTGCATGATAAAATATCCTGCATCTTAAGTGCTGGAGAACTGCTTTCCCTTTGATGCAGACATTTCTTTGAAAGAAGGCTTCCGAAATCCTAGGATTGGGCCATACTGCCGCAAAAAAATGTGTACTTGTACCTGCCTGTCTCCCCAATAATGGGAGGGGCATCCAGATGAGACCCTTCCCATCCCAGTGTTGTCTTAGAGGGGAGACAAGCAGGAAGGGTGTGTGTGTGTGTGTGTGTGTGTGTGTTCCTTGCAAAGTCCAAAACAGCCAGGATCGAAAAACCCTGCATTTAAAGGGGGAAGGATGCAGGACAGCATCATGTGGGAGGCTCTCCATTAGTAGGGAGACGGGTGCAAGTCCAGTGTAAACAAACCCTGAGATTCTTATTGGCGTCTTGATTTCCTGACAAATATGAAGCTGGGGGTTCTACCTGCAGGATACAAGATCCAGGCCCTCAAAGGACTCGTCTGCCTTTAAAAGGGGCACAAGAGCGAATATTTTGCTGCCTCAAGCTCCTCTTCCACTATCGGCATAGACGAAGCAACTGGAGAATCTGCACCTTGCTGGAATTTTCCCTTCTCCACAACAACTGAAGAGATGAGAGCTCTCTTGAATCTGGATCCTAGCAACCATAATTCACTTCAATCCATGCTGATAAATTGTTCTATGATGCAACAGTATGTTATTTTTTCCCTTTGTCAATGAGTCTCAGGCATCTCTTCCCACTTGCTTTAGGACATTGCAGTGGCAGAACACTGGAGCCTTTGAACAAATGGGTAATAGTCACAGATGGACCGGCCTTCAATAAATCATCTGGGTTGTGCCTGTTCTCCCTTTTTGTAGCTTAGGTTCAAGCATGTATGAATCTCTTTCCAGTTCCCTCTTTTAATTTCCATTTCCTTTTTCTAGATCCAATGAGGGAGGGAAGGATTTCCTTGCCTTACTTTACTTTACAGAAGATGTCTTTTGCATGCTGTTTATCATCTGCCCTGGGTCAAAACCTCTGGGTGTGTATAAACCTTGGAACAGTCACTCTTCCTTTCTAAACTCTTCCCTTTACCAAACCAGTGGGGTTCAGTGCAATTAGTCTAACCTCTTAAACGTCAAAGCATCTTCTGCAGGCTGCTTTGATCCAGTGCTGAAATACTGTATTTTGATCATGGAGGGAGATTTTTTGTAATACAACCTAGTGTCTATGGTTCAACTTAAAAAAGCACACACACAGCATGAACTGTTCTGTATGAATGTCTTCTATTTTTACAAACATTGATTTGAGGGCTGGAGAAATGTAATTCCAGATTCCGCTAGTATAACCGTTTATATATTCTTTAGTGTCTCGGTAGCTGCACCCAGCATCCCTTGAGCAGCTCATCAGTGTAAGTTTACAAACCTCCTGCTTGTTCCCAGTTCATCCTACACAAACTTGAATCGCTCTAGTGTAGTTGCATTGAAGGGAAAGTGTTTGGCTTCCCTCACTGGCAGATGAAACTTAAAATCTCACTAAAACATGCTTGTCACAGTTCAGGGTCTCATTCTGCACTCCACTGGGGTGGGTGTTTATCAGACAGAAAAGTCTCCTAGTATATTTTATTAAAAGCTAGAAACCAGTCTTATAGCCATCCCTGACTATTCTGTCCTGTCACATGAATCATCTCTCTATAAACTCTAGGAAATATTCCAGTCTGTTCCAGATTATCCTCCCAGTATTTTTTCCCCCTGCCTTGAGATTTTCAGAGAGGCTTCAGTATCGTAGCTGATGGCCGTACTGGAATTGTCCTGGGTGTGGCCAGGCCCGAGATAGACCTGTACTGGCAGGATTATGATACAGCTGTCCTTGTAGTCTTCCTAGAGGCAAGTAGCCAGAGGAAGGGGTCATACGCCCAGGTGCCAGGTAAACCGGCATCCTTGGTTCTTCTGGGGCATAGCCAGTCCCTCGCTGTTTCATCAGCTCTCTTGCTGGTGTGTCCTGGTAACCCCATTTCTGTGGAAAGGTTGGGAAAAAACAACACTTCAGACTTAAGAACCGGTGTGATGTTGTGTGCGCAAGCTCATGTACAAGTAAAATAGGCAGTACCTGCCATGCATTGTAGAACTCCTCTTCAGACATAGATTTCTAGTTCTTATTGTTAAGAGAACCTGGGTTTGCAACATGGCCTAGCTTCTTTCATGGTGTTCTCCACAACCATCAAAAACATACTTGCTGATAAAAATGAAATGAACATCTTGGCAAACCACATGAATTACAACCAGGTCTTATCAAGGAGCCCCTCCACCCCCGTATCTGTTCTGAACTATGTGAAATAGTAGAAAGATGCAGCTTCTGAGCATGTACAAAGTAATTTCTCCCACTACCATCTGCATCTACAGATCCTAAGTTGAGGGGCAGGGCTTCTGTTTCACCCTGTTTGGCTTCCAGGTATGGTTAAACCCTAACTCTTCTCTACTTAGAAATTTAATCACTGCCTATGAGAATCCTGAATTTGAGGCAGAGTTCTAACATTTATGGTGTTGATGTTCCTAGATTCCCTGTGGAGACTGCTAGGCACAATAGCTGCAGGAAAGAGGAAGCGAATTTGTGGTAGATGAGGAAGCTGTGGGGGAATGGGGAGGATGAATTTGTATTTTCAATATTGTTATGCTCCTTTCATGATTCTCTCCAAATCATTTAATATTAAAGCTATGAAAGTTACAAGATGTAACGTTATAAAAACATGACTTCAAACATACTACTGCACCTAAAAGCACTATATCTACAAATAGTGTGAAGTTCAAGTGGAGGAGAGCAACTTCTTTTTTCCCTGACAAGGTGACTGCGCCTTTACTGTTCCTGGCACAAGGCATGGGGAAAGCCTTACCTGTTCAATGGCTGGCTGCCCTGCATAAAAACATTCAGGGTTTGGAGGGAGGAACCTAGCTGATAAGTACAGAGGGACCTTCATGCTTCTAAGGCTCGTCATTCTAGAGTTCTCCCTCCCTATCATAGGTGTAGCCTTGATCAATATTGACCGAAGGTGCTGTCTACAGCAGTTCACCCAAGCTCAAAGGCAAAGGAGGCAGAGTTTTCTATCAATCCAATTTGTCAAAAACTCCAGAGGTAGGCCTAATGCTTCCTTGAATCTTCTGCTCTAGGACCTGCCTCCTGTCCTGTGCCCAGCTGTTGCCGGTGGCAACCAGGCACCCTATGAAAACAGGGACATAGGACCTCCCTTGTTGCCCCAAGGAAATGGGGAACACTGCCCTTGCCTGCTGTGCCCATAAATCACCCCCTAATTCGAAAGAAGGGGGTGAGGGCCCTAGGCAGAATGCCCCCGTGTGGACATTGGCTCTCCTGGACGCTGTCTCTGATCGCGCACTAGTTGCAGCAATTTGGAATAATTAATTACAAAAGAAGCAAATGCATATATTTCAAGTGAAGAAGGGGAGTGAAGTCTGCTAATTTAAGTGACCTCTGCGAAAGAAGACGACGGGCTGGAGAAACAGGAATATTTTATGATGAAGATACACCAAAGGTGGGGTATGTTGACAAGGGGCTGAATGGGGGGGGGGAACCTTTTTTACTTTCCTTCTATGTGATTTACAAGAACCCCTCCTCATTAGAACCGTCGGTTGAACTGACCCAAGCAGGATGATTAAGGTCTGTGTGGAGATAAACTTTAACCAACAGTATGCTTTATGGAGACCGAGAAGCAATAAGAGCTTTTGGGAATGGCGCAGCAATTAATTCGGAGTCGTCATCTTGCCAAAGGATTTACAGCCGGGAGGAAGAACGGATTTGTTTTCAGACTGCATTCCTAGTGAATCTCCTCAGAGGTTTTGAGAAAGGAGGCAGATTGGTGAAGATTAATGACGTTAAGACTGTTTTGATGTATGGAAGTGATGTTATATGGAAAATGTCTGGATATGGCTACTGGATAAAAAAAATAATATCCACGCAGGATTACAAACTGTTCTAACCAGCTTGTGGAGACTATCAGAGGTCACAAAGAGAAAGGAAAAATATATGAAAATAACAACAAGAGATGTGGAAAAATAATAAGAAAGGACTGGATAGTACTGTGAACATCATAAGGTTAGATTTGTGGACATTAAAACAGCAGTAAGAAGCAAGAAGTTGATTGGATCCCTTCGGAACTTGAAATATGGGTACCGCCAACAAAAATTTAAAATTCGGCTCTGTAATTTGGAATTTATGTAATTTGGTTTGATTTGATGTGATTGGTCGGTTAATAAAAAATTATTCTTAAAAAAAATGAAAACAGGGACATAGGAGCTGAGGTCTGGGTACCACCAGCAGGGTCTGCTCAACACAATTTAGTACTCAAGGCAGAAGATGCCCATTACCCGTTCTCATTATGGAATATAATCTGTCATCCTATAATAACCAGGCATTTCCTTTTCAACGAGGTTTGTGGGTCAGATTAGTCTGCTTCCCACTCTTCCCTCTTTAATAGTACCAAGATGATATCTGCCACTTTTCTGGCCACCAGAAAGTGCTAAGAGCTAGTGTTTGGTCTGTGTGTGGGACTGAAATCTAAGGTTGCCACATTTTAACAGGCCAAGCATTGTTAATTAAAGCAAGGCCACACCTTGTTTTTACCACCTGTTGGCCAGCTGTTAAAGTCACCAAGTCTGTCAAATAAAACAGTTGTGGTGCAGAGGTTGAGCCATGATTTGGGAAGGCCTCACTTTCAAATATGGCCTCATCAAGTGGCTCTGGCCAAACCCCACTCAGCCCCACCCCAATCCCTGCAATCTAAGGATGCTGCTGGCCCATCATTTCAGGGCCATTGCAATGATTACAAAAATGTATGTGACATTCTTTGAACACTTGGAAATGCTATAATGCTAAGGACAAAGTCCCATCTCAGCCAGAGGCTTACAAGTAGGCCTTGGGGAAGTCATAACCTTTTAGGGCTGTTTTCAAGCACCCTGGCTCTATCCTTACACAATCACCATGTACCTACTGGGCCGCTGGCCTCTTCAGAAACTTGATTTTGGTTAGGAAGTAGGGACATGCATAATTTATTTTTCTGTGACAAAGTGTAACCTCAGGGGTGTTCTGACAACATGAAAATGCTCTCATGTAAGGGAATTGATATCCTCACTATCCTGTAAATGAAATGACTGGGTTTGCTTTGTTTTAAGGGAACAGTATTATTTATAATTTTCCAACCTTATCTGGTACCTTTAAATTTATATATTCAACACCCCTTTGTGATTGGAAATCAAAATATTGATCCTACCCAGCCATGGGAAGCTTTGGGGGGGGGGGAGGTTGTGGGGCGGGACAGAACAAGTTGGTTCCCACAGTAACCAGGACTCAAGATCAGGAACTGGTTTCTGTAGCAACTGGAATGTCTGAGGGAATGTTGAGTGCTGGAATTGATGGAGAACAAAACATCTGGAATTGATGGAGAACAAAAACTTTTTTTGTTTTAAAACCATCCAGACTTCATGGGGAAAACAGTGCTCGAGTCCCCAAAGTGACTAGAAGCGATCATCACGGCTTTTTCCAGGGCGTGGATTTACAGAAATGTACACTTTGACCTCCTGCAGCACAAAGCAGGATCAGAGAATATTGAATACTTTTGTTCCCATGGAAACCTAAATTACTACCGAAATGTTGATTCGCAAGGGAGTCGGAGTTTAGACTGCACAGCAAAAGGAATGTCTTGAAAACCAAATGCGTTTTCTCTCACAGAAAGAAACACTGGGGAGGGAAAACCAAATCTCCCTCTGGAAATTGGTTCCTGCATCTTTCCACAGTGGCTGTTAACATGGGGGGCAGGTGTCTGGGTTTTGCTGTGTCGCCCCTGAGTGAAAGTCTTGCAGGCAGACCAGCAAGCTTATAATTTGTCTGGTGCAGGTGGGGGTTGCAGAGACAAATGGGCAGGTAAGAGAAAGGTGCTTAATCCTCCCCCACAACCCCTCCCCCAGGTTATTCTCCCCTCCCCACAACTGTGTTTATCCCTAATCTTAGAACAGATCTGGAGAAAACAGGAAGAAGAGACTCAGGATAATCAACAAGGGGGGCAGGGAGAGAGCTAAGTTCCCCTGGCACCTACCCCACCAAGTCTCTCCCCAAGAGACCCTCTGCCATGTAATGCTGCTGTAGGTGCAAACTGTGCAATTAGAGGGCCAGCTAGAACGAAGACCATAGTGGCCATTGTATGTACTGCCCTCTTGTTCCTGCTGCTGAGAGCCAGTCGCTGGCCAGGCTGGGTTCTGAAAGGAATGTGAAGGTTACTCACAGTAAAAAGTCATGAAATGCATGTGGCAACAGAGAAGTTTATTGCGACATCTAAAAATAGGTCTGCCGGAAAAAAGGATCTGGCTGAAATGGACTTGGGCTGCCGCCAGGCTCATTGCCCTCTTGTATTTTCCCCTTCTTGTCAAGCAACATGCAAGAGGGATCAAGCACCTGCCTAATTACTATGGCTTCTTACCCGGCTGCTTTAGGAGTAGATCTGCTTACAAGGAAGAGCTCCAGTCTCTTAATTTGAAAGATGGGGTGGGGGCAACTCAAGGCAGTCCCTTATTGAGTAGGCATGCAAGCCTACCAGTGTGGTATAGTGGTTAAAGTGTTGGACTAGGACCTGGGAGACTAGTGTTCAAATCCCTGCTTGGCTGTGAAGCTCACTTGGGTGACCTTGGGCTGGTCACTGCCTCTCAGCCTAACCTACTCCGCAGGGTTTTGTGAGGATTAAGTGAGGAGGAGGAGAACCACATGCGTCGTCTTGAGCTCCTTTGAAAAAGAAGTGGGATATAAATGCAGTTTATAAACATTACCACTTGATGTGTTAGTCCGGGATACCTACTTGTGAGTTGCATGCCAGCCCTCTGTTTCAAGTGCCACGTAGGCAAGGCAGATTTTTATTAGATGGTTGGGGTTGGGGGAGTGGGGTGCAAAACCTGTCCAGCCATCAAGAGGACAGGTGGTGGAGAATGTACAATACAACTGCAATAATACTGCGCTGTGGGGCCTTCAGCAATGACAGTGCCCGCTATCAAATGTGGACTACACTTCAGATATCTCTTGGGACACAGAACAGGAAAGATGATGTAGATGAGAATTAGATGTACTGTGGGATGGAGACTGGGTTCTTAGGAAAGGAACTTGGAAATAATTGGTTTGGAGCATATGTACTAAATGGGGCTGTGCAGTGTTCAGTTTCTAAGATGAGAAGGCTCAAGTGTAGAAAGCCTTGACCCCTAACCCTAATGATACAATAAACACACTCTGCACACGCCTAGAAACAGCCTCTTCTTATTCAAGGATATACTTGAATAGGATATACTTCTGGTGTTTTTAATTTAAGAGGGTTAAAGGATCCCAGGATCCTTTCCTCTAATGCACAGGACATCCACTTCCCAAAGAACCCTAATCTCCTGTCTTGTTTCTGTCTTGTATCCAGTGGAGAAATGGTGTGGTGAAGCGGACAGAGGATCGGACAGAGAGACCTGGCATCAAATCCCCAGTCAGCTATGAGGCCCCTCTCACATGGCTGCAGTGCTCTGTTTTTAATGTTTTATGCTTTATTATGTTTTATATATTCTGTAAGCTGCCCAGGGTGGCTGGGGAAACCTAGCCAGATGGGCGGGGTATAAATAATAAAATTGTTGTTGTTGTTACCTTAGAGACAAATGGGTGACCCTTTTCTGTGTACAAGAGAGTGGTTGTTGTTGTGTGCGAGTTGGGCTAATGCCAGAAGCTGGGAATACAGACACAAGACTGCTCTGTGATGGGCTTGGTTTCCCTACTAACCTAAAGGAGAAGCAGGATCAGTTGGGGTGTGGGTTCTGCGAGCCCCTCCATCCTTTGCTCAGGTTGTATATATGTGTAAATAAAACCACATATCCCAAAGACACCATAGTCTCTCCTGATCTCCATTCCAAGGATACTGAAGCCTGGGGAAAGCGCTTGGAGCCCATGGAATTTCTTGCCACTGGCCAATTGGGGTAATGTGTAACAGTATAATGTATAGCTTTATAGTATTGGCTGCGTTTCCCTCCCAAGATATGTGGCCACTCTAGAATGTACCGGGTCCTAGAGTTGGGAAATATAGGTAATGCTTACCTTAGCTTCTTCTGCTGAGTCTATCCCATTCCATCCTCTTCCTGTTGTGCTGGTTCCGGAGATCTGGCTGAGGTCCCACAGGGACTTACTAGCGCGAGCCCCTGTGGTCTTGGCTGCTGGAAGCCGAGTCCGCTGTACGTTCCTAAGTATATCGCTAAGAGCATTCTGCCCATCGGGGGCTCCGTGCAGGCCCCCTCCTGAAAGGTCTGTGCCACGCCATGCTCCCAGTCTGTTTCGAATAGACACCTCTGGAGGTGGGGTGGGTAGCACAGGGTCTTCCGCTGTAGCAGGGGAGGCCAATACTAACTCCCACTCTCCAGCGTGGCTCTTGGCCACGGGTTGAGGGGCCACGGAGCGTCGCTCTGCAATGCGGTTGGACAGCTGCACCCCATCCAGGACGCTGACGTACGGAGTGATATCTGGCCCATTGGTACTTGGTAATGGAGCCAGGCTCGAAGCAGGCTGGAGTCTAGGTGAAATTTCAAGGGCTGGCAGGGGACAAGAGGCAGCATATAAGATGCGGAACTCCCGGTCAAATGCCCCTGTCACTTCTCCTGTAAGCTGAGTGACCAGCTGGCGGTTCAAGCGAGCATCTGTCCACGTGAAGCTGTTGAGAAGAAAGGGGTTTTACCCATGAATCATGTGCAGTGTTAGAAACTGAGATATGAAAGCTTGGAGCTAAATGGCCCCTTAAAACTAGGTTATGGGCACAACAACGAAATGTCTAGGCGCGCTTTTTTATAACAAGAATACAAAGCTGAAAATGAATGAACTGCAGCTAAAATATTACGTTCATTTTTCACATGCTCCAGTCCTTCCCCTGCGCACTCCCTAATATTCTTAAGAGGGTCTTTTCTCCAGTCTTCAGAGAGTAGCTGGAAGTGGAGAGGCAGAAAAAGGTCTTCCTTTCCTTCCACTCGGCAGTTTCAATCTGAAATCTTAGGCGCAGTACTGTGCCCAGAACTCAGAAATTGCTTGCGCTAATGAAATTCCCTGCCACAAAATGCGCCTAGAACAACGGGAGTTTCGAACACTGATCATGTACATTTTGGGCAACTACCGTCTCTTTGTGTGGAATTATGAATATAAGAAAATCCAAAAAGCTGAGATTCCAATGACACAATAATGGACAAGCCATGCTTACTTTGTATCCATGGGGAGCTCAACAAGGACATTTCTAGGTCCTTGAAAGACCTGGGAAACAGGTCTCTGATGCAAATTTGCGTATGCTGATTTATATATGGTAATTTAGGCTGTCTTTCAGAGGGAGAAAAACAAGCTCTGGCTGTCTGAGCTATGAGCCAGCAACAGGATTTTCTGACCTCAGTGTGTGCACTGAATGCTTGGCCTCACCGGCAGTCGATTGGCAAGAAGGTTGCTTCTGTATGTACTGCAACTAAAATGAATGCCCCTGGGCAAATCAAGAGGGCAGGTAGAATGGCAGGTAGAAAGGGGGAATGGGGAGGAAAGCCAGACCTCAGAAAAAGACTTGCGGCTTGGACAGACCCCCGGGACCATTGTATAACAATGCTATTTGAGCTCAGTCTGGAAGCTAGGGTGGCTTTATGTCCTGCTGTGTACAGAGGAGAGTCCTCTGCTTGAAGTGCTGTCTGATGTAAGTCTGGTTTAAGGAGAAAGAACCCTAAGAAGGGAGAGCAGGAGGGGCCTTGAAGTCTTTCATCCACAGTTTTAGCAACCCTGCTCAGTCATCCCTACTACTGTACAAGGAGATGTGTTGTACAGTGGTACCTTGGTTTAAGAACAGCTTAGTTTATGAACAACTTGGATTAAGAATGCTGCAAAATCTGGAAGTAGGTGTTTTGGTTTGTGAATTTCGCCTTGAAAGCAGAACACGTTCCGCTTCCTGTTGAGTGTGTTCCATTTGTAAATTGAGTTCCCCACTGCTATGGAAAGCACCCCTTGGTTTAAGAACGCTTTAAGAACGGACTTCCGGAGTGGATTAAGTTCGTAAACCAAGATACCACTGTATTTTTGTCTTAATTACAGTAATTATTTCTAAATTTGCATCTAAACTTATACATTTGCATATGATATGCTTTCTTTTTTAGTGTTGCATTTTCTCTTTTTGGGGGGACATGTGTGACCAAACTAGAGGTGCCCTAAGGGCATATCTACATCTCAGGATTTGTCAGCTTCATGCCAGTTTAACTCTCATCGCTTAACCCACAGAATTCTGGGTATTGTAGTTTGAAGGTGCTGAAAATCTCCACCCCACCCCCCAATGCCTTACAGTTCCTCAAGGAGAACTAATGACTGTTCAGCCAGTTGAAGTTTGTAGTGAAGATAATCTGGATTCAAGATAATCTGACTGGATTCAAGAGGTGCTTGACTTTGTACATGCTTGTCATCGCCCTGTAGCAAATTTATGAAGTGAAAGGTCTTTTGTATCTAGGCCCAGAACACTTGTAAGGGATAGGAAGATGCTAGCACCACTCTAACTTATAAAGTGAGAAAACACTTTCTGGACTATACCAGCAACCTCAGAACTGAAAGCTCTCATACATATATATAATAAAACAGCAACAGGACATGGAAAGTAGATGTCAGGGAGAAGGGTTGCAGCCTCTCTTTCCTGATATGCTGGTTTTCTACATGGAGATATTTTAGCATTCAAACATGTTCTGCACCCCAGCTCAACTGTGGTCTGTAATGGTTTCAGTAATACTGTTTAGGAGGCAAAATGCTTCTAAAGTATTGTGACAACATACATAGAAATTCCTCATTTTATCTTCAAAACAACCTGTGAGGTAGATCAGGCTTAGGTATCAGCCTGCCAAGCCATGAGCTTCATGGCCAAATGGGAATATCTTAGACATGTTTTTCCCACATCCAAACCCAGTGTTCCAGCCATGACACTGCATTCATTTTGCTATACCGAACCTCAGTGCTACAAAGAGCTATAACTAGCAATACAGAGATTAGAAAAAAGATGGTTAGAAATGAGAAGTTAGAAAAAGAGAGGTTAGAAAAAAGGTAACTAAGAAGAACATAGCAGAGATTTACAAAATTATGTATGGTGTGGGTAAGAATTTTTCTCCCTCTCTCGTGATGCTAGGACTCAGTCACCCAGTGAAATGAATGAGAAGTAGATTCAAGACAGACAGGCATAAATATGTCTTCACCCAATGCACAATTAATTTGTAGAATTCAGTGCCATAGGGTGCGGTGATGGCTATTAGCTCAGATGGCTTTAAAATGAAGCGCAGCCCTTTGGCCCTCAAGATATTGTTGGATTCAAAGTCCCATCAACCTCAGCCCAAATGGCCAATGGTCCAGGATGATGGGAACATAGAATGGGCCAATGGCCCATCTGGTCCAGCATCCAGTTCTCACTGTGGCCTCCCAAAAAATCCAGGAATCGTAGTCTAGCAACAGTTTGGAAGGTCACTTCTTCTTCCCTACCCTGCATTTGATAAATTCATGGAGAAAAAGTCTACCAGAATTATTAGCAGTCACAGCTGAATAGAACCTCTATGTTCAGAGGAAGTAGGGCTTTCAATCTGCTTGGGGGGAAACAGGTGAGGGCTGTAGCCTTCATAATGTGTTGCCGGGCTTCCCAGAAGGGTTTGACTTGCCACTGTGGGAAAAGGGATGTGAGATCAGACACACCTTTCGTCTGATCCGGGAAGGCTTGTCTTTGGTCCTTAGGGAGGATTAACTAAAAACCAACCACACATCTCATTGTTTATCCAACTCATTGTTAAACTGCCCATGAAATGGGGTGGGGACTCTGCACCTTTTCTGTGTAACTTGATCCTGGCCTTTCACACTTATCTTTGCATCTCAAGTAATTTCCCAAATGGTGTATTGTGTGCGGTGCTCTCTGATGCATGCCCAAAACTTTATCTTCAATTCTGAGGTGCCAGTGTGGAGTGGACCCATGTGAGTGACAGGCGCCAACTTAAAATGCAGTTGTGTGTTTTCTTAGTATGATCCAGTTGTGCCCAGAGATTGAAGGAAATTACCTTCAGCACAGGTAAAATTTTGGACGAGAGCATTACATTTATCAGAAACAGCAAGCAGAAGTCCTGTTTGGCCAGCTTCAGTATATCTGTTTGAAGAACCAGGTAGCAAGTGATAGAAAAGTCTTGTGCCTGAAATGTTGTAAAGCCGCTGAGCTGGATGAACCAATGGGCTGGACGTGTTTATAAGGCAAGCTTTTCCATTCATTGTTGTCTCTGCTTCTTAATGTCATTGTCCGTTTTGCCATTTCAGCATATTCCATTAATTTAACTTGCCAATCTTCTTTAGTTTATTGCATATATACAGAAGCATTGTACACAGGTTAATACATTAGCAGGGTTTAAAATTAGCAGGTCCCATCACCTCCTGGCAAATAGAAGGGGAAGAAATGGAGGCAGTAAGAGATTTTACTTTCTTGGGCTCCATGATCACTGCAGATGGTGACAGCAGTCACAAAATTAAAAGACGCCTGCTTCTTGGGAGAAAAGCAATGACAAACCTAGACAGCATCCTAAAAAAGTAGAGACATCACCTTGCCAACAAAGGTCCGTATAGTAAAAGCTATGGTTTTCCCAGTAGTGATGTATGGAAGTGAGAGCTGGACCATAAAGAAGGCTGATCGCCGAAGAATTGATGCTTTTGAATTATGGTGCTGGAGACTCTTGAGAGTCCCATGGACTGCAAGAAGATCAAACCTATCCATTCTTAAGGAAATCAGCCCTGAGTGCTCACTGGAAGGACAGATCGTGAAGCTGAGGCTCCAATACTTTGGTCACCTCATGAGAAGAGAAGACTCCCTGGAAAAGACCCTGATGTTGGGAAAGATGGAGGGCACAAGGAGAAGGGGATGACAGAGGATGAGATGGTTGGATGGTATTCTCGAAGCTACCAGCATGAGTCTGTCCAAACTGCGGGAGGACAGTGGAGGACAGAAGTGCCTGGCGTGCTCTGGTCCATGGGGTCACGAAGAGTCGGACACGACTAAACGACTAAACAACAACAACAACAATTTTACAGTGAATGGATAATAGTGATTTAAATATGTTATAATTTAATAATGGACGTGCAGCATGTTGACAAATAAGGGACTAGAGGGAAGTCAATTTGTTTTGCTTTGTTTTTGTATTGTTTGGGGGGGTTGTTATTTTTGGAAAACCAATAAAATATTATTTTAAAAAGGCAAGCTTTTCACTGTTGTCTTGCCATCTGCTCACATAAGAATTAGAGTTGCACACATGTATGTCTCCTGAGAGACCCTGCCCCATGTGGTACTCCAATCCCATGTATTCTAAAAAGCAAGGGACTTCCTCCTTCTCGTGAGATGTGCAGACCTCAATCAGACCCTCACGGAAGGCTGCATACAAAGAGGTTCAGAGTGCAAAACTGAACCCAGGGAGGAAGAAGCGTGCAGCTGGTAGGGCAGAGGATAAATCCACCAAGCCAAACTCTGGGAGGCAGAGAGTTAGGATTATATTGCAGGCTGCGTGATTCATTGCCATCAAAAAGCGACGAGGAGAAATTGTGCCTGAACTTGGGAGACTGCAGAGGTGGCATCGTTCCACACAGCAATCTGCTGCAGCCACCACAGGGAACAAACTGTGATGTCTTAATGGACACAGAGGACTGAGCCATAAACATGGTATCTACATGTTCAGGATGGATTGTGCTGTGCTAGAGAATTCTCGGGTAACTCTTTTCGGCATCCCAATAGTGCTGCTGAATTATTAGTGTAAGGGAGAAGTGAGATACGCCATTATTTTTCACACAACTGCCTAGATGCAGTCATTTCTGGGTTGGGACGCACCATCATACCACAGGCACAAGGACTCAACATTCAAAAGCATGTGAAGGATTTTATTGCTTGCAAAGTCAGAGGAGACCCAGCACAAGAATGGTGGGGAGGGCAAGCTGGAGGAAAAGAGGAGGGGCTTTCAGAAACTGAGCTGCGTTGCACAAATTTCCCTGGCAGCAGTTGGTGACCAAACTGTAGGTTACCCCCATGTGGGCAACAGGTTGCTCTTTGCCACAGTTGATGGAGCGAGTACAACCCTTGTTTTGGATCATTGATACCCCCAAAGCAGCTCCTTGACCCACAAAGCAATCTTCATCTTCGGCACAACTCATCTTGGTGCCTGGGCATTTGGCTGAGGCAGTGATGTCACAAAAGTAGCATTCCTTGGAAAATATGGAGGGCAGCACACAGACCAGAAGATATACAAGGCCCAAGTGCACAGGATGCTTCATCACTTGCTGCTTGAGAATAAGAGAGTTATTTCCTAAGTAACAGAAATGAAGATGATCGTAACCTTCTAAAATCCTCTCCACCAGCTGATTTATTTTATTTCTCCACCTCTCTTTTTTGTGGCTTCAGAGAATTCAGAAGTAGAGTTGTCTTGTTTTTCAAGCCCTGTTTTCCAATAAAATGAATAGTCTTGATTTCCTGCTTCCAGAAAAGAAAAAAATTCTCAGCTGGTGGCTGCAGGTTTTCTGAAACGCAGAAACTTGTTTTTTCAACAGGTTGGATCCCAGCTTTCTCTTCTTTCAAAGGAAGCTCTTAACCTGGGTTTTCTCTACCGTGTGGTTTTCAAAAACCAATAGTACTACTACCCAGCTTGACTTTATTCATCACTAAACCAGATTCCTTACATTTTGTAGATCTGGCTTTTCTTGAGATACAGGAATCTTACACAGAGGAAGCTTACAGCTTTGGAAATGAGCTACAATGTCAGATCAGTCTGTGCTTCCCAAATAGCAGCTTTCTTTCCAGGAGCAAATCACAAAGACCACTTTAGATCTCCTAGTTCCAGAAATGAAAGTCCTCACTGATGAACTCATAACTCAAAAGTCCTTATGACTGTTTGGCCTCCAGTGGAGATACTCCATGCCCTGCAGCTTCAAAACAAATATTTTGCTTGATCTGCATGGGATTCCCAGAAAGTCAGTGTCAGCTGGGGGTTTTTTGAGCTTCAGTAACTCAGTACACAAAGCTCCAAAACCAGGTCCTAACTCTTGTGTTTCTCTGTCTACGAAGCATGTGGTACCAATAAATCACCAGTCCTGCAACTCTGACCCACTCAAGGGATAGAATGAACATTGGGCATCAGTCTAGCAGAATTTGATGGCTGCTTAAGCAGCAGCATCACAATGGATGCCAAAAGCTCATTGGCAGATTCCATGGAGGACTTCCAGTTTAAGCCTCTTGAGGTCATAGGTGGTGACATCACTTTGATGACATTACAGAAGGAAGGAGAACAACACATTGTGGAAGTATCACCATATATAGAAGACCAGGCAGCAGTGTAGGGCAAATGTGGTACTGCTTCACCAACCTCAGCCTCCCCTCAGCCAGTTCCCCACTGTCTGCCTGCCTATATACAACAACCCCAGATGTTGGTCCTGACTGTCAGCTTCCTCCTCTTTAGTAAAAGGTAAAGGGACCCCTGACCATTAGGTCCAGTCGCGGATGACTCTGGGGTTGCGGTGCTCATCTCGCTTTACTGGCCGAGGGAGCCGGTGTTTGTCTACAGACTAAGCCGCTTCTGGCAAACCCGAGCAGCGCACGGAAACGCCGTTTACCTTCCCGCCGGAGCAGTACCTATTTATCTACTTGCACTTTGACGTGCTTTCGAACTGCTAGGTTGGCAGGAGCAGGGACCGAGCAACGGGAGCTCACCCCGTCGTGGGGATTCAAACCGCCAACCTTCTGATCAGCAAGTCCTAGGCTCTGTGTTTAACCCACAGCGCCACTCGCATCCTGCCCTCCTCCGCTTTAGTTTTACCTAAATTCAGCAAAGCTAGAATCATTTTGTTCTGCTTGTTGCTGGCTCTGCTGCCACCTGCTGCTGGCCTCCTTGCCTTCTGCGCAACCAGCTCCAATGGGCAGCAGCCACCACTGTGTCCATGAGAAATGAGATACAGTGCCTTAATTCCTGGGCTCTTAGGGCTCTTAAGCACCATCTGTGGTTTAGAGCTGAGTGAAATGTGGAAGAAACTAGGAAATGAATCAGTTTCTGCTGAAACTAAAGATTGAACTATGGCTGAGTTGTCACTCTCTAGGAAATCTGCTAATGGATGCCAGCAAGTCCTGGAACCAATTAGGAAGGAGTCCTGTCAAGTAATAATCCCAAATCCCTGGCCCAAATCCAGCTGAATTTCAGCACCGTCACAGGCTCTCTCTGCTGACAACTGAGAACTAAAGCAGAAAAGGCCGTATTTCCAGTCACATCAAAACAAATACTAAAGTTTCACTGAAACAAACAATAAATCATATGATGTAATTTGAAGTCCCTGAGAGAAGGACGCTTTGTCGGTGGCAGGTATTTCGTGCCCCAAGACATGCATCAACCCCTCGTGGGAGGTTGTAGTCACAGAGATCCATCTCCTATATGGGATGCCATCTTTTCTGCCATGCAAAGAGAGGCTCTTTAACACATTAAACATGTGTATGACAGGCAGAAACAGAGCAGAGGCAGCATTCCCCAGCAGTGTGCTGTCAAAAAGCATCGCTTGTTGTATTCTTGCCTGTCATGTGGCTCGTTAAAGACACAGAGGCTGCCTCTACAAAAGGTGGTAACACTAGTTTTCTACCGAGTCTGGCAGTCTTCACTGTGAGTAATTATAGGGGGATCAGGAGCTGAGTATGTAGCATGAAAATAGAATGAGATGCAATTATTCCAGGAAAGAAATGGGGGAGGGTGCAACATCCATGCCAGCTCCAGATTTTAAGGGCCCATGGACAAGATGTACTCTGTGGGTCCCCTTAACTTGAAAGAGGCAAAGTGTGGAAGCCAAAACATGGTCTCAGGCAGCTTCCAATCTTGGAGTAATACACTCAGAGCAGGCGTAGGAAACCTTTGGCCCTCCACATACAACTCCCATCAGCCTTAGCAAGCATAACCAATGGAGCAGTAGTTCAGGAACTTCCGGAGGGCCAAAGGTTCCTCACTCCAGAGGCATGATGGGGACACTTTCTCCAGTGCAGCCACTAAGGCCAAACCACCAGGCATAGGTGCAGGACCTTGTAGCCCCTTCCCTTTCCCAAGCAACAGTGCCAAAGTAGCCTTCAGTCCCCTCCATGCATTTTCTATAGCAGGCTCACTTCTGCAAATGGAGCAAAGCTCAGAACAGCTGCAGCTGCCAACTTTAGCTTCTCAGAGTGGGGATGGGTGAATCTGTCAGCCTCTTAGTTTACAACAGTTTATTATGTTTATGTTTATTAAAGTCCTTATGAAGATTCATTAGAATTTAAATGCAAATTTATCTCAATATACACATTTTTGTATGCAATTTTGCCTGATGTACACATTTTTGCAAAAAAGTTTTGCCTAATGTAATGCATTTTTATATCTTATTTCTCCAAACGCCTGCATTTATCTACACACTTTGCAGTACAATGTGCACTTTTTGTATACATTACTGTCTGGAGAAAATTCAGAGGAGTGTGAATTTTGAAGGCTGCCTGTGTTTTGGTAAGGGCAAATTAGGTAAGTTTGACTTTCAATGCAAACTGAATCAAATTCCCTCCCCCATCCCTTCTCCAAAGTGCCTCTGAGTCCCACATGGGTCCAGAGGCACCCTGAGTATCAAAGAGTGCAGGTGTGACTCTTTAAAGCTTTGCTCCATTTGCAGCAGCTCACGCACTGCAAAAATGCTCTTTAAGAAGAGGTAAGGAGAACTCCTTACCTGTAGCTGCCAGTGATCACGACTTCCCCGTCAACCAGGACAAATTTCTCCTTCACGGTCCCTGTGACCTGCTTCTGCTGTCTGCTTTGAAAAGTGCAACCCCGGATGACTCGGACTCTCAGATTCTAAAAAGGGGTTGAACAATTATATAGAAACAGCCACTACATTTTCCCTGCACTTCATTGTTCAGTCGTGTCCGACTCTTTGTGACCCCATGGACCAGAGCACGCCAGGCACCCCTAGCTTCCACTGTTTTCCTGCACTACTTCTGGGCAAAAGGAATGCTTGCATCCCACTTACAAAAACCCAACTTGAGTAAGGAACTGGTCCTAGAATTCCCCCCAAACCAATTAAAAAATACCTGCTTTGCTGCTGCTGCTTCTTTTGAGGCTGGAATCCTGTACCCAGTTACCTAAGAGTATGCCCCATTGAATTCTGCGTGTCTCACTTCTGAGTAGACTATACAGGTTTGCACTGTGTATCTAAAGAATAATAATACAGTAATGGCGGTATCCCTTCTGATGCACCTCCTTGGGGACCTCATTCCAAAGGCACCACAAACCAACCTTTGCCCCTATTATTTTAGCAAAGTCTGCTAGTGATTCCTTGTTTTTTTGGAAAGCACAGGAGGTGAGAGTCAACTGAGATGCAGCTGCCTCTGCCTCTGGGGGTGGAAAGACCTGTACAGAACCAAAGCCCTCCCCATCTCACCTCTGTGTGACGGACATTAAGGCACGTTTTCTCAGCCATGGTGAGGAAGGAGGCAAGATGCTCTCTGCTGAGAATAATGTAGACGGGGACTCGGCGCCTGAGTGCCGCATCATACAGATCTAAGAGGATGTCGGGGTCCGTGAAAACATCCATGACAATGGCAATCACCTGGAGGACAAACAGTTTGGCTTGTGGGATATATAACTAGACAGAAGTCATGCAATTTTGCTTTCAGAATTAAATATCCCCAAATCAACAGTGATGAGAGCCAAGTCAGGGGTGTGCATTGTATGCACAGTGACTCGATTTGCATCCTTACTGTTGAATGAGCAAATATATCGCTAGCTTTTGTTCTGAGTCTTCCCCCTCCCTCGTGAGCCTCCCTTCTGGTTGCTTACTGAATAAGGAAATTTGAGATTTCTTTCCAAGGCGGGCTTACAAAGAAAATGGCTAATTCAAGCATCTGGAATGCCAGTTACGTCCATTTGTACTGGTGTTGCAACCCTTAAGTGATTGATCGATCAGATGCATATATTAAAAAGCATTCCCCTCTTCACTCTCACACAGGAGTGAATATCTCTTTTAAGATGGTGCCTGCTGCAACATATATGTACATTGCCTAAAGCAGTGTTGGGGAATCTGGCCCTGCAGGTGTTTTTTGACTCCAGCTTCCATCAGCCCAAGTCAACATGGCTAATGACCAGGGCTGATGGGAGTTGTGGTCCATTACCATCTGGAGGTCAACAGTTTCCCCATCTTGAATCTAAAAACAAAAATATAATTTCTTTCACTAAACTGCCATTTTAACCTTGTATAGATTTTATTTTTGTATTTAATTTAATGAGATTTCTTAATTTGGGTGGTAGTATGTTGGTACTGAAATTGATGTTGTGTGTGTGTGTGTGTGTGTGTGTGTGTGTTTGTGTGCAGCTGGAAAGCAATACTTAGACGTGATTATAATACTAACATGGACTGCATGTTTGCTTCTGACCTCTGTCCTACTTGCTGAACCTGTAAATCTGTAAATACACCAGTACAGAGCACCATAAATCTCCCATCCTCTCACTTCCAAGGAAATTGATTAGGGTAAAAATGCTCTGAATTTCCCTCCACTTTGTGAAGGGGGAACACAAACATAGGAATGATGACAATAAATAAATAAACCCCTGCACAGACAAAAATGCCTCTCAGTATGCTTTGAGGAAACTCTCTAGCGGTGGAGTGGAGTGGAATTTAGAGCAAAATCATGTATGTGTCTGTTTGGAAAATAACTTTACCAAGTTCAGTGCTGCTTACTCCCAGGTTAGTGATTATAGGATCACAGTCTGTATCTGCTCAACTGAGCTGCAGCAGAAAAGTTCTCCCAAGTGGTGGTGTTTTAATTTCATTTCCCAGAGATAGAGCTTCCTTGAAGTACACTGAGAATCAATACTATTTGTGCCACTGTTTTTGATCCTTTTTTACTGTGGATCACATATCACACTCACAAGATAGGGGGCAGTTTTGAGAGAGATGAGAGATAAAAAGAGAAAGAAAGCGGGGGTTGTTGTGAAGTACGGTAATTATGTGGAAATGTATGTTTTAGAAAAGTCAGAAAAGCTAAAGCACAGAATGAACTCAGGCTTGCTAGAGAGGTTAAAAGCAACAAAAAAGGCTTTTATGGGTATGTTCGTAGCAAAAGGAAGAACAAAGAAACAGTGGGGTCACTCAGAGGAGAAGATGGTGAAATGCAAACAGGGGACACAGAAAGGGCTGAATTCCTCAATGCCTTCTTTGCCTCAGTCTTCTCCGATAAAGAAAACAATGCCCGACCTGAAGAATTTGGAGCAAATGATTCAGCAGAGGAAACACAGCCCAGAATAACTAAGGAGATGGTACAAGAATACTTGGCTAGTTTAGATGTATTCAAGTCTCCAGGGCCAGATGAACTGCATCCAAGAGTATTAAAAGAACTGGCAGATGTGATCTCAGAACCACTGGCAGTCATCTTTGAGAATTCCTGGAGAACAGGTGAAGTCCCGGCAGACTGGAGGAGGGCAAATGTTGTCCCTATTTTCAAAAAGGGGAAAAGAGAGGACCCAAATAATTACCGCCCAGTCAGTCTGACATCAATACCAGGGAAGATTCTGGAGCAGATCATTAAGCAAACAGTCTGTGAGCACCTAGAAAGGAATGCTGTGATCACCAATAGTCAGCATGGATTTCTGAAAAATAAGTCATGTCAGACTAACCTGATCTCATTTTTGACAGAATTACAAGCCTGGTAGATGAAGGGAACGCAGTGGATGTAGCCTACCTTGATTTCAGCAAGGCATTTGACAAGGTGCCCCATGATATTCTTGTAAAGAAGCTGGTAAAATGCGGTCTTGACTATGCTACCACTCAGTGGATTTGTAACTGGCTGACTGACCAAACCCAAAGGGTGCTCATCAATGGTTCCTCTTCATCCTGGAGAAGAGTGACTAGTGGGGTGCCACAGGGTTCTGTCTTGGGCCCGGTCTTATTCAATATCTTTATCAACGACTTGGATGATGGACTCAAGGGCATCCTGATCAAATTTGCAGATGACACCAAACTGGGAGGGGTGGCTAACACCCCAGAGGACAGGATCACACTTCAAAACGACCTTGACAGATTAGAGAACTGGGCCAAAACAAACAAGATGAATTTTAACAGGGAGAAATGTAAAGTATTGCACTTGGGCAAAAAAAATGAGAGGCACAAATACAAGATGGGTGACACCTGGCTTGAGAGCAGTACATGTGAAAAGGATCTAGGAGTCTTGGTTGACCACAAACTTGACATGAGCCAACAGTGTGACGCGGCAGCTAAAAAAGCCAATGCAATTCTGGGCTGCATCAATAGGAGTATAGCATCTAGATCAAGGGAAGTAATAGTGCCACTGTATTCTGCTCTGGTCAGACCTCACCTGGAGTACTGTGTCCAGTTCTGGGCACCACAGTTCAAGAAGGACACTGACAAACTGGAACGTGTCCAGAGGAGGGCAACCAAAATGGTCAAAGGCCTGGAAACGATGCCTTATGAGGAACAGCTAAGGGAGCTGGGCATGTTTAGCCTGGAGAAGAGAAGGTTAAGGGGTGATATGATAGCCATGTTCATTGAAAGAAGTAATGAACAACATCTTAAGAGAAAGAGACATACCAGAAACATGGAAAGAAGCATATATTACATTAATTCCAAAACAGGATTCAGATCTAACCCAAGTAAAAAACTACAGGCCAATCTCATTATTAAACACAGACTATAAAATTTTCACAGGAATTCTTGCGAAAAGAATGAAAAATATATTGTTAGAAATTATTCACAGGGATCAAGCGGGTTTCTTACCAGGCAGGCAGATGAAAGACAATATAAGAAATATAATAAATATAGTGGAATATCTGTCTGCCAGGAATGAGAAACAAGCCATAATGATGTTTGTGGATGCAGAGAAGGCCTTTGACAATATAACATGGGACTTTATGTTAAAAAATTTGGAACATATGGAGGTTGGTAAAGAATTCTTCAATGGAATAAAGGCAATTTATACAGAACAAAAAGCAAAATTGATTATAAATAATGTAGTTACAGAAGAAATAAAGATAGCAAAAGGAACAAGACAAGGATGTCCACTTTCCCCATTATTATTCATAATGGTGTTAGAAGTTCTTTTGAATTCGATAAGACAAAATAGGAAAATAAAAGGAGTAACAATTGGCCAAAATGAATATAAAGTTAAAGCATTTGCAGATGATTTGGTAATAACGATAGAACCACCAATGAACACAGCAAAAGAAGTATTGGAAGAAATTGAGCAATTTGGAAAAGTGGCAGGTTTTAGATTAAATAAGAAGAAAGCGAAAATGATTGTGAAGAATATGGATCAAAGTGTAATTGAAGTAATGCAACAACAAACAGAGATAGAGGTGGTCAGAAAGGTGAAATATCTAGGAATATGGGTAACCCCTAAAAATATAGATTTATACAAGAACAATTACGAACCAGTGTGGAATGGAATAAGAAAGGACCTAGAGGTGTGGGGAAGAATGAAGTTGTCACTTTGGGGTAGGATATCTACAATTAAGATGAACGTGCTCCCAAAGATGTTATTTTTATTCCAGACTCTCCCTATAATTAAGGGAAACAAGATTTTCAAAGAATGGCAAAGAGCAATTTCAAGATATATTTGGCAGGGCAAAAAGCCGAGAATTCAGTTTAAGTTATTAACAGATGCGAAAGAAAGAGGAGGCTTTGCCCTGCCAGACTTGAAATTATATTATGAGGCATCTTGCCTTTGCTGGTTGAAAGACTGGATAAAACTAGAAAACAAAGAACTGTTAGATTTAGAGGGGTTTGATAACAGATTTGGGTGGCACGCATATTTATGGTATGAGAAAAAGAAAATCCATAAAGGTTTTGAGAGCCACATCTTCAGAGGTCCTTTGATTGAAGTATGGGATAGGTACAAAAACCTATTAGAACCTAAAGTACCACACTGGTTATCTCCGTTAGAAGTCATGAGTGTAAAGAAAATTAATATGAGAGGCAATTGGATCACATATGGTCAACTGCTATTTAAAGAAAGGGGTAAATGGAAAATGAAACCATACGAACAAGTTAAAGAACATGTATATGATTGGTTGCATTATTTTCAAATAAATGAAATGTTTAGGAAAGATAACAAAGATGGCGGTTATGCTGATAAAGATTCAAAATTTCAGATTGAAATAATAAATAATGATCACAAAATTCTATCCAAAATGTACAAGCTGTTGTTAGAATGGAATTTAAAAGATGAGGAAGTTAAGTCGGTAATGATACACTGGGCCAGAGATGTTGGATATAATATACAATTTGAGGATTGGGAAAAACTATGGAAAGAAAATCTAAAATTTACAGCATGTATGACGTTAAAAGAGAATGTTATGAAAATGTTTTATAGATGGTATATAACACCGGTGAAATTAGCAAAAATGTATAAGACATGTAATAAGTGTTGGAAATGTAAAGATAAAGAAGGCTCTTTTTATCATATGTGGTGGGAATGTAAGAAAGTGAAAGACTTCTGGGAAAGGATATATAATGAATTGAAGGAGATTCTAAAATACACATTTACAAAGAAACCTGAAGCCTTTCTGTTAGGAATATTAGGAAATGAGATAAAGAGAAAGGACTGTAAATTTTTCCAATATGCAGTGACTGCAGCAAGAGTGTTACTGGCTCAGAAATGGAAACAACAGGAAATACTGACAGTGGAAGAATGGAGAATGAAGCTGTTAGACTATGCAGAGTTGGATAAACTGACTGGGAAAATTAGATATCTGAGAGACCAAAAGTTCATCGAGGACTGGGGGAAATTTGTGGAATATCTGGAAAGTATAAGTGAGGGACAGATGACGCTAGAGGGGTTTAAAAAAGTACTGTGAAAAACCAAGAAGTATTGTTTAAAGAGAAAGGAAACTAAGGGTATAAATAATGACAATATAAATTACAAAATGCGTATTTAAAATAATGACTATGGATGGTTTACGGAGAAACTGAAGGAAGTCCAGAAAAGAAGCAATTTGTGAAAATTGGATGTGAAAAATTTTATGTATGTTTTGTTGTAAATTAATAAAAAAATTTACAAGACGATAGCCATGTTCAAATATATAAAAGGATGTCACATAGAGGAGGGAGAAAGGTTGTTTTCTGCTGCTCCAGAGAAGCGGACACGGAGCAATGGATACAAACTACAAGAAAGAAGATTCCACCTAAACATTAGGAAGAACATCCTGACAGTAAGAGCTGTTCGACAGTGGAATTTGCTGCCAAGGAGTGTGGTGGAGTCTCCTTCTTTGGAGGTCTTTAAGCAGAGGCTTGACAACCATATGTCAGGAGTGCTCTGATGGTGTTTCCTGCTTGGCAGGGGGTTGGACTCGATGGCCCTTGTGGTCTCTTCCAACTCTATGATTCTATGAAATGCACCTTTGGCTAATGTGGCTATTCTCCTCCATATCCACAACATCTAGAAGGATGCTGCTACCTTTCCTCAGTACCTTGTTGGCTTGCTGGATGTATCTTCGCACCAGCTCCTTGATGTGGGGCGCTCCCTCTCCTGGTGGGTGGGTATAGACCTCCACACGGGTAATCCCTTTCCAAACGCTGTTCTCCGGCCACCCTAGCTCCAGCTCTGGAGTAGGCTCGTCCGAACGTCCAGGCCAGTAGCTGAGGCTTGATCCCTTGCCCCTGTGGCCACCATTGCCAGTTCCACCTGGCGAGGAAGCCCACGAGTCTTCTGCAGCTGCCTTCAGTTCCTGCAGCTCTCCATCTGACAGAAAGGGGCGCAGCTTTTCCTGGGAGATGCACTCCTTAAACGCCTCTTCGCCTTTAGTGAGCAGCGCTTCGAGAGCTACCCGCTGACCCTCACAATAATAAAATTCAGGGTTCGATTCCGTTACTTTAGCATACGGCTCTTCGCTCTCCAAGCAGAGGACCTGGGAACCTGCCATGGCCTTTGGGGAAAGGGCATTCAATTATACCCACAACTCTACCCTGTAACCAGAGCGGGCCTTTCCAAACCCTCTGGGTAAGCAGCCATATAATCTTGCATCCTTAACCTAAAATTCTTCTGTCATGTTGAAAAAGAAAAAGCGTGCCCTGCTCCTGCCTCTTTAACAGAACTTCTGTGTGTGGATTTTAGCCTCTGCAGCTGTTGAGGGCATAGAAATAAGAACGATCATTGTTCATGGGACAGCCCCAGTGGCTAGTTCAACCATAACTTTCACCGTTTTCAGGTGACCTAAGCGCCTTAGTTTCACTTTCTAAACCCTGATGGCACACTGGATTATTCTAATGCTGGATACCAGGACTCAGGACCTCCTTCCACCCCTTGTCCAGATAAGCCTAACGTTGACACTGCATCTCAGTTTACCACATCCATAACTCCTTATCACCTGCTCTCTATTTACATTCATGGGAACTATCATATAGGCAACCCATTTTCATGGTACATGTCAAAATAGAGTTGGTGCCTCTAGATTCCAGATCTCAGCCTCATGAAGAGTATAATTTGATTCTAAAACCCTTTTAACCCTAAACACAATATGATCTACATCCAAAGGTATGAGTAACGGTAGTTATCCTGGTAATCACTGCTCAAAAAATATGTCCGGGGGTGGATGGGGAACAGCCGTAAAATACAAAACAAATGCCCAAAGTACCAGTTGTACTAACCAGTGCTAGAGCTGGTGGCCACACAACTGTTTGCCTGTTACTCTAGCATCCCCTTGAATCATAATTCAAGGTTGTGCCACCTTTACACAGGACACAGGACATTTACAAACAAAAATAATCTACTAGAGCTGTCACCCACTTCAGTTTGTGAATTGCCTTCATTCCCACTGGTGGAAATTATGGGAAATTCATTTGAAACTAAGAGCCTATGGAACAAATCTCTAGTTGGGCTATCAGCTCTCTTGTATGCAACTGGACTCTGCAATCTTTATGGGGGATGACGAGATTAGCAGAATGTGGGGCAGGAGGAAACTCTTGCTTAGTAGGCAAAGACTAAAGGGAACCAGCAAGCTGTGTGACACTTGGGTGGGCAGGGAGGTCTAGAAGGTTAGAACAGTGAGAATAATACAAGCTGGGCTCTCTGATTGGGGGTTGAGCCTATTGGGTTTAAAAAACAGCATCCAAGAGCATAAATCTCCTAGGTTCTCTTGTTGAGTTTGTGAAACTGTGCATCAACCGGCATAATATTATCTTGTCTTGCCAGGTAACCTTTCAAGGCACATCTCGAGAACAGTAGTTCTTTCTCTGACGTCTTCTGCCAGTCTGTGCAATCCTCTTTTTTGCAGCTTCAGATGATTTTTTTTTTTTTTTACAAAAAGGAAATACACCTCCTACACATTCACAAAGCCAAAACCTTCCAGAAGTTCATTTGGAAAAACCACTACTCGTCCTTCCACTTGCAGACACTTTCCCACACTTGCAGAAAATGGCTGTGTGAGAGTGTAGAAACATCTCAAAATGATTAATCAAAGAGTTCCAACTTTCCTAGATCCAGTTGTTTCTGGTGAGAAGTTTCGTCTTCTGTTACGGGCCAGAAGTCAGAAGTTATCCTCACCTAGGCAATGAGAATATTCTGCACCAGTTATCTGCTAGGATGATTGCTATTTTCTGTGAATAAACAACTGGGTCTAGGTCACCCCAAAGGTGGAAATTCCCACAGTCCTTGGCCAATGGCAGTCTGTCAGTTCCTGGAACAAGTGCCTTAAGCAGACCCAATGAATGAAGAAGAAATTAAAATCCCATGCCGGCCAGACTCTCCAGCCAATCAACCAGTGAAATAATACAGTATTCTGTTCTTAGCCTATGAGGATGAAGAGTGCATCCCTGCTGACTGGTGAATTAGCATTATGAAATCTTTCCTCCTTTTATCCAAGGAAGAGTTTAAGGTTGCCGATTCTTCTTAGCCAATCAGCTTTCAAGATTCAGCACTGGGATTTCCATCCAATGAACAGGAGCACATGTCCTCCTTTTACCTGCTCAGCTTCTTAGATCTCAGCCATTCAGATGTGTGACAGGTTCACAACTGAACATATCTTCTGCAGGCTGATTTTCCTGTTATGCAGTGGGTGGGAATTGCTTTCGCAGGGAGGTGTGGAGGAAGCCAAAAGTTTAAAGAAGGGTGTCCTTTCACAGCTGCAGGTGCATCTCCTCGGCTGAATCGTGGGCCATCCCTTTGTACGGTCACAGTTCCTAAAGCATACAAGAAGAGTGGGGGAATAGTATAATGAGATTGTTCTGCTCGTGTTTTTCCAGAAGAGTGAAGGAAATAGTACTTTACAAGATTGTGGTGGACTTCCTTGAGAAAACAGCCACTCCTGTTTCACTGCCTGTCCAACCCAAGCCTGCCAGGTACATTAGGTGCCACACAGGAAATTGCAGATAAGATTATATTACGTTGTTTATTTAGAACCCCACCTTTATGGTGAGTTAGAGGGCTATATAGAAACCAAAGGAAGCAGAGACTCTTGGGTCCTCTACAAAGAGAGGAGGGTGTAACATACAGTGCAGTGGTTAGACTGCTGGGCTACGATCTGGAAGGCCAGGGTTCAAATGCCCACTCAGCCATGAAACTCAGTGGCTGACATGGGGCCAGCCACCATCTCTCAGCTTAACCTACCTCACAGAGTTGTTGGGAGGGTGAAATTAGGCTGGGGAGAACTTGGCACACCACTTTTTAGCTCCTTGGAGGGAAGTTGTGATATGAAAGTAATGATAAAATAAATATTAATTAAGGAGCCGTAAGTCAGGATGATTTTTTTTTTTTTAATTGTAAGGCCATCAAACCATCTTGGAGTCATGTTCCCATGCCACCCATTCATTTCCAGAGAAAATCCTGGACTATGTCCACCCGCTTTAGAGACGCCACACTTTTCAGTCAGGAGTTTTCTCATAATCTGTCTCTAAATGTCTGTGACAGGAACTGATGCAGCGATAGGGAAAGTTTGCCCAACCTGTTGAATTTCTGCCAGCTTTAAAAGCACAAGAGCCACCCAAGCAAATGGGGAAAGGCAGGGAGGGGGGGAGCTGTGATTCTAATCCATTAAAAAGCCTCCCCCTAGGGTGATGGATTATAAGAAGATGTAGCATAGATGCCTTTTACAATTGCAGAGAAGGCCAGCAACACAACAACTTCTGTCTCTGACACAGCTATTAAAGGTACAGGGTCCCCTACCTATTTTACAACTGGGTCGCATCACTTTCCTCTCCAGCAGCCTGTATTCTTCCATCCTTCGTTCCTCTCCTTAACTCTGTAGGACTCAAACCTCCCTTCTCCAAAAACGCATGAGACCTAACTTAATAGCTGCTCCCCCAAGTTGCTTAGGTGTTGTTGTTTTTCGCCTTTACCAACACAGCAGGCACCAGCTCCTTTGCGAAGGAGTAACAAGCAAAAACCTCATGCTCTCCACCCACCCTTTCTTCTAGGAGACCTCGCTAAACTATCCAGTTTATTCTTCCTTTTTCACACCGCATACCTGCTTGCTTAGGAGTTCCGGGTGTATATCCTCTTTTAAGTCCCCTGTTTATTGCTCTTCCTCATGAGATACTGTATCCAGGACTGTGCTCAGAGGGAAGCCATGGAATGCCCAACACACACACTCTCTCTCTGTCCACACCGACTTATGGAGTTGTCTTCAGCAGCTGCCCTTCCTGCGCTTGTTGCCAGGTGGGGAGTAGAAGCAGCTCACCGATCCCGGAAGCCCAGGGATTGATTATTTGCAAAGCACCTGTTAGGAGTCTGGCTGCCAAGGTAGCTTAGAGGAATCGCCCTCCCCTGTAAGCAAACAATGCAGCCTGCGGAGAATTTTAATTAATGAGACAATTGCATACCAAGCAGGGGTGGGGTGGGAGAGAGGTGAGCTCCGGTTGTCCCCTTCATTTGCATGACTAGGGGTGTAGGCAACACCCCCTATTTTCTACTTGGCTCTTGGGATATCTGCATGATCAGATCACACTTGGAGCCATGCCTCCAGACACAGGGCATTTATGCACAAACATTGCTTTGGAGTGTGGGTGGTAATACACATTTAGTTCCCATTTGTTGCACCTGTATGCACTGTATCCCTCAAGGCTGCATGAAGGTGATTGTCCGCTTCTCAAGAGCACTGATTGGCTGCTTTCTGTGACGTCATTCATTGTGAGTGATATAACTTCCCCTTTGTCCAAGTACCCATACGGTTTTGGAAATTTATAAAATTTAATTTACATATCCTTAATTCTGCAGATGTTGTGTTTTCTCCTAGTCAACGATTTGGTGGTTGTGCTCATCTACCATTTCATTATAAACTGTGAAAGGGCAGTAAATCGACCCCACTCCGATGCTCCACCAGTTTGGGAATTTTAAGCCTCTTTGGAGACTGTGAACAGGCCATAACTTACCAATAGCAAAGCATCTGCTTTGCTTGGAGGTCCAGCTCCGAGGGCCTTCTGACAATTCCCTCACTGCCAGAAGTGAGGTTACAGGGAACCAGGCAGAGGGCCTTCTTGGTAGTGGCTTCCGCCCTGTGGAACGCCCTCCCATCAGATGTCAAGGAAATAAACAACCATATGGCTTTTAGAAGACATCTGAAGCAGCCCTGTATAGGGACGTTTTTAATGTTTGATGCTTTACTGTGTTTTTAACATTTTGTTGGGAGCCGCCTAGAGTGGCTGGGGCAATCCTGTCAGATGGGTGGCAAATAAATAATAAAATTATGATGATGATATTGATGCAGAAGATTCCAGATTCAATTCCTGGCCTGCAGGTCGGGCTGGGGGACCACCCTGACTGAAATCCTGGATTGCTGCTGCCAGTCAGTGTATACAGCACTGAGCTAGAATGAGCAACAGTAGCAAAGCAACCGTCTTGCGCTAATATGTCGCTTATATGTGCAGATAGGGATAGTGTGTTACTGTTATAAACAACTTTAGCAGAGACCTTTGCAAAAGCAATTGCGACATTACCAGCATTCTGGTCTCTCGTGGGGCCTCCCCATTTCCCTTCTCAACCGTTCTGTCTGCCCAGGGAGATGTCCTACCTCATAATTTGTTAATCAAATGGATCATCCTTTAAAATTTCTCTCTATCTCACACACACGCTTGTGTTTTGAATATATTTGGGCTTCATCTCTCTTTTACCTCCCTCCCATCTATCTCTTCTATACACAGGGTCCTTTCTCAGAGGGAGACCACCAGGCTTCTTGCTTGGGTGCTGGCTCTGTTTGCCCATCCCAGGATACAGCAGATAGCATTCTGCAATAAACTGTGAAAAAATACAGCAATTTGCAAGAGCCCATCTGAGCCCAAGCCATGAATAACTTGAATGGGAGCTGGCTTTTCTGCCAATGTTCCTGGTGTTGGAAAAAACAAAAAATTCTTCACATTTGGGGTTACTCACTGGCATGAGGAAACTATGCCCCTATCCTAGTAGAAAGAACATGATACTCTCTGTTTGTGGCTCCAAGGAGGTGGATAATTGTCAACATTGCATACCAGTTTACTCTCTTTGGAAAGAATTGCTTATAGATCTTCTGCTCAAACAACCACCACAGTCCTGAGCTTTTACTAAATGGCAAACGATAATGTTCAAATTGGGTCTGTTTGTGGTGGCAGCTGCAAAAATCAGATGCAATTTTGTTAAATTAAATCTGTGTTACTGAGAAAATCATCTAAAGTAATCAGCTGCCTATGTTATTCTTCATTTGTTTTTCTAGTTGCGGTTATTTGCATCATTATGCCACCTGTCAAAACTGGATTCTTTCTATTTATTGTTTTTCTGTCCGAGTTATTTGTTACAGCAGTTTTTGCCATTTAAAACAAGGTGTTTGTACAGGCTGTTTACTTTGGGATTATTGCTCAGGTTTAATTTTATTTATTTATTTATAAATGCACTCCTACAATCTGTTTGTTTTCTGATCATTACTCTGGTTTAGATTGGTTTTTTATTTATAGATGTATTTTCTGTCAGCAATCCTACAGGTGCAGGGAGAGTGTTCAGTGCCCTTGGGAGAGCGTTATAAAGTTCAGGTTGAAAGTGTGTTTTGACTATATGCAATTTTGGTTTTATGCGCTATTCCCAGAACGTAACCCCTGCATAAGTTGTTTCTTTTGAACCAGCCTGCAAGAAAAGCAAAGGACAAGGATGGTTGTCGTTTACACACCTTAAGTAATAACATGCCATTATACTAGTTTTTGTCTTCCGCCACAGATAAATGACACTGAACTCCAGTCCAGGCCCACTTGGTCCCAGAATATTTCACATTTACATTTCAACAGTTTCCTTATCCTGGTACTTACTGGGTACATGGCTGGGGAAAGGGGTGGGGATTGTGAGGTTAGACTGAGGGAAAGGAAATGCAGAAAAGTACAGTTAAGTAACTAATTAGCAGCAGCAATTTGCAAATCATAAAGTGGAGTGGCTGTACATGTCCCAGAATTCTTTGCAACTCTCTAGGGCAGATGTGTATAAGTTCCTCCACAATGAAGTTGATGGATGGCTGCAATGATAACTGGTTTTTCTGAGATGGGCTCCATGATAGTTATATACACAACATCCAGGATTATAGGCAGCATGCCAGAGAATACTGAATGCTGGAACAACAGGAGGATTTGTCCTATTTGGGCTTCTCATAGGCATCCACTGACTGCTGAGGGAAGATAGATGCCCAGCTGGCTAGATCTTTAGTCTGGTTTGGATTTGATATCCCGCTTTATCACTACCCGAAGGAGTCTCAAAGCGGCTAACGTTCTCCTTTCCCTTCCTCCCCCACAACAAACACTCTGTGAGGTGAGTGGGGCTGAGAGACTTCAGAGAAGTGTGACTGGCCCAAGGTCACCCAGCAGCTGCATGTGGAGGAGCGGAGACGTGAACCCGGTTCACCAGATTACGAGTCTTTCGCTCTTAACCACTACACCACACTGGCTCTGTGTTCATCCTTATGTCCTTAAGGTTTACCCAAATGAAATCTGAAACTCACAGACCTAAAGCACTGATTCCTCGCCAATGCTATAGGAACAAAGAAAGCAGCATGACCTGTTCCATAGAGATAATCTAACCAGGAAAATGAGAAATGACCAAACCCAAATCTGACCTTTAATCCTAGTGGTGGTGAAACTAAAATGTAAAACTATCTGGGAATCTGGAAGCATTTTTATTGAGTTTTTTCTTTTTTAACCAGCACCAGGAAGCAAACTGCACCCCCAGCAAAAGAAAAAACAACAACACCTAACTAACTCCAAGGCAGGTAGAACCTGTTGTGTGAAATCTTTTCCTTCTACAGCCGCTTCCTGAATCTTCCAAGGAACTCTAGTGTTGTGGTTTCAAGACATACGTGGCCACTTACCATCCATCTTGCTGGACTTGGGGACTCTCTGCAAGGACTCACAAATCCAGTGGCCCGCATTTGTTGCAGGATTTTTTTTGCTGAATTATATTTATTTGGACAGCTGCATATTACTGCACAGCAGGGGTTTGGACTAGATGATTCTCAGAGTCCCTTCCAAATCTATGATTCTATTATTCTTAGTAAATCTTTTAGATGGATATAGGCCATTGGGATGGGCACTGCCATATAATATAATGCCGTATAAAATGCTTGTACTGAACCACCATTTTAATTTAGAAGAAGAGGAGTTTGGATTTGGTATCCTGCTTTATCACTACCCGAAGGAGTCTCAAAGCGGCTAACATTCTCCTTTCCCTTCCTCCCCCACAACAAACACTCTGTGAGGTGAGTGGGGCTGAGAGACTTCAAAGAAGTGTGACAAGCCCAAGGTCACCCAGCAGCTGCATGTGGAGGAGCGGGGAAGCGAACCCGGTTCACCAGATTACGAGTCCACCGCTCTTAACCACTGCCAGCAAATTGCAGAAAAGCAATGCATCAGTAGCCCTTAAAGGCTTTAGCCATGTGAACAGGCAGGAAAAAGTGCATGACCTTTGGTGTCTAGCTATCTGGCACCCAGATTTAGCACATCACACACACACAGTATAATTAACTTGCAAAGGAGCCCAACTTGCCAGCTGCCTTCCTTTGATCTAGCAGTTCAGGTGTGGCAGGAGTTATTTTCATGAGTTTGCAGCAAGACTGTCCTAATTATGAGGCGGGGTAAAGGCACTGCAGGTAAAAGACTGTAGCAGCAGTAAATTTTATCTCAAATATGCATCTCCTTACTTTCCCAACTCTAGTGGAGGGGGCGCATAACATTCAAGATAGCACCGTAGGCATTCTTACTGCTCAGCACTCCCAGGTTTCCTAGAGCAGTTTTTTTTTTTAAAAAAAAGCCGCTTCCTTGACAGAAGTTTGGGGGACTGCTGTATGCTCAGCCACCAAGTCCTGAGAACCAGATCTCTTCTTTTTCACCTTAGGGCGTGTTTTCATGGGGCTATTGACACAGAAATGTTGAGAAACAGAATCAAGGGAGTTGGCAGGCCTAACCAAAAGGGTTCAGTAATTGACGATGGGATTATGCCTGTCTCCTTAAGCATTTTAGCATGCCCGTAGTGTCTGTCATTGAAGCAACACAAAAACGTTTCCTCAGGGTAAAATATTGTGTGAGCATAACCAGAGAAAAGATTGGCTTCTTGGGCCTCCAGAGGGCTGCTAAAAGGAGGAGGAGGTGGAGAAAGAGGAAGTGGAGAAAGAACTGGCACTAAATCCAGGGCAGGCGTTA